GGGAAGCAGAGGTGAGAGGTTCCTGCGGGCAGGCGTGGCCTGCGCTGGGCTTTTTCAACTATTTTGCTTGGCGAGCCCCTGAATGAGTATCAACAACTTTTCTGACACTCGTTTTTTAGTTATCTAAAATTTCTCTTCATCACTTTTTAAAACTGCTCATTCTCAGCACATTGTAAGTGTTGCCATTTTAAAGCAGAACAGTTACAGCAGCCTTTTCAGTGTATCCAAGGGAATCAAAATGCCATCGCGATTTGACACTCACGCTCATCCACTTAAAAAGGACCCCAGCAAGCTGCCCTTCACAGCTGGAGACTTTACGTTGTCCCTCCTTCCCCCAGAGCTTCACCCACAGAATTGCATCCTGATGCAACATATGTTGGGTTGGAAGTTGAGGGCATCTGAGCTGGTCTGTTCTTGTCCAGGGCACACAGTGGGATGTGCCCCACCCCTCGCTGTGGGGGCTGCTGAGCTCTGGCCAGTAAAGCGCCAGCAAAAGTGCCACAGTCACCTGCTCCCCTTCTCTCCCACCAGGCCCCTGGCCATGCTGGGATGGTGGCTGCCAGCCCCCAGAGTGAGGGGGAAGGACAGGGACAGAGTTCCCAGCCAGCCTGCGATCACCTTGCCACATGGGGTGCAACAACCCTTCACTGTCTTAAGCCGTGAAACAGCGAGGTTTCTGGCTACTGCAGCATGACCCAGCCCCTGCTTCTCCCAATAAACATGCACGCACATTGAGGCAGTATATTCGTTTTAATTTGTGAAACCATAAGGCTGAACCTGGCAACAAGAATTTCATCTGGATTGTTGTTCTTACAATTTTAAGTACTCAGTCAAAATGACACACACACATTGCAAAATTAGTTCACACAGAACTAAACGTGGAAGTACAGTGAGCGGGGAATGCAGCAGGTGATGAGCTGTCCGTCCTCCTGGGAGAATATCGCTTAGGACTGGAATGAAGCAGGGTCCTCATTACCTGTTTTTCTATATTTCGTCTTCCTAGATATAAGAGCTGATAAAACTTACTCACCTAAAAAGATGGGAATAAAAGTTCTGCTTTAGCACTGTCACTGAATCTTTCAAAATCCCTCCATGTGTCAGAAGCCACACATTAATGTGTCACCAAGAGAAGGGACAAGCTGGGCCCCCAGTCTGGTGCTTCCCCTGAGACAGGATTTGGGGAGCGTGTCTCTCCAGTCTGGGCCACCGTTCTCCTGGGGAGGGGACCAAAGGAGGGAGAGTTGGGCCCCATGGTCTCTGCAGGATCTGAGCCCCTATCCAGGGTGCCAGCGAGGACTCTGCTCCCTGCTCTGCTCTGGCCCCTCCATCCCCATGCAGGCCCCTCTCTGGGAGTGAGGACAGCATTCGAGGTGGCCACTACACTGGTGGTGGCAAGTGCGCAGGATCTGGGGTCCAGGCCTGAGCTCTGCTGGGGGCCCTTCTGTCAGCTCCATTGCTTCCTCTACTAGACTAGAAGATGATCACCCGGCGTTTCTCAGTGCACAGGGGCACGTGCACTCACTCACCAGCAGTGTGCACTGAGCACCCTCCATCTTCTTGCGGCCGCTACACAACCTGCAAATGACCACACACAGCCTCCGGGGGTCGACAGTGTTCCTCCGTACTAGACTCACTAACTCAAACACATCAGAGAACACAGGATGCCATTTACAGAGGAACAAAGACTATGACGTAGCTAGAAAATAACACCAATGCAACAAGACCTTTACAGAGAAATAACTTCAATTCCATTACGGGGTGTTAAGAAGGTCTGAATAAGCGGAGAGATAGATCATCCTCATGGAGAGGATGAGTTAACTTGGTAACAGACTTCAATTTTCCCCAAGTTACGTACACTCACGGCCATGTCAGTCAACATTCCAGCTAGATTTCTTTTTCAGAAACTTGACCAAGTCTTTCCAGAATGTGGATGGAAAAGTAAATGTTGTGCATACTTGAGTCATTGTTGAAGAAGAAGAAGGGACACTCGCCCATCCACATGTGCATGGTGCCACAACCACCTTTATGAGAACACACTGCTGTCAGTGAAGGGACAGGCCCATGCGATGGGGCAGTGAGCGGGCTGCCCAGGTAAGGATGCACCCGTGGTCGCAGGGTGGGAAACCAGCTCACTTCACTACCTCCGTGCATGGTCTGCCAGCCAAAAATATGCGTGTTCAATGGGTAATCTTGCCCACAGAACTTGTTAAGGTTTTCATCTTCTGGTACAGTTGTCTCCTGAAGTCTCCAAATTACAAGTTAGTTCAACTGAACAATTCACCTCAACCTGGAAACGAGGGTGGAAGCCAATGCTTCCGCTCGGAGGCCACGGAAGAATGAATGTGAAAGAGAAATTGTCCCACGCCTAGAGAGACGCTGGAACGCCTCTCTGACATCGTGAAGAAAACCCCAAACTACACACCATATAAAAAAGATGTCTAACTACATAAAAATTAAGGACTTCTATTCAGACCCCACAGATAAACCCACAGAAGAAGGACTGGGAGGAGAGTTCACAGCTGGTGAACAAAGGGGTTGACGTTAGTCCAAGAACTCCCACATCTGCCAAAGATGCGAACTGCCAGACATGCAGAAGATGTGGACGTCGAGGTGCGTGAGCCCAGTGTAACCAGAAGGCACACTCAAGACACGGAGACCACATTCCAACCCTTGGGACGGCAGGTATCAGAAGGCGACCATGCCGAGAGCTGGGAATATAGTGGGGACACTACCTCTTTCTCATGGTAGGAGTGTGGCCCAGCCCTTCTGGAAACCAAGAAGGAAGGTATCCCCAGCAGCACCACTCAGGGGTCCTCAGAGGGACCTTAAAGATGTCCTGCCGGTTTATCTGGGGGACAGCGGGGAGATCTGGGGGGATGTGGGTTACCTGGGGGAATGTCTGAGTTATCTGGGGGGTGTCTGGGTTATCTGGGGGAATATCTGGATTGTCTGGGGGTGTCTGCATTATCTGGAGTGTCTGGGTTATCTGGGGGGTGTCTGGGTTATCTAGGGGAATGTCTGGATTGTCTGGGGGTGTCTGGGTTATCTGGGGGATGTCTGGGTTATCTAGGGGAATGTCTGAGTTATCTGGGGGACATCTGGGTTATCTGGGGGAATATCTGGATTGTCTGGGGGTGTCTGGATTATCTGGGGGTGTCTGAGTTACTTGGGGGGGAATTGGAGGCAGCCCACCTGCCTCAGCATGTAGTAGACAAGTAAAACGTGCTGGAAGCCAGGGCTGGGCGTCATTCTGAAACATGCCTGATTTTTTTTTTTTTAAGATTTTATTTTTCCCTTTCTGTCCCCAAAGCCCTCCGGTACATAGTTGCACATTTTTAGTTGTGAGTTCTTCTAGTTGTGGCATGTGGGACACCACCTCAATGTGGCCTGAGGAGCGGTCTCATGTCCATGCCCAAGATCCCAACTGGTGAAACCCTGGGCCACCGAAGTGGAGCACACGAACTTAACCACTCCGCCACGGGACAGGCCCCTGTGATCTTTAAAAGCATAGAGACCCTTAAGAAATGTAAAAACAGACGGTGTGAAGCCCACGCTTGGGACCCTTGGTGCAGGACACCCCATCTGAGCCCCCAGGGTGGGGCGCTGATTTGCTCACAGCAGACCTCGGGCCCAGAAATACTGCTTCTCAAGACTCAATTGTTGGATGAATTATTGAATGAAGGTAAAACTCCAACCACACTAAATATTTTACAAAGATAGCACGAGTATATCCTGTTATAGTGGGAAGGGGACCAGCCACGAAAGAATAAAAGAAAAACGCTCCACCGCAGCGGGTCTCAGCAGGCAGTGGGGCGTGAAGGTGGCGGCTGCGCTCTCCGCTGAGACCAAACCCAGAAGTGTGGGCGCAGTTGTTCTTGAGGGAAGGCGAGGAGGAAATGGATAAGCTTGGGATCGGAATCGGGGGTGATGAAGGTCAGGGAGGTGGCAGGGAGCCCAGGCCAGAAACGCCAAGACCCCCAGAGGCTACCCCGGGAGCTGGCACAGGTCACCGGACAATGCCTGTTGATGGCATGGGGTGATGGGGAGGATGTGAAGGACCTGAGGGGTAGCAGGACCGCGGAGGTGATGTGGGGAGACCCCGGCGGGGGCACAGGGGTCAGGGGTTCAGTTGGGGGTGACGGCTGCAGTGGAGGCGGGGGAGGACACGAGGCGGTGAGGAAAGGCGCCCGCAGTGTCCGCGCGCCGGCTGTCCCGAGCTGGGGAAGGGGGTGTCCAGTCCCCTGTCCGTGTCCGTGACCCTCCGCGAGTGGCGGCCAGGCTTCGGGTAGGCAGGCGGAGAGACTGCAGGAGGCAGAGCGAGGAACCCCCTCTTCGCCGGAGCGGCTCCCGCGGCCACTGGGCCGGGCGAACGAGGGATTGGGGTGCGGCTGGTCCAGCCCACCCCTCCCGCATCTCCACCGTGTGCGCTACCACCCCCCCCCCCGCCCCCAGGGCGACCAGAGCCCCCAACTCAGCCTCTCGAAACCTGAGGAAGAAGAGGGACCAGTCATTGTCAATTCGTTTTAATTTAAATATTTTTTGCAAAGTCATCGCCGGCGCCGCATCTGCGTGGCGGGGTTGGGGGGGGCGGGGGGCGGAGCCACGCCGGGAGCCGCCGCAGGTAAACAGCCCCCTCCCCGCGCGGGAGCGGGGCCGCGGGCCCAGCCAGGGACAGCCGCCGCCCCCGCCGCCAGGACGCGCCTGGGCCCGGCTGGGCTGCAGCCGAGGCGGGGGCGGCGGCCCTGCGCCCCCCGCATCCCCCGGGGCCCCGGCGGCCCTACCTCTGCCCACGGGGGCGGCGGCCCTGCACCCTTTATCCCGCCCGGCGCCCCCCGTTCGGTCCCAGCGTCTGCTGCTACCCTTTCCGGCGCCCCCGCCCGTGCCCCCAGCCCGCGTCCCCGGTGTCCCCCACCCGCGTCCCCAGTGTCCCCCGCCCGCCGCCCCGGTGTCCCCCGCATCCCGCGCCCGTGCCCCGCTGCCCCGCCCGGCGCGCACCGCGCTCCCCCGCCCGCGCCCGCGCCCGCGCCCCCCGGGCCGCGCCCCCGCCCTCCATGCACCACCTCCTGGAACAGTCCGCGGACATGGCGACGGCGCTGCTGGCCGGCGAGAAGCTGCGCGAGCTGATCCTGCCCGGCGCGCAGGACGACAAGGCGGGCGCTTTGGCCGCGCTGCTGCTGCAGCTGAAGCTGGAGCTGCCGTTCGACCGCGTGGTCACCATCGGCACTGTGCTCGTGCCCATCCTGCTGGTCACCCTGGTCTTCACCAAGAACTTCGCAGGTGAGGCGGCGCGGGGGCGCGGGCGGAAGGGGCGCGCCCGCAGGTGTCAGCGCCTGGCGCGTCCCCTCTCAGGCCACCTCGCGACTCCATCCCACGGGGACCTGGCGGTGGTGGCGGCGCCCCAGGAGTCTCCCAGCAGACCCTCACACTCGCCCATCCCTGCACGTGTCGCCAGTCGCTGGGGCTGCCTCAGAGACCTTTCTTCTCAGATTTATTGTTTCTACCTTCCATTCGCTCACCATGAGCACCCGTGTGGACCCGTCCTGCACAAAAGAGGGGAGAGGTCTGGCGTGGGAAGGGGAGACCAGGAGGGGGAGTGGGCAGGATCCGAGGGAAGGAGGAGTGGCCAGGTGGAGACCAGAAAAGGACGGTTCAGTTGGTGAGAATGACAGCTAATGCCGGAGGTTGGCTGAGCCCTCGCGCTGCTGGGCAGGGGCTGTGGGGCGGGGTCCCTGAGGCCGGCAGGTTCTGGTCAGGTTTAAAGTCAGGCCTCCTGGGAGCACTGGGTGCCTGGGGAGGTCTGCACAGACACCATGAGGCCCGGCTGGGCTGGAGGCAGCCTGAGGCGGTGGTGGGCCATGGAGCCGCCTGGCCTAAGCAGGAGGCCCGGAGCCTCTGAAGGCTCATGCAGGTGGAAGGGGAAGCGGACAAGGCAGAGAAGGACGGGCAGAGTCGGGGTTGAGATGTGGAGGCCGTAAGTCAATAGAGGTGGGCCTGATTAGATTTGGTCATCGTGGGGTGCCTTCAGGGCCCCTAACAAGAAGTGCCCCAGGTGAGGCAGGAAGATGGACAGAAAGTGTGGGCCGGACTGTGCAGCCTAGGGACCCGGAAAAGGAGTAGCTCCTGCTGCCACAGCCCTCCTGAGGGGAAGGCTCGGGCAGGTGGAGACAGGAAATGGCGCCCTCCACCCAGAGTCTGGCTGGCAAGGGGTCTCAGGGCCCAAGTATCCAGGGAGGCCTCTAGGAAGCCCATCAGCTGTGCTTGAGGCCAGAGGTGCTAGTCCGTGGCAGAGGAGGTTGGGGTTCCTGTGCATCCTTCCAGGAGGGGGGAAGGATGTGTGGCTCTGTCCCCTGAGTGACACTGGCAGATGGTCTTGCACTCTGCATTGGCTCTTTCACAAAGGTCTTGCCTTTCAGAGGTCCCTGTGACCTGGGGCCGCTGGGCCTGAGCATGGACATTGTACAGGCTGCCTAATCTCACCGCAGGGCGGGGGCACGCCGGTGGCCAGACACTCAGACACTCCAGAGGTCAGGGTACCAACACCCGCGCTGGGAGGCACAGCATACTCAGATGTGGGCATGACCCCTGTGTGTTCAGTGACCTGCACGGTGTGCCTCGCATGTCTGGGCAGCATGGATGTATTCGTTTCCTGGGGCAGTTATAACAAATGAGCACCGACTGGTGGCTCAGAACAAGAGCTTTATTCTCTCACACTCTGGAGGCCAGAAGGCTGAGATCAAGGTGCAAGCCTCCAGGCCAGGCTCCCAGAGGCTCCAGGGGCAGGTCCCTCCTTGCCTCTCCGTGCTTCTGGTGGTGCTTCTCTGGTTCCCGGCTGTCCTTGGCCTTCCTTGGCTTCATTGCGGTGGCAGCATCCAATTTCTGGCTCAGTTTTCACTCAGGCATCTTCTTCCTGGGTGTCTGTATCCAAATTTCCCTCGTCTGATTGAATTGGGGGCCACTGTACTCCACTGTGACCTCATCTTAGCTTGATCACACCTGCAAAGACCCTATTTCCAAAGGTCACATTATGGGGACCAACGGTTGGGACTTGAACATCCTCTGGGGACACAATTCTACCCACTGCAAATACCCAGAGTAGGGCAAGCTCAGGACTCAGTCACCCTCAGGTGACCTCCTGGCACAGGGCCCCCACTGTGGTGTTCTGTTGTGAGTCCGGCTCACCCCATGTGGGGCATCAGCACCTGTCTGCATCCAGCCAGGCCTGGGCTTCTCCTGGTGTGTCCTTCATCCCTGGTCCTGGCAGTGCCCTTGGCCTCCCCACATGGGCCTGCCCCTTCACATCCACCTGTGTTTGCACACAGAAACGTGTGCACCCCTTAGTCCGACTGCTGATGTGGGCAGTGCATCCCCAGCATGGATAAGGAAGGCCTTCTGAGTGGTGGCAGGTGGGTGCCAGCATCTGCTGTCCAGCATCCAGACCTGAAACCTGCCTCTAGAGCATGCCCAGCCTGCGAGGCAGGTTTGCCCCACGGAAATCTTGTCCCCGGTCACAGAACGAATGGGGTTGGGCACCCAGCTGGGAGCAAGGGGCTCCGGCGCTCACCCCCACCGACCCTGCCTGGGGTGGACTCTGGGTGCGCCGGTCCTCCCTGCGTGCTGTGGACCAGGGGAGAGCTGTCCTCTCTGTGCCCTGGTTTGCTTGTTGGGGACACATTGGCAAATGCATGCTGGCCGTCAGGGTTGTGAGGAGCCGAGAAGGCGGTGCTAGCCCCCAGCCTGGGGCAGCCTCGCCTCGAAACCCACCAAATGCCAGGGCTGTCATGTCCCCAGGCTGAAGGGCGGCGTCAGGAAGACCCGTGGCTCCTGGCCCGGGTTGCTGTGAGTAGACCCCTACCACACGGCCCCACCCAGCGGAAGTCAGAGGGGTCAGGTGGGCACGGCCGAGACAGAGGGGAGGGCAGAGCTGAAGGGTTGGCAGTTCCTGGGATGTTATTCAGGCCCCAGACAGGGGTACCAACAGCTGCTTTTTCTTAAAATGGCCCAATAATCAGTTCCGCGTGAGCTGGCTGCAGCTCTCCCAGCAGGCGGGTGTCCCCAGGTGTGCTCGCCCCGCTCAGCCCTCAGCCGTCCTTTTTGAGGAGGAAAGGCAGGGAGCACTTTGTCCCACAAGGACGAGGAGCATGAGCGGCCACGGGCCTCGGTAGAGCCAGGCACAGCCCCTCACAGGCCTGGGTGGGCCTAGAACCTGCGTGGCTGACAGCCCTCGGGAGGCGCTGCTGCTGCAGCTCAGGGGCCAAGCCCTGGGGTCTCCAGGTGGGCTTGTGAGCAGTGAGACCCCACCCAGCAGCTCAGGAAGAACAGCTCTGTGCCCCTGCCACCTCCCTACCCCGTGCTCTCTGAGGGTCCCCCGCTCCTGCGTAGTGGTCCCACCCGCCAGGCCCCCAGCACCCTGGGAGGATGCTCTTCGCACCACCCTGGGGGCGCTGGGGGAAGGGTCTGGGCAGAGGAGGCACAGCCACCCCGTGCCAGCTTCCTGCGGCTGCTCTGACAAGTGACCGCACGTTAGCGGCTAGGAACAACTGGGAGTTATTACCATCCAGTTCTGCAGCTCAGGAACCTGAGGTGAGTCTCATGGGCTAAGATTCAGGTGCCATCAGGTGCCTCCCTCCTGGAGGCTGCACGGGGAGCCTCTTCTTTGCCTTCCCAGCTTCTAGAGGCGCCACATCCCTGAGCTCGCCTCCTCCGCCTGCAAGGCCAGCCGAGGGGCCTCTTCTCCTCTCCGACCTCTGCTTCCACCTCACTCAGACTCTGACCCTCCTGCCTCCCTCTTACGAGGACCTCTGTGATCAGTCAGGTCCCCCAGACAACCGGGATGATCCCCCTGCAGAGTCATGTCAGGTGACCTGGCTGCAGGTTCTGGAGATGAGCACACAACAGCTTTGGGGAGTTGGCCGCAGCGTCCCATGACGGCTGCAGGGTCTGGCAGCAATCTGGGGTGAGGGGCCTGAGAGGAGGAGGAGGGGCCCGCCAGCCAGAGCGGCAGGCTCACAGAGCTGACGGCACTGGGAGGGACATCCCCACTCCCCAAGTGAACAGGGCAGGAGGGTGGCCTGAGGGGCAGGCGCTGGCAGGATGGTTGGGGCGGCGGGCAGTGAGTCAGCTTCCATCTGGAAGGGCACTTGGGCATGGGCAGGCTGAGGACCCAGACTCAGGGCTAGGAGGGGACGCTGTTGAGGGCCAGGCTTGGCCTGGGGGTCAGGAGCAGCCTTCGGAGTGGTGCCTCAGGCCCCTGCACAGACTGGTTCTTCCCTGAAGCTGCATCACCAGCACCTGGCTCTTGCTCCGGAGTGACTTTCTCCGCGGCGCTGTCATTGGCCCGCGTGCTCAGCAATGGGGTTTCCAGGAGTACCCAGGACCCAAAGGACCTCTAGGCCACCGTGTCCTCTCTCAGGGGATAGCCAGGGGTCCAGGGTCCACACAATGCTGCCCTCTTGGGAAAGGGGCCCTCGAGAAGCTGGCTCTGTTTGCTTGTCCCCACTCAGACACCCTTGCTTGCCCGGGCAGGGACCCCATGGCACTGCCGTGTGTGAGCACCCTGTGCCCCAGGTCTGCTGTGATACAGTGGCTGCGCCCGTGCTCCCACCCAGAGTCAGGCCCAGCACCAAGGCCGCTGCAGCGTGAGCCGGAAGACTCAGAGCAGCACTTCCATGCGGGGCCACCTGCACACCTTTGCCTCCTCTGGCACCTGCGTGGCCGGCGCACCCTCTCTGCTGCGGCTCAGGGGCACTGTTAGCTTCTGCAGGCGCGGGCAGGTTGAAGGAGGAGGGAGACCCTGGTGGATGAGCCCACGGGGCCTGAGGTCAGAGTGGCAGAGCCCAGGAGGCGTGAGGAGGCGTGAGGGCCTGTGGGGCGTGCTGCTCTGTGGCTGCAGTGCTCACGGCCACTGAGAGCCTTCTTCCACTTCCCCTGTGGCCTCTCTGGAGCTGGGCTGGGGTCCAGCGTCCCGAGGCCTCCCTGCCCCCCAAGAGAGGAGGGTCGGCCACCCCTTGGCTTCCGGCTTGGCTGTGAGGACAAAACATAAATGAATAAAAAGCCATCTTCTCAACCAAGACAGTTAGTTCTTCTGCCTTCTCCAGCCCAGCTCTCCACTAGGCCGCAAATCCATGTCCTTGTTGGGGACCTTGGGCTGCAGATAGTTTTCCTGACCCTCCCAGGCCTCCTCTCTGCCCTTGTCCCTGGCCAGGCCCCCATCTCTCAGGTTCATGTGGCAGCAGCTTCCTCAGGGAGCCCCTGAACCCACCACCCACCAAGTCTAAGCCAAGCTCACCTGGCCCATCCACTCCTGCTCCCAAGCCCTCTGTGAGTCCCCAGGCCCCTCCAGACGACCATAGGACTGCACCCCCTGGAATGTTCTGTGGGCCCTGTTCTGGTGATCCCCAAGGCCTACTCTGAGCCCCCCTCAGCCCTCATGACAGTGTAGGGTTGTCAGCCTAGTGGCGATGGCCTGGGCTCTGTGCTCAGTGAGGGGCCGAGTGACCTCCGAATGCTGGGGCTAGAGGCTCTCCGTGGGCCTCTGTGGGGTCTCTGCCCAGATGTGTAGCTGGCTGCTGTCCCCAGCCCCCTCGGCCCATGCACAGCACCAGCAGTGACCATCTGCTTCTACGAGCGTCAAATGTGTTTCTCTGTCCATGCGTTCAGGGCTCGGGCTCACACAGATAGGCGGGCAGGCAGGCAGACAGACGTGTTGGTTCCTGCTGCTTCCTTGTCTCAGTTCCTGTGAGGTGAGGGCTTAAGCTGGAGCAGTGGAAGGCTGAGCAGACCCTCCCTGGGGGCTGTTCTTTGAGAGTGAGAGAGAGGGTTGAAGCTGTGGCGGGCCTGGCACATGTGCCACATGGTGGCTGTGGTCAGGGTGCTGGGGACAGTGCCCTCTGGGCTGGGGGCCAAGGCTCTCCTGGCCCACAGGAGGTCCTGCTGACCCTGGCTGTGTGGGGAGAGGGGCTCAAGCCTGGCCTGACAGCAGAGGTACCCGGCCTCCAGGGCTGAAAACATTAGGAGCCAGCACTGCACACAGGATGGCGCCACGCCTGCCAGGTTTACCCTTGGGGGAAGTGTTCACACGGACACCCCCGCAGGTGGACCCCTGTGTGGGCCTGAGCGTCACACACCTCCTCTTCCAGTGGGTTTGCACCCATCGTCTTCTGGAAGGGAAAACTCGAAGTTCAGTGAGGACTGTTTTTCCTGCTGTTTGGGAGGAGATCTCCACTGCTCTGCCTTCATGGCAGACATAGTGGTCCTGCTGGTGACCGCTTCCTGCTGGACTCTGGGGGGTCACTGCCCCTGCCCACCCAGCGTCCTGGGTTCCCAGGCCTGCCCTCCCCAGGACAGTGGGTCTTGGGGAGAGACCCCTCACCCCTCAAGGGCAGGCAGACCCCCACTGGCTTCTTTTTCATTGTAACACCCTAACTGCCTCTGGCCGACAGGACCTGTCTTGGCCACCTGCCCTCCCTGAAGACAGAGCCCTGGGCAGTGCAAGGCCAGGGGCTGGTCCAGCTGTACCATTGGAAGAGGGCCCCTAGCTGAGTGGCATGGCCTGTCCTGCCCCTCTCTGGGACTCAGTTTCCCCATGTGTACTTGGAAACTTTGTGGCATTTGGAGATGGGCCTGAGGTTCCAAGTGCAGGTTGGTCTCCAGGGCTGCGGCAGGCAGAGCTGTAGCCCGTGCCGCAGGGGGTTGTCGTCTGTGTGTCGGAGATCCCCAGGGTGAGACCCCCACCAGCATGGTGAGGACATAGGGGAGGAGAAGCCGCCTGGGACTGGGGGGTTTCTGTTTGAGGCATAGCAGTCCCTGTGCAGGCAGCTGTGTGGGAGGGGCCCGGGGGTCTGAGCCGCAGCTGGGCCCAGCCCGCGTCCCCTCTCTGCCCGCAGAGGAGCCCATTTACTGCTACACGCCACACAACTTCACCCGCGACCAGGCGCTGTATGCTCGCGGCTACTGCTGGACGGAGCTGCGGGATGCGCTGCCCGGTGTGGACGCCAGCCTGTGGCCGTCGCTGTTTGAGCACAAGCTGCTGCCCTACTCGCTGCTGGCCTTCGCGGCCATCATGTACGTCCCCGCGCTGGGCTGGGAGTTCCTGGCCTCCACCCGCCTCACCTCGGAGCTCAACTTCCTGCTGCAAGAGATCGATAACTGCTACCACCGGGCCGCCGAGGGCCGCGCTCCCAAGATCGAGAAGCAGATCCAGTCCAAGGGCCCCGGCATCACAGAGCGCGAGAGGCGCGAGATCATCGAGAATGCGGAGAAGGAGAAGAGCCCAGAGCAGAACCTGTTCGAGAAGTACCTGGAGCGCCGCGGCCGCAGCAACTTCCTGGCCAAGCTGTACCTGGCGCGGCACCTGCTCATCCTGCTGCTCAGTGTGGCGCCCATCTCCTACCTGTGCACCTACTACGCCACCCAGAAGCAGAACGAGTTCACCTGCGCGCTGGGCGCATCCCCGGACGGGCCTGCGGGCGGCGGGGGCCCAGCCGTGCGCGTCAGCTGCAAGCTGCCGTCAGTGCAGCTGCAGCGCATCGTGGCGGGCGTCGACATCGTGCTGCTCTGCGCCATGAACCTCATCATCCTCGTCAACCTCATCCACCTCTTCATCTTCCGCAAGAGCAACTTCATCTTCGACAAGCTGCACAAGGTGGGCATCAAGACGCGCCGGCAGTGGCGCCGCTCGCAGTTCTGCGACATCAACATCCTGGCCATGTTCTGCAACGAGAACCGCGACCACATCAAGTCGCTCAACCGGCTGGACTTCATCACCAACGAGAGCGACCTCATGTACGACAACGTGGTGCGGCAGCTGCTGGCCGCCCTGGCCCAGTCCAACCACGACGCCACGCCCACCGTGCGTGACACGGGCGTGCAGACCGTGGACCCCAGCGCCAACCCCGCCGAGCCCGAGGGCTCCGCCGAGCCGCCCGTGGTCAAGCGGCCCCGCAAGAAGATGAAGTGGATCCCCACCAGCAACCCGCTGCCCCAGCCCTTCAAGGAGCAGCTGGCCATCATGCGCGTGGAGAACAGCAAGGCCGAGAAGCCCAAGCCCGTGCGCCGCAAGACGGCCACGGACACGCTGATCGCGCCGCTGCTGGACGCGGGTGCGCGCGCAACGCACTACAAGGGCGGCCCCACCCCGGGCCCGGGCGCCGCCCCCGACAAGAAGCATGCCCGCCACTTCTCCCTGGACGTGCACCCCTACATCCTGGGCACCAAGAAGGCCAAGCCCGAGGCCGTGCCCACCGCCCTGCCCGCCTCCCGGAGCCAGGAAGGGGGCTTCCTGTCCCAGGCGGAGGAGTGCGGGCTGGCCCTGGCCGCTGCACCCACCAAAGGTAGGCAGGGCCAGGAGGAGGAGGGCGGCCCCCCAGAGAGCTGCCTGGTCCTGGGCAGGGAGTGGGTGTCCAGGGCCCCAGGGAAGGGAGGACCCCACCCTCCATACCAGGCACCTAGTGTGAGGAGGTCAAGGAGTGAACCAGCTGATGGCAAAGGGCCAGGGCGGCAAGATCCTCGAGGGCCCTGTGAGGCACACAGGAGGACAAGGCTGGGCCCCAGGGCCAGCAGGGACATACAGCAAGGTGCTCAGGCCCTTGAGAACGTTCTGGAAACGGGTGTGGCTGCTCCTAGTGCAGCTAGAGATTTGGCCCAGGCAGGTGGCTGTGTGCAGAGAGCAGCAGCTGGCCCGTCAGGCTGAGGCCACCTGTCCCAGGGCACCTTAGAGCCACAAGCCCCCACCAGGCTCTCTGCAGCCAGCCTGCCGGGTGGGGACCTGGAGGGGTCAGCGGCGGTAGAGAAAGGGGCCACCTGTGGGGTGTGACGCGCCTGTGTTCTTGGCTATTTGCAGATGCTTCGCTCCCTGAGAAGGAAATCCTGTACACAGGAGAGCCGGCTCGGGGCTCGCTTCCCCCCGGGGGCCCGTTTCACGTCTGTTCACCCCCGACAGCCCCCGCCACCGCTCCTCTGTCACCAGCCAGCCTGGGCAAGGCTGACCCCCTCGCCATCCTGAGCCGCAATGCCACCCACCCACTGCTGCACATCAGCACCCTGTACGAGGCCCGGGAGGAGGAGGACGGGGGTCCCCGTGTGCCCCCGGACGTGGGCAGCCTCATTGCCATCCCCCCGCCACAGCAGATCCTCATTGCCACTTTTGACGAGCCGAGGACAGTAGTGAGCACTGTGGAGTTCTGAGGGGACAGGGCTGCCTTGGCCATCACAGGCCCGCTGCATGACCGAGGTATGCCGCAGACCCCAGCCCCGAGTGGACGCGGCCTCTGCTTTGCCCAGCACCGCCCGCACCCCCCAGCCTCCTGTCCGCATGCCTTGGGGCTCAGCACTTCTCCCACCGCCCCCCCAGATGGCATCGTCAAGGTGCTGGCTGGGCCAGGGGTTGGCTGTGACCCCAGTGGAGCCCCCGGCCGGAAAGGGCCAGAGTCGCCCCCCACCCCTGCATCAGGCACTCGGCTGCGAGATGAAGAGTTTATTTTTTTAGTCAATTTTGTCTTGGGCCCAGGACACTGGCCTGTGAGGGGCTGGGCTGTGGCAGGACAGTTCAGATACTGAGCCTGGAAGAAAACTGGGGATGGTGGCACAGCCGGGCCTGGCCACTCCCAAGGGGTCCCGCTCAGGGCTCACCCTGCTGCAGGGACTGGGAGCCCTCAGGTGGGAGGTGCCAGGGTCTGCCCTCCAGTCAAAGATCAACATGCACTTTCTCCTTGTACCTGACACACCTGTACTTTATTGTACTCTGGTTACTGTAACTCGCTAGCGTGTGTGTCACAAGGAGACTTAGGATGCACTTCAAGGACGGTGTGTGTGAGCATGCGAGCATGTGGGCAATGGGCAAGGCTGCCAGTGTGCAAGTGGATATGTGTGTGATTGGGCGAGCATGCAGGTGTGTGCAAGTGTGTGTGTGTGTATGTGAGCAGGTGCGGGGGTGAGCAAGTGTGTGTGAGACTAGGCCTGCGCGCCAGTGTGCAAATGAGGGGAGGAGTCCAATGCAATAACCATGTCCCCACCCGGGCCACCAGCCCCCGGCTGAGGGCCCATGCCGCTTCCCAGGGGTCCAGGGCTGGCACTCGGCGGGTCTGTCCTATTACCTCAGCCACGGCAACAATGTGACAGTATTAACAAGGTAGCACCGAGCATATCAATAAATACTATTCTGGTACCACCTGAGTCCCGAGTGGTCCATCCTGTGGAGGCCTGTGCTATGGCGAGACCTCCCACATCTGGGCACCTCCATCCAACCTGCATGACCCTCCCTGACCTGCCATTATCACAGGGGGATGCTGGTGAATGGCAGGGCCGGGGGAGGTGCTCCGCTGCCCTCCAGGTTGCCCAGGGCCCTGCTGAGCCCCCAGCAAGGCAGGAGCATGCTGCTGTCACTCATGGTTGATGTGTCATGGCATCTGGCTAACATGTGTGCACTCTGGGCCCTAGGGTGATTCAGGGGGCCCCTGCCCCACAGGGCTCAGGCTCAGCGAAGATGAAGGCATGAGCCCCCAGGAAGCTGTCCCCTCCATCATGCTTGGGGGCAGGAGGCCATCGGATACACTTGGGGGGAACAGAGATAGCTGGCAAAACCTAGGAAGGCTTCCTGGAAGAGGCACCCTTGATGTGCTCTGGAGATGCTCATAATGTCAAAAGGGTCCAGGGTGGGGGGCCTTCATCACAAGGCCCAGGACTCGGGTGGGGATGAGGCTGGTCCCGTGGGTGCAGCACAGAGCCACACACACACTGCAGGCCACAGCAGGTGACCCTGAGGGTCTGAACAAAGGCAGCTGAGCCAGAAACCCATGGGGGCTAGAGCAGGCGGGGTGCAGCCGAGATTAGAGTGGACCTGACTGGCCTGGGCTCCCAGAAGCTCTCCGCAGCCCCACCACCACCACCACCGTGGAGCAGCCCTGAGTTGCTGCACTCAGCAAGACCCCTCCACGGTCTCCAGCTCACCCTGCATACAGGGACGGCAGCAGTGCTCCCGCCCCAGTGGCTTCACTGAGAGTGGAGACGGTCCCAGAGTCCTGAAGTGTGGTGACTCCATCTCCTGCACTTTCCGTCCTGCCAGTGAACACATGTGCTGCCAGCCCCAGAATGTCTGCACCCACACCAGTCCAGGCCCTTGGTGTGTGAACTGACCCCTTGTCCTGGTTTGCTGGGGAAGAGAAGGGCCCAAGTCACCGTCCCGTGGAAGCAAACACCTCACTGCAAGTGTGGGGGATGCCACCCTGCCCGGCGAGTGCAAGAGGGTGCCCTGTGGGCTCCAGTGTTCTTTGAAACACCCTCGCACCCTCCGTCTCCTCGCTCCTTCCCCCAGCCCGGGCAGGGTGGCCAGGCGCTGCTGTCCCTCTCACAAGGCAAGAGGTCAGAGAGAACCCTGCACCCCATCCCACACAGCGAGGACTGGAACCCAGGCCTCTTCCCACCACACCAGCACAGTGTGGGCATCTCAACCAGACTTGCTCCAAACCCCCGGGAAAGTGCCCCAGAGTGGACCATGGCGCAACACCTGGTAAATACCCGCTGCCTTCCTGTGCGAAGGTGGCCAAGGTGGTCCGTAGGGTGGAAGCGATCTGTGCCAGCACAAAGGAAGGGAATAGTGAGAACTGGATGGAGAGAGTGGGGACAAGAAGTGTGCGCCCTCCACCAAGGAGGACAGAGGCCACCCTGAGGCCAGCCAGGCCCCTCGGGGACCAGGAAGCTATGTGGGGGTGGAGCCTCTGTGTCTGCCAGCAGACAGCCCAGCCTGGTGCCAGGAGTGGATGGGGGATTATCTCCCACATCAGCTGGACCACAGGAGGGCCACCCCCAGACTCAGAATGCGGGAAACTGTGACCCCTACAAGTCACAGTGCCAGGTGCAGCTCCTCAGAGACCCAGGGCTGGGGCCAGGGCTCTCCTGGAACCTGAGGGGAAGCCCAGTGTCCGGGTCTGGGTGCTGAAGGACTGGCCCTGCAGGCCCAGACCAGGCACGGGGCTTGAATGCACTACCCCTCACTCCCAGGCCTGCAGGTGGCCTTTATAGCTCCAGGCTGAGGGGAGGACAGCCTGCCAGGGGCAGTCATTACTGAGGCCCCCACTCCAGCCCGTGGCCCCAGAGTGACTTGTCCCATGTCTCTCTTCTCCCTTTTTCCCTCAGCGGAGCCCCTCCCTCTCTCCCACAGGCCAGAGCAGGGGAGCAGGGACACAGCTTCCTGCAGACTGGAGTCCTGGCCACAGGGCAAGCACAGGTCAGAGTGCCTGGGGCAGGGACCTGGCCGGGTTCAGGGTCGAGGAGGTGGGCACGAGCTTCAAGGGTTCCAGCTAGGGGTCGAGGGGAGCTGCTGGGGGTCCAGGCGCGGGGCCAGCAGGCAAGCCATCACTACACCCACTACCTGCCTGGCGCCCGGCCCAGCCACGGCCACCAGGAGGCTGGTGTGGCCCAGGATGAAGTCCTGGGCGCCGGCACCAAGCAGCCGCTGGCGAGCAGCGAGTCGAGGGTACACTGTGACCCTGGGCCCAGGGGAGCCCGCGCCGTCCACCTACAGCCCGGCCACAGCCCCTCAGCGCCCAACGTGCACAGCCACTCCGGCAGGCCGCCAACACCACGCCGGACGCCGGCAAGGCGGGGGCCGGGGCGCTGCGCCGGGGGTGAGGCCACCGGGGAGAGGGCGCTGAGAGCGCAGCACCGGAGGAGGGGCGGGTGGGGAGTCTTGGCGGCCCTCTCCCACGCCCCGAGGCTGCTGGCAGCCGCCTGCTCGGCCAGATGGGGACGAGGGTCCAGCCTCGGGACCCTCGGGGACCGGGCCCCTCCGCTGGCAGCAGGACGAGGGCTCCAGTTCGCCAGGGTCCGCCTGTCCTGAGGCCCCCGGCCCCTCCAAGGGTTGGGGTCCCGGCTTCCGGCCGGGCCAGCCCTCCTGGGGACCCTGACCGCCATGCAGGAGTCTCGACGGCCCCCGCCCCGGCTGGCTGCGCGCCGACCGGGAGGGCCGAGTGGAGCCCACGTGTGCGCTCCTCGCGTTCCCCTATGGGCTGTCCTTCTCGTGCGGGACTGACAGTTCTGTATCATTGGACGTAAAACCACCCCGTGGACGCCGTACGAACGTCATCCCCATTTTACAGACCGGGAACTGAGATCAGAGAATTTAAGAGCGTTTCGCAAGTTTGCCCTGCAGGGGTGGCGGGCCGAGGACTCGAACACACGGCCGCGTCACCGCCGCCTGCGTCCTGGGACGGGAGGTGCCAGGGGCCCGGGGGGCGGGGAGGTGCTTCCCGCGTGCGGGCCCCTGGGAAGTGTAGTCCGCGAGTGCTCGCGCGTAATCCTCTGGGAAGTGTAGTCCGCGGTCGCAGGCCGGGCGCGCCGCCCGGGCGGGCGGGAGGAGCGCGGAACTGCGCTTCCCGGCATGCCGCGCGCCGCCCGCCCCGCGACCCCGGCCCGCCCTGTCCGGTGGGGCGACGAGCCGCATGGAGGCCGGCTGAGGAGCGCCGCCGCCTAGGTACGCCGCGCGGCGCGGGCCTGGGGCGAGGGGCGGCGCGCGCGTCGGCCCCGGGGGGCGGGCCGGGGTCGGGTCGGGTCCGGTCGCGGGCGGGGTCGGGGGCCACCGGGCTGCAGGTCGGGCCCAGCCAGGTCCCAGCGTGGAGCCTCGGCCAGAAGGGTCAGCCCCGGCCTCCGAGGAGGGCGCGCCGGGCTGGGGTGGACGGCGAGGGTCGCGAGGTCTGGAGGGCTCGAGTGGAACAGGCCCGGGCCGGGGCTCGAGGTCGGCGTGGGGGTCGGGGTCGGGGTCGGGGTCGGGGTCCGGGGCAGCGGCGGGCAGGGAAGACGGCCCGGGGTCCGGGGTGAGGCGCGGGTCCCCACCTCCCCAGGCGGCGGTGGCAGAGTCGGGGGAGACCCCGGGCCCCTCGGGCTGGCGGAGGAGGGTTGCCATACGGACAGAGCCGCCGAGGTCCCCCGCCGTGTGCCGGCCACACTTGGGAGGCCTGTCAGTCCTTCCTTGTTTCCGCGGAGCAGCTTTGCTGAGACGTGACTTACTGCTGCAAAGTTCGCACACCGTCTGTAAAGACTGTCCCGGGAAGGGAGTCGCGGCTGCCTTGGCGTCAGCATCTCAAAAACAGCTGGGCACTCCGCTGGGAAGTCTCCGCTGCCGTATGCGGCCCCGACAGCCTCATTAGGAGGGCTGCGGTTTCCAGGTGGAGTCCTCCTGGCTTTCGGCGTCGGGAGAGGCGGATGTGCAGGCCGTTGGCTCAGTGCGCCTCTTTGTAGGCTTGGCTCTCCGTGTCTGTCCCTTTTGCTGCTGCTGCTCCTGTTGTGGTGTGACTAGGAGAGAGCCTTGCCCCTGAGGCCGTGGTCAGCCTTGCACAACAGCCATGACGCTGTGGTCTGAGGCTGCCAGGCAAAACTGCCAGGAGAGGGCCTGGCAGGGTGGATGTGCAGGCCTGCACCCTGCAGTGGTGGTCAGTGTGGGGACCCAGCCCTGGGCAGCCTCCAGGTTCTAGGAGGGTCAACCAGGTGTGATGGGCAAGGAGCCTTTAGGGGCTCCAGCTCAGATGCAAGTTGGCATCTGATCCCAGACTTAGCCACAGCTCCGTGAAGCAGGTCCTGCCAGACCCAGGGGGTCTCCGTGGTCAAGGGTACCCAGGCTTCAGAAGTGGGTGTGTAGGGGATGTCAGGGGTTTGGCCCCACCCTGCTGCCTCGCAGCCAGTCATTTCCTTCTGCAGCTGGCTGATCTGTCCAGTTTGGGACCCCTGGCTTTCTGAGCAGGCCCTGTGGGTTGGTTGGGAGGTACGGATTTTTCTGGGAACTCTATTCAGTGCTGGTCAGTTCTTGGTCAGCACTAGGAAGCCAGGCTGGGGTCTGAGAGGCAGTTTGTGGCTTCCCAACTTTTAGAGGGATGAGTGGGAGAGGATGGGTGTCTCAGTCTACTCTGCCGCCATAGCATAGTATGACAGACTGGGCAGCTTAAACAACAGACTGTTTTCTCCCGGTTCTGGAGGCTGGAAGTCCAAGATCAAGGTGCCAGCTGATTTGTTGCTGGTGAGGGCTCTTTCCTCCTGGCTTGCAGGCGGCTGCCTCCTCACTGTGTCCTCACTTGGTGGAAAGAGTGCTCTCTGGTGTCTCTTCTCATAAGGGCACTGATCCTAAGATGAGGCACTGCCCTCATGGCCTCATCTAAATCTAATCACCTCCCAAACGCCCCCCTCCAAATACCATGGGAGTTAGGGCTTCAATATATGAATTTGGGGCGACCCAACTCAGTCCACAGCAATGGGACCCAGGAGAGGGGACAGCTGCCTATGCTGGGCAGGCATGAACCTGCGGCCTGCCACTCACACTATGAACTGTCTGCTGTGCTCAGGTTCTGTCCTGAAACAGACACCCAGCACCACATTTTCGATGCTGATAACCTCGTGCCACACAGAACACTAACAGGGCTGCACACCTCGGGAATCCCTAAGACCAGTGGGGCTTTTCCTGCCCTTCGAACTGGGCGTCTTCTCTGGTGCTCTCAACAAGATGGGTCCTCTCAGAGCTGTCAGGAATTCCCACACGTTTAGAGTTTGTTTTCCTGGAAGTATGTGGGTGATTCTGCTGCTGTCATCTGCGTGGAGGTTTATAATTTCCGAAGCCAGATAGTGGTGTTGTCCCTTGCCACACATAAGGAGACAGGCTAGGGGAACCCATATTGCGGTGTCTCCTGAAACCAGGCCACTGGTTCTTTGCGTACCCCTTGGGTTTTGCCTCTGCCCTCCATCTTGGGGACAGGAGACCATGACCCACTGAGGGAAGCCCAGAGGGGTATAGAGGTCGTGGGCTGAAGTGACATCTGAGTGTGGCACCTGTTTTGCAGCTGGGAGAGGGCCTACTGTGTGTGGACAGGCTGGGTGGCTGGGTGGCCACTCTAACCACCTCTGCCTTGGAGGCAGGAGCTAAGAGTCCTCGCAGGTCGAAGCATCTTGCCCACGGCCGCACAGCGCTAAGTGGCCCGTCTGAGATCTGGCCAGCCCCGCGGCCATCTCCCGCAGCACGGTTGCTGGCAAACCAGCTGGCCTGTTTGCCAGATGACCTGGCCTTAGGTGGCCTTGCTCACGAGGCATCTTCCAGCTCTTGTGCCCAGCACCTTCCCCAGGCCATGCTCAATGGACGGTCCTTGGCCGTGACTGCTGTTGGAGGGGACTGAGGCGTAGCTGGATGTGGCAGAAGTGTCCTGATTTGTCCGGGTGTCCTGGCGAGGGCTGGGCCCTGGAGACTGGGTTAGGAGGGGGCACATTTATCCCCCTTTGTGGTGTCAGCCAGGGGTCTGCTGGTCGCTGCAGGGTGCAGAGGTGTGATGAGCTGCCAGGACTCATTGCTCCAGAGATTGTGTGGCAGGAAACCAGAAAGGATGCAGGTGCTCCATGGGCAGCCGCCTGTGGGTGGGGGGCGATGGGGGCCAGGCCCAGTGGTCTGTGAGTTTGGGCCCTTTGCTCCCCTCCAGGCAGCTGGGAGAATCTTGGGTCCCAGCCATAAATACTTGAAAATGCATGGTGGTGAGCAGGGTGTGGGAAGGGGATTAACAGTCCCACAAGGGTCTTACCAGGGACCCTGGCTGAGGCTGATGCAAACCAGAGTACCGGAAAGTGTGTAGACCTGATAACATCAGAGAGAGGCACGCCTCAGAATCACGAGCTCTTAGTGCTTAAAGGGGCCTCAGTGGCCTTCCTGCCTGACCCCTCCTAGGCTAGGCACCTGCCTCTCAGGAGCAGCTGCAGAGAGCAGTACAGGGAGCTCAGGGGGACCCAGGTCCTGGCGCTGCAGTTGGGTGCCCCAGCCTTGGGGTTCAGGGCTTGGCTTCAAGCCAGACAGGCTTGACTGTCCCCGCCCGCAGGAGCCAGTACCCAGAAAGGCGCGTGGAGTGGGCCTGGAGCCTGTGCACAGTGGGGCCTGCCTGTCCCCCACAGGTGCAGGCTTCCTCCTGGCCTTCAGAGGGCGGGTCTGGCCAGGCTGGGTGCAGGGAAGGCTAGGGCAGAGGCCAACCCAGACCTGCGGTCGCCACACCCATAGGAGGGAAGGCTAAGGCAACGTGGTGGCCTCCCGTTGGCTGGCTGTCACAGGAGCCTCCCCAAGACAGCACGGGATGTTTTCTTAAGAAGTTACTAGACTCTGGCAGCCTGTGCTGCTCAGAAGTAAGAATCGTTTCTTCCCCATGTAAAGCCAGACTGAGGACAATTATCTCCAGCTTCGCCTTCTGGGCCGGCTCGGGAACCTGAGAGGTGCACAAGCCCCAGCCCCGACAGCTGGGCCCACCCTCCAGCTTCAGGCACAGCTCCCTGTTTACATTTTCATTGGTGCCTTGCATCTGAGGTTGGAGGCCCTGGTGGTAAGGCCACGAGGTTGGGCAGAGGCCTGGCCATGCTCAGGCCGGGTGTGCTGAGACCGGGTGCCAGCATGCCCAGTGGGAGGAGTGCAGTGCCCTGTCCTGGAGGCCAAGCCAGGCCCAGACCTCTTACCCCCTGCAGAGGCCCACTGTGTCTGACTGCCAGGCTGGACACCGGATCAGGCGTTTGGTGACATGGGGACAGAACCCTGCGCCTGCTCTGAGCCGCCTGCCCAAGATGGTTCCTCTGGCTGCAGATGAGGAAACGAGCTCGGAGAGGGGCCGGGCACGGAGCCCAGGTCTGTCCTCGCTGCAGCTGTGTCACCACGGGGTGCAAAAGGGGAAGGAGCCTGACCTAGTGCCATGCTTATTCTGTTATTTGTTTTCCCTCTTTATTATGAAAGTTTTGAAAAATGTGCAGCCATAGTGAAAGTGCAGTGAGCCCTGGCGCGTCACACAGCCCTGCGGGTCCGCCCTGTGTGTCCCCCAAGCCTGCTTCTGAAGCACATCCAGAGGTTGTTTCATTTTGTCCATAAGTTCACGTCTGACAGATACAGACTCTTTAAAACAAAACCATGATACTGCACCACAACTAGAAATAAATCAGAACAGTTCCTTAATGTGACACCCTCCAGTCACTTGTCACATTCCTCCAAAGGGCTCATCATTTCCAGCAGCTTTCTCGAGCTGAGCCCTGGCCAACGTGGCCGAGCCCAGCCCGTGAGCTGCGCTTGCAGCCGCCCAGTCCTTTGGCAGCAGGACCCCGGCTCCTGCAGCCTAATGCGCAGGTGGACCCATGGGCCGTGGTGGACTCTGGTTTGGACTTTTCAGCGGCATCTTGGGGAGGTGCCAGCGTCCAGTCCGCCTCTGCAAGTGCCGCCCCTGTCTAGGCGTAAAGGCGTCTCCGAATCACGCCGGCACCGGGCTTTACCCGTCCCTCCCTCTGCTGCTTCCCGTGGCCATGCTGACGTCTGTGATGTCATTGTGTTGTCACCCACACCGTAACTCCTGAGAGTGGGACAGCAGCCACAGCGTGTATCCCAAAGAGCTGCAGCAGAGGCCCTTCCTCAGGGCGGGAGGGCTGGTGCCCCCGAGCTGCCCTGGAGCCCCTCGGCCCTGCACAGCCTCCCTGGGTGCTGAGGGTTTAGTGCTAACTTGACACACAGATTCACTTCTCTTTTCCTTTTTTTAGGGAGTTTTGTAAATTGTGTTTTGTTGCAAAATCACAAAGGAAATGTCCAGGAGTGCCCGGCTGCCCCCGGGGCGTGGGTGGCCAAGCTCCCACTCTTCCTCTGTTGGGTAAACAGGAGGGAGGGGGTGAGTCCCGCTCTGCGGGGAAGTTCACTGGCGGGCATCACTCCTGGCCTGAGTCCTTGCGCCTGCCTTGCTTGGCCCTGGGGAGCCTGGGCCTCAGTGTCCTGTGATTGACGGGGCTCGCGTAGGGATCTGGTGGCCAGTGGTGTGGGGCAGGGAGGCCTCAGTCTCACCCACAGATCATTTAGGTCCATTGGAGCCCCTGACGGAGCCCGAGGCACACAGAGCCCCACGCGTGGCCCCAGGGCTCCAGGTGAGGACGCGCTTCCTGTGTCTCCTCAGGCCTCACTCATCGGTGTCGGGAGCTGCTGCCCAGCCATGGAGGGGGAGGAGGAGCAGCCACCTCGGGAGGTCAGAGGTCTGGGCTGGGGTGCTGGGGGCCTGCTTCTTGAACAACCTTGGGCTCAGGGCTGGGCCAGCTGCTTAGCAGAGTGTGGGGTCCCGGAGGATACCCCCTCCTTGTTGTGGCCTCCTAGGGTCACTCTGGCTGTTACTGTGCATAAAACATCTTGTGTTTTCTGTGGTGTTCCTGGGTCAGTTGAGGGAGCCCTGGGGCAGGGTGCCCTGGACGAGGGCTGCGTACAAGGTGATTACCACAGACAGACTTTTAGTTGTGGGAGTATATGGCCCCCAGGGCCTGGGAGTTCCCAGGGGCTGTGGAGCAGCTGCACGAATCCTGGGCAGGCCTGTCAGGGCAGGTGGGTGCCCTGAGCCTGGGCAGGCCCGGAGAGGGTGGGCATCTAACTCAGACACTGTCCTCCCCTCTGCAGGCTGACACGGAACCTGTTGTGATGTCGGGGGCCTCAGACGTGGTGCCCAGGGTCCTTTCTGGAGAACCCCAGAACCTGTGTGCGTCCTCCTAGGATCACTCGGTGCTGGGCAGGAGGGTGGGCTGCTCCCTGGCTGGCAGGGGCTCGGACTGGGTGACCTCCCAAGTCTGTGGTGACCCCTAGCCCCCCCGGGCTGTTGGGAGGGGTGGAGAGTGAGTGGGGTGAGCGGAGCTGCAGCAGAGGCCCTTCCTCAGGGCGGGAGGGCTGGTGCCCCCGAGCTGCCCTGGAGCCCCTCGGCCCTGCACAGCCTCCCTGGGTGCTCCGCTCCTGGCGGGTGCTGAGTTTGCCAAGGCCCAGCCCGCTTTCCTCAGGGTGGGGTCTGGTCAGATGGCGCCGTGCCCAGTCGCACACTGTAGTGAGCGAGGACCAGTGGCTTTGCATGCAGGCGGCAGCTCATCCGGGCTGGGAGGGACCCCCTGTGGACAGTGCTGCTTGTTGGCACCATCTGGGTTCCAGGGTGCATGTGGCCCCCACCTGGCACCCTTGCAGTCCTGAGAGCCTGGGAGCCAAGGGGCTCTGTGGGCGGGTGTCCCCAAGCTGTGCCTTGCTGTCCTTGCAGCTGACGTGGATGCTTTCAACCTGCTCCTGGAGATGAAGCTGAAGAGGCGGCGAGAACGGCCCAACCTACCGCGCACCGTGACAGAGCTGGTCGCCGAGGATGGGAGCAGGGTGTACGTGGTGGGTACAGCCCACTTCAGTGATGACAGCAAGAAGGACGTGGTGAAGGTGAGGCCCGTCATGCGGGTCTGACCCCAGGCAGGGCCATGCCCCTTTCTGTAAGCCTCCTGTTGCTGGGCCACTACACCAAGGCCCCTCCACAAGGAGGTTTCCCGTTCTACAGGCCCTAGGCTCAGCCGCATGCGGGTTTTCTTTTTAAGGACAAGTGTACCTATTTTGCAACTTCCTCTTTTTAGTTGCTTAAAGAACTGAGTTGTCACCACAGCAGATAAGTTGGCCCTGGGGTTGCCGGGGGTGGGTCTCTCAGGCCTGGCCTGGGCTCTGCCCACAGGGTCGGGGTCAGGGTCAGCGCTGAGGGCAGGGCACCAGGGCATAAGCCGCGTGTCTGTTACAGACCATCCGAGAAGTGCAGCCTGATGTGGTAGTCGTGGAGCTCTGCCAGTACCGCGTGTCCATGCTAAAGATGGACGAGAGCACGCTGCTGCGGGAGGCCAAGGAGATCAGCCTGGAGAAGCTGCAGCAGGCTGTGAGGCAGGTGCGGCCATCGGGCCGGCGGGTGGGCTGTGCAGCCACTCGGCCACCTCCCTAGTCAGCTGCGCCCTGCCGAGCCCCAGGGGGACCTGGGGCCATGCTCCCTGCTCTGCCCACCTGTGAGCCCGAGGCCTCTGGTCAGCGCAGAGGTGCCCAGCCCACCCTGGGGCTTTGTCTGGTTGAGGACCCTTCACCCTGGCCCCTGGTGGAGGGGAGGCATTTGTTGGGTTTCGGACAAGGAAGGAAAAGGTAGACGATGCTTCATCCCCAAGGGAAGAGGCCGCAAAGACTCTGCGTTTGCTGAGCAGATCTCTGGTGATGCGGGGCTGGTCTCAGTGCCATCCGACCTGCTTGCCGGCCCAAAGCATTACCCCCTCCGTGTCTCCTGCACGTGGGCCCCAGGTACAGGGCTGGAGTCAATGCACACCTATAGACACCCCGAGGGGGATATGGTCAGAGGAGTCGGGGTCTGGGCTGGAGGGGTGGGGGGAAAGGGGCGTCCACAGGGCAGAGGCCAGGCAGCCAGTCCATGACAGTGTGGCCCTGAGGCAGGCCTGCCTTGAGAGGGTTGTCCAAAGGGCTAAGGGACAGATAAAGGGCCAGGAAGGGCCTCGGAGTGTCCACTGTGGGCATGGGCGCCTGCTGCCAGGCCCTGCTGAATGTCAGCTCAGGGCCCTTGCTCCGCCCCTGGGCACAGAAAGCCATGTGCTCTGTGCTAGTGTAGCCGCTCACCCTCAGGCTCCCCTCTGCCTGCAGAATGGGGTCATGTCTGGACTCATGCAGATGCTGCTGCTGAAGGTGTCGGCCCACATCACCGAGCAGCTGGGCATGGCTCCTGGTGGCGAGTTCAGGGAGGCCTTCAAGGAGGTAGGTCTGGGCTCCGGGGGGTGCTCAGGGCTTGGGAGCTGCCCTGGGGCCTGAGGGTTCCCCAACCGACACCTGGCCTCTGCCCAGGCCAGCAAGGTGCCTTTCTGCAAGTTCCACCTGGGCGACCGGCCCATCCCGGTCACCTTCAAGAGAGCCATCGCTGCACTCTCCTTCTGGCAGAAGGTCAAGTTGGCCTGGGGCCTGTGTTTCCTGTCCGATCCTATCAGGTAGGGCTCACTTGGCATCCTGGAAGACAGCCCTTTCTGGGAAAAGTGGCTAGTGGCTGGGGGATAACACGTAGAGTGCCCAGCCCATACCTGTTCTGGCCTGGCCTGCCGTGCAGCACATCCCTCTCACTCTGGGCCTAAGCTGCCTTGAACAAGGCCTTCCTGCCCCTTCCTTCCCCTGTGAGCCCAGACAAAGGGTGCCTAGGTCCCTGCCCTGGGTCAAAAGCACCAGCTTCCTCTTGGCCGCCCCATCCCTGCGGGGCTGGCAGCACGCCCTTCTGCCTCCAGCAAGGATGACGTGGAGCGGTGCAAGCAGAAGGACCTGCTGGAGCAGATGATGGCGGAGATGATCGGCGAGTTCCCCGACCTGCACCGTACCATTGTCTCAGAGCGCGACGTCTACCTGACCTACATGCTGAGGCAGGCCGCCCGGCGCCTCGAGCTGCCACGCTCCTCTGACGGTGACGGCCGGCCCGGGCGGGGGCTCCCTGGGGCCCTGTCGCTGCTAGCTGGGTGCTGACGCGTCGCTCCCCTGACAGCCGAGCCCAGGAAGTGCGTGCCTTCTGTGGTGGTGGGCGTCGTGGGCATGGGCCACGTCCCCGGCATCGAGAAGAACTGGACCACTGACCTCAACATTCAGGAGATCATGACGTGAGTGCCGCCTGCCCACCCCTCGCGCTCCCCAAGCACAGAGCCAGGCTGGGGGGCTGGGCTGGGGCTGGGGGGGGCACATGCCCTCGAGCCAGGCCCAGCCCACCTTCCCTCCCCCAGCGTGCCCCCGCCGTCCGTCTCCGGCAGAGTGTCCCGGCTGGCTGTGAAGGCTGCCTTCTTAGGCCTGCTGGGCTATGGCCTGTACTGGATGGGGCGCCGTGCCGCCAGCCTGGTCCTGTCACTGCCCGCCGCCCAGTACTGCCTGCAGAGGGCGTCCGCAGCCTGGCCGCACAAGTAGGAAGGACAAAGAGAGCCACCATGTCTGTTGGGGCCACACGTGGCCGCTCCTGTGTTGCAGCCGAGGGGCGCGGGGGCCGGCCCCCTGAGGAGCTTCTGGGTGCCACCCCCTGTGGGGGTCCAGGCCCAGCCTCCCCTGCCCTCCCCCAACCTGCCCAAATAAAGAATTATTTAACTGCTCAGAGCTCAGGCTTCCCAGCCAACCCTCCCCCTTCAGGGGCCGTTCACAGGGCTCAGGGGCAGCAATGGGACAAGCTGGTGGGGAGGGGCTGAGGCACACGCCACCCCTCTTGCCCTCGGGCCCAACCTCACTGTGCCTTCTCACGGGCCAGCGGCAGGAGTGCCTGGCCCGGGAGCATCTTGTGGTGGGTTCCGGGCCGGTGGGTTCTGGGCCATAGGTTCGGGGCTGGCACATCTGGGAAGGGCTGGATCGCCCCATGCAGCCCTGGCATGGCTCCCGGGAGCCTGCCTCCCAAAAGGGCAGCTTGGCCAAGCTTGGCGGCCTGGACCTGCACCAGCACTGGTTCCGCCTGCAGAAACTGGGGCTTTGGCTTTTAAAAATGACTGAACTTTTTTCACTCAGGTAATTTTAACTTAAAAGAAAACAAACTGAAGCAAATGTCAGGAAATACTAGCCTTAAATCTGGTTGGGACAAAGAGGACATGTTTTTCTTGGGATCTCAGTCCTGAGAGGTTGAGTGTGTGGGAGGGTCAGCTTTGGCAGTAGGGCCAGGCTGGCCTCCGGGTGCTGCCCTTCCAGCTGCCCCCTTGGTGGCCTCCAGCCAGTGGGGGATCCAGGTCTGCCGCCCTCTCAGTGTGAGCCTGCCTGGGCTGTGGGCAGTTGAACTTGCTTCCTGTGCCTCTGGCAGGGGGACCCGGGAGTCACCGTGGCCCTCAGTGGATGGATGGCGTGTCTGCCAGTTTGCAGTTGTGTCAGCACGTGCCCACCACCCTCCCGCTGGCCTGCTTCTGCTGGTCCAGACAAGCCCAAGGTTGGGCTGGTCCCACACAGCACTTCCGCCCCAGTCGTCACTTGTGTGCGCAGTCAGTCGCTCCTGGTTGTCTGTTTACGACATTGCATCTGTGCAGCCCGTCTGGGGCCCAGGGCCACATTTGATTGTTTGTGTTGATTCCATGTCTGACCAAATCAGGTGAAACCCATGGCCGTGAGCTGGGCTAGGGAGCCTTGGGCTGGCTGGACCATGTCCTTCCTGTCATTCACACGCTCGTGTATGCGTTCCTTAGAAACTGAAATAAAATCTTATTTTAGAAGCTCCTGTTTTGTGAAATGTGTGGAACCTGGACTCAAGTGACAGGGAGGGGGTTCTCCCCTGGACCACGGTGCGGAAGGGCAGCAGGGGCAACAGGCCTGGGCTGGGTGGCAGGATGCTGACGGTGCTGCCTTGGGTCCTGGGGGACTTAACCGCCACCACCTGCCTCTCAGCACAGGATACAGGTCCTGGGGCCCTGGCACCTGCCCATCCCAAGCATGGACCCTGGCCCAGCGAGGGCACCAGCCAAGGAGAAGTGTACTCAGAGGAGCCCCCTGCCCTCACCCTGCTCAGCCCCTGACCCTGGCATGCGACCCAGGCATGCAGGAGGGGAGGAGGCGGGGTGAGCCCAGTGGCCTGAACAAACTGCTCTGTAGGGACCAGCAGCTCAGATCCACCCAGAAAGAGGACAGCGAGCCCCAAGGTGGCTTGGGCCTTCCCATGGGCACAGAGGGTGGCTGGGAGCATGGGGGGCTCGGCTAGCAGGGTTGCAGGGTGGGCTCTTCCTCCACGTCTGCCTCCCAGGGAGCCTGGCCCCCCACCGTGCAGGGTCTCCTTGCTCTCCGCCTCTCTGTGTCCCAGGTCAGCTCCATGGTGCAGCTTCGAAGGCTGGTAAGAGGGGCCAGTGGGCTGGTGGATCTCACTAGCCTGAGGTAGGCTGAGGGTTCCCAAGGCTGCCCCTGACGAATCTTCTCTCCACAGGTCCAGCTGGTGTTGCTGGGACCCCGAGGTCTGGCAGTGCAGGGTAGGACAGGGAAGGGCAGGCTGGGCACAGGCTGGGCAGCCTCTGACCTGTCACCTGCAGGTCTGCATCCAGCAGGCCTCACTCCCTATGAGGACCAGCCTGGGGGAGAGGCAGACGAGGACAAGGCCCTGCTCTAGTCTCATGTTAGGGGGGGGCCAGCCGGACTTGGGGCAGCCCCCAGACCACTGCTGGGCTGGGAGGAGCAAAGCAGGGAAGTCAAGGCAGACCCTCCAAGGGCAGCAGGTGAGGTCCGTGTTGGACCCATCAGGGGAGAGGTGGTGTCCAGGGACAGCAGGAGGAACTGGGAATTGAGGTCTGTCCAAGGGCTGGGGGCCATTAAATGCATGGAACCCAAGGGACAGCCACTTCTGAAAGAGAAAAGGCCTGAGGCTGGTGTGGCCCAAGGTGAGGGGATAGCAGCTGCTCGTCTGCTTGGACCACCTTGTTGTAGCTTGTCCGCTGGACTGTCGCAGTGGCTCTGCAGGGGCTCTGGTTCTAGTCACTGGAGAGCACCACCCCTTCCCAGGTCCTGACCCCTCCTGGCCTGCAGTTCCCACAGGAAAGGACTGCTCTCAGATCTGGGTGGAGGACCACAGGGCCCCCAGTGGCATGTACACCAGCCAGCCAGAGGGAGCCAGCACCCCTTTCAGGTGAGCAGCCTGCAGTGTGGGGGGTCCAGGAGATACTTTGTGTTTGTTGCTTTGGCAAAAACAAGATGTTACTGTTTGAGGTTGGCAGGGGAAAGGCCAGGCCAGGCAGTGCTGGTGGGGCATCGGCTATGGCAACTGGCCTTCTATGTCCATCCTCAGACCACACCTGGGCACAGAGATGTTGGCTGAGTGTCGGTTATGGTCAGGAAAGGCCGGGAGAGACCTAAATGTCCACCTCTAAGGGAATCAACAGAGAGTGATGCCCAGGATATGATGTGAAGTGAAAAAAGGAAGCTACACAGTGAGGAATAAATGAACGTCCAACTCGGGAGGCAGCCCCATGTCCCGGGGAGTTACTGGGAATCTCCACCTATATTTCTGAGAATTTGAATTTATTACAGTGCAAATTTTTCTTACATTGACAAGCAGAAAAACAAGATTTCAATTTCAAATAAATAAAAAGTGCTTAGGAGAGCGTGGGCAACCTTCTCTCAGACAGGAAGGAGCAGGCCTGCTTGGACCTGCCTGGGCGCTGCCAGAGCAGGAGGCCCTTGACATGACTGCCGTGCCCCAGGTTTCCTGTGACGTGCACATGGATGGTGGCTAGATGGTGACTCAGAGTCAAGACTCTGGACTTAGAGAGGTGCTGGCAGTACAAACAGGGCTTTGGAGACTTGGAGGCAGGAGGGCCGTGCTGCGTGTGGGACACGGGTGCAGCCAGGTGCCCCAGTGCCTTGTCTTTGAGGGCACCACCATGTCCTGCAAGGCTTGTGCCTGCAACGCATGGGCAGCCAAGCCTCATTAAATGTTCAAGCCCTGCTGTCCACTTGTCTTCCTTGTGGCTTGGGATGGGGAGGGGCCGAGGCTAGCTCCTGCCCAGCCTGGCCACTTAGACCCTGCACTGTCAGCGGCACCTGCCTATCCAGGAGGCCATGCAGCCCAACAGTGAGGCCAGAGGCAAGGTCACCAGGGCTGACCTGCTGGAACCCTTGGTACCTACCAGGTGTCCCGTCTGGCTGTGAGCTCAGTGAGGGCAGCCCAGCAGGGCACAGGGCCTGGTACTCACAGGGCCTCCATAACCCAGTCTCACCAGATTCCAGAGTGTGGGTAAGACAGTGGGCAGAGGGGGTGAGGAGATGGGTCAGGAGGGTCTGGGGAAGAGGGGTGGGGTAACACCAGGTCAGGCTGGGTCTCCTAGGCAGTTACGAAGGAGGCTGGGAACAAAGTCTCTGTCAGCAGGCCGGGTGGAGAAGACCTCAGATAGGCCCAGGGGGAAGGGATGCTGTCAGGCTGCAGGAGGGCACTCCAGGGTGCCAACCACCTAAGGGACCTCACCATGTTGTCTCCCTCATCTGTGTGACCTCCTGGCTGCGCTCCTCCTGACGCCACGCAGAAGGTGGTGTCATTGTCTATCTCAGGCATGAGGACCCTGAGCTGAAGAGGGGTTGAGGTCACACAGCTGGCAAGGGCAGAGCTGGTTCACAAGAGGTCTGGGAAGCCCACTTTGTGGCCCTAGGAGAAAGTTCTGAGCAGCTCCCTGAAGTTAAGTCTAGACTCGCAGGGCTGCTGGAATACAGGGTAGCCCCAGCCAGGAGGGAGCGCACGTGTTGGTCAGGAGTCTCAGGCCCAGCTACGAGGGTTTGACCTGGAGCCAGGTGGGGGAAGGGTTTGGGACCATCCCCCTCCTCAGGACCCCTGTGCTCCACGCAGGCATCAGCAGTAGGCTCAAGGGCGCTCTGCAAGGCTCATCTGACCCGAACCCCTGAGTCATTCTGCCACACTGATCCCAACTCCTCACTTGGGGCCGGCCTTCAAGGCCAGGCTTGGCCACCAGCCCCTGCACCCACCCTAGCCTCCTGGGCATCTATGGGGGTTTCTCTGGGCCAGGCGCTGTTCTAGGGGGCAGTAGCCCCCAGATCATCAAGGCTCCTGCCCTCCCAGAGCGTGGGGAGGAGAGACACAGAAACAAGAAAATAAGGGAATAAGCCATTTCAGAGAGAAGTGCTGTGCCAGGAAAACCACCAGGTGGCATGAGGCGCTGACGTGGACAGGGTAGCAGTGGATCCGGGCCCCGCGAGGAATCCAAGCAGAGGGAGCGCGGGAGCCCCGGCCCCGCACGAGGGAGGCGCCAGCGGCCCTGCTCCTCTAGGCTCCTCCCGGCCCAGAGCCGTCCCCGCCGGCCCTGCCGGATCCGCACAGACACGTTCTTTCCCTCCGGTCCCGGGCGCGGTGCAGCAGAGGACGATCCCGGGCAGACTCCAGCGCGGCGAGGGCGGACAGCCCTCGGCCCACGCGAGTCCCCCGGGGATGTCACAGCCTTAGTGCCAGGTGTGTCCCGGGCCGGACCTCGGGGACCTGCTGCTGTCACCCTAGAAGTGACAACCGCGGAAGTAGACAGACGGACACCGCAGCCAATGAGAACCAGGCTTCGGCGGGCGCGGCTCGCGCAGGCGCAGCTGCGGACACCGCCCCCCCAGGCGATTGGGCGGCGCGGCGCGCGGGGCGGGGCTTCTGGTCGGGGCGAAGGGGCTTCCGTCGCAGCGGCGCCGTGGATGGCCGCGCTCCGCGTCGCGCTCCGGGGCTCGCTCTCGGCCGCCCGCGCCCGGTCCCCACCCCTCGGCCGCCGCCCGCCGCCCGCGCGCCGCCCCGCCTCGGCCGCCGCCCGCGGGCCCGCCATGGAGCCGGTGCCCCGCTGGCTGGCGGGGCTGCGCTTCGACAACCGCGCCCTGCGCGCGCTGCCCGTGGAGACGCCGCCGCCTGGCCCCGAGGGCGCGCCGTCCGCGCCGCGGCCCGTGCCCGGGGCCTGCTTCAGCCGCGTGCGGCCCGCGCCCCTGCGGCAGCCGCGCCTCGTGGCGCTGTCGGAGCCCGCGCTGGCGCTGCTGGGCCTGGGCGCGCCGCCCGCCGACGCCGCCGCCCGTGAGGCGCGCGAGGCCGAGGCCGCGCTCTTCTTCAGCGGGAACGCGCTGCTGCCGGGCGCCGAGCCCGCCGCGCACTGCTACTGCGGCCACCAGTTCGGCCAGTTCGCCGGGCAGCTGGGCGACGGCGCCGCCATGTACCTGGGCGAGGTGTGCACGGCGGCCGGCGAGCGCTGGGAGCTGCAGCTCAAGGGCGCCGGCCCCACGCCCTTCTCCAGGTGGGTCGGGGCCGGGGCCGGGGCCGGGGCCGGCTGACGGCTGGAGGGCCGTCCACGCCCGTGGTGGGGCGGCGAGCGTGCCCGCAGAGCCCTCCTCCCCAGTTGGGTGTGAGATGGAACTCCGGGGAAGTTCGATCTAGGGACGTAGAACGTGAGGGTGGCAGCGTTCTGGGGAAGGGACCAGCTCGTGCCGAGGCCGTGAGGCCAGAACAAGAGAACAGGAAGGAGGTGCTGTGGCCACGGGGCCGCCTCCTCTGCTGACCTCCTGCTGCCGGGTGCCCCTGACCTCTCTGACCCGCTCAGCGCCGGGGATCCTGCTCCTGTCGGCGGAGTGTCTGATCCCCCGGCGCTGGCAGCCGCCCATGCTCTCTGCTGGTAAACAACCCGAGAACTTGGGAGCCACTCCTGCAGTAAACGGTCATGCTTACTGAGCGTTCAGCAGCCGCTGCCCACGGCAGGCGGGTGACTTGCCAGGCAGCCTCACGGACAGCACGTGCCTTCCTCTAGTGCTGGGTGGGCAGCCTGCTTCTCTCCAGCACCCTTGGCATGTTCTTGTCCACTCACAGATGATTGCTGTGCCCTCAGTGCCCTGGATGGGTACAAGGCCCCTCAGTCCGCGCTCCCAATGCCTGTTCTCCCAGGCACAGGCTTCCAAGCACTCCTGGGCCAGCCGTGTTGTAACCCGATCCAGCAGGGTGTTCTTCCTGTGGGTGGCCTGCTTCTCAGCTGCAGACGGTGCTGACGGTCCATTTTGCTCTTTTCCACTAAACAGTTCATATTTGTTAAATGTTAAATGTCATATTTGTTAAATATTTAGTCCATATTTGTTAAATGCTTGTTGAATGGCTAAAAAATTACACCTAAGTTGGCAGATTATGTTCAAAGAAATCTTGACAGCGTGTCTCTCCTCTGGCCACTCCCCTGTGCTCTGACCTCCCCTCCCTCCAGGACTGACCATCTCTCCCTGCACAGCGCCCCCCACCCCCACCAACACCATCTCAGATCCTCAGAATAACTGGTTCTTCCTCGTCTCCCAGTCTTCAGACTTTTCTGTCTGTCTCTGAAGTTCCCTGAGTGAAGCTTGGCACCCCTACCACCGCCTGGAACAACCTGCTCAGGACTGTGCCCTGGTGGCCGAGGGGAGAGTGTCTCCCCTTGGAGTGACATGTAAATGCTTCTCACCACGGGGTCTGCTCTTCCTTGAGCATCTTAAAACTCAAGTCTTCAGTATAAAAAATGACTTCCAAGAGCAGATTCTCTCACAGAAAGGTTCATCTTTATAACTGGCAAAAATAAATTGTCCAAATGAACACATAAAGTTTAAAGTCTGTGTTTCCATACCTGAGGTCTGCTAGAATATTTTTTCCTTTAAAAGAAAGGAATCATTTGATTCTTACTCAAGTTTGTGCCACCCTCCACCCCACCACCATGTGTCCTGGGGTCTCCAGCCTCAACGAGACTTGAGGCTGAAGTCCAGAGTGTCCATGAATGGCTTAAGGCCAGTTGCTGCTGGAGTCCCCAGGTGTGGGTTTTGGGGGATAGGCAGGTAGCTTCTTGCCTCTGCCTCCTGCCTGCCGTGGGATTTGGGATTCCATGACAGGCCTCTCCTGGCAGGTGCAGAGGAGCTGGTCCTTAGCTGGGTCCATCGCAGGCACAGAAGGGACTGTTGTTACGTGCCCTGTTGGCTCTGTGGGCGGGAGGGGGGGGGGGCGCCGCCCTCTGAGGCCCTTTTATCCTTGCTGTGTAATCTTTGTTCACTTCTGGCTTCTGCTTTGGCAACCTCGCCCTGGGCAGGAAGACAGGCCGCTTGTTTTCAGGATCATTTTTACCAGATTCAAGATTAGCTTGGGCAGTGCTGGCTTCCTGCTGAACAACATGAAGTTTAGCTGTGCTGAGAAGTAATTCCCAGGGCCGGGGGTGGAGGGAGTGGCATTTGAGGACAGGTTATCCTGGCACAGTTCCTCGGACAGACTAGAAGGAGGTGAGTGGCGTGCAACTGTGCACTCAGGGTCACACTGGCCAGAGGCAGGCACACTCACCCTGCCAAGAGCCCTGGGTGACTGCCAGGCCTGGTTTCCAGAGGCATCGCTCTGGGGTGAGCCATACTCAGGGTCCCAGGTAAGGGTGAGGTAGGAGGCTGAGATCCATCCCCACACACGGAGGCCTGCGGAGCCCCGAGTGCCAGTCTGGGTCTGGTCTTGACTGACTGTGGGCCTGGGCCCCAGCACCCAGGCTCACTCTGGGCCCAGGTCCGGCCTCTTCCTGGCAGAGGCTGTGTGCAGCAGGGCAGCAGGCACCCTCACTCAGCCTTGGAGTCCTTCCAGGCAAGACAGAAGTTGTGCTCATCACCTCCCCATGTATTTTTGTTCTTTCCCTAGAGAGCTTTCTAAGTATCGCAGGTGCCTTCCTGCCTGGGAGAGCACTGGGATACTGCTGTGTCCCGGGCTGAGCTGGGAAGGCAGGCCTGACTCCAAGTGCGAAATCCAAACTTACTTTGTTGGTGTGTTTGCTGGATGGGGGCTCTTACAGGCCAAAGGGTCCAGCCCCCCATCTGATAAGGAGGGGCTGAGGACATGCCTCCTGCGGGCCCGCTGTTCTGGCTGTACCACTTTCCTTTTTTAATATTAAAGAATAGTAGCATCTCCAGTCCTGCACATAAGAAGCTTGGAAGTCACCAGTCCGTCCTAATGACAAGTAAAAAGCTGAACAAACTGCAAGCTGAGCAGCTCTTCTTCGATCCGTCAGAGAGTTGAGGTCCCAAGGCGAACCCTGCCCCACACTGGAGAGGCCAACAGGTGGATACAGACAATCCTAACTTCCCGGGGCAGAAACCCCCGCAGGATCCTTGCCCTGAAATAATGAATCGCTGGAGGCTCAGTGTGGACAACTCAGTTAAAAACTCCAAGGGGACCCCGTCATAAGGGGTCTCCACTTTCCTACAAGGTTTATCTCCTGGAATTCTACCAGGTGCTCACAGTGAATACTGGAGAAAAATCCCTTGCGCTTCTGGCAGGGAGAGAGGAAAAGGAACCATTTGAAATAAACCACAGCACTCTGTTCCTAACGAGGCAGCCCTCAGGGGAAACTGTTGAACCAGACCCTCAGTGACCTGGGGAAGGGAAGTACCCAACTCCAGACCCCTCCCACCTTCCTGTCCCACCTCGAGGGGGATGGCTGAGCAGTATGATAGACATCCACAGTGCAGGGGCCTAGGCTCACTCAGAGATGCAGGCCCAATCGTAGGGCTGTAGGACACTCCCTCCCCCACACCTGTGCTCACCGCTTCATCAGTAAAGGTCTCTTTACAGCAGTTCCTTTACCCAGTACATCATGCCTGGCCATTGAGAAAAAATTACAAGACCTACTAAAGGCAAAAAACACAGTCTGAGGAGACAGAGCAAGCATCAGAACCAGACGTGGCAGGGGTGTTGGAATTATCAGACCAGGAGTTTAAAACAACTATGATTAATACGACAAGGGCTCTAATGGTGAAAGTAGGCAACATGCAAGAACAGATGGGCAGTGTAAGCAGAGAGACAGAAATCCTAAGAAAGGGCCAAAAATAAATGAAAGCAATTTCTAGCAAAAACACTATAGTGGAATTGGAGAATGCCTCTGATACCACTCGTAAGCATACTGGTAGACTGGACACGGCTGAGGAAAGAGTCTCTGAGCTTGAGAATACCTCAGTAGAAACCTCTAAAGATGAAAACCAAAGAGAACAAAGACTGAAAAAAACGGAACAAACTATCCAAGAACTGGGGACAACAGCAAAGGCTGTCACGTGTGTAATGGGGATACCAGAAGGGAGAAAGGAAGGAATATTTGAAACAGCAATGACTGAGAATTTCCCAAAATTAATGTCAGACCCCAGACAGATCCAGGAAGCCCAGAGAACACCAAGCGGGACTGATGCCCAAAGTTACTACATGTCGGCATGTCAGTTTCAAACTACAGAAAAGAAGAGAGAAAGAAGAAAACGCGAAAGAAGCTAGAGGAAGCAGACCCCTTCCCTACAAAGGAACCAAGGTAAGAACTACATCCACCTTCTCAGAAACCATGCAGGCAAGGAGAGAGTGGAGTGAAATATTTAAGATGTTAAGGAAAAAACCCCAACAACCTAGAATTCTGCACCCTGCGAAATTATGCTTCAAAAGTGAAGGAGAAATCAAGACTCTCTCAGACAAAAATTGAGGGAATTTGTTGCCATTAGACTGCCTTGCAAGAAATGTTAACGGAAGTTCTTTAGAGAGAAGAAAAATGATACAGATCAGAAACTCAGATCTATGTAAAGGTAGAGCACAGGAGAAGGAATAAGTAACAGTAAAATTAAAACATTTCTTTTTCTTAATCTAGCAGATACCTGTTCTAAATAATAGTAGCAACGCTGTATTCGACTGTGCGCGGTGATGTATACATGTTCCTGTGTGTGCTGATGTGCAAGCGAAATGAATGCCAGTGAGGATGCAAGGGGTGGGTGGGAGGGATAAGGGCGGTTCTGTTATTATGAGTATCACACTACTGGTGAACTAGACTTGGCTTAGTTGTAAATGTATATTGCAAACTCTAGGACAGCCACTTAAAAAAACTTTTAAAAAAATATATAACTGATATGCTGGGAGAGAACTGATGAGAAGAGAGAAAATGCAACCACAAAATGTTCATTTAAAACCACAAAAGGCAGAAAGAGAGTGAAAAGATAAAAGTAGAGGATGGGAAGGAATGTGCGTGTGAACCCTATTCTCAGTCATTACAATGAGCGGCAGTCTGTGCACAACAGTTACAACAGAAGAGGTGGTCAGAGTGGATCAACAAACAAGACCCAAGTGGATGTTGTCTCCAAGATACCCACTTTAGATATAAAGATAGATGCCAAGTAAAAGTTAAGGGATGGAGGAAGATCACCACGCTGACACTACCCAGAAGAAAGCAGGAGAAGCTATATGGATTCCAGAAAGAGGGGACTTAAGGCAAGTTATCAGGGATAAAGACGGGCATGATGTAATGATAAAGGGGTCAGTTCTCTAAGACAACATAAGAGTGCTTACCATGTCTGTGACTAACAACGGAGCCTCCAAGTGGGTGAGGCAAAAACTGATGGAACTGCGAGGAGGAACTGACGAGTCCTCCCTCATAGCTGGAGACCTCAGCACCCCTCTCAGAAGCGCACAGACCCAGCAGGCAGGAAGTCACTAAGGACAAAGCTGCATCCAACGACTGGATAGAACGGACGTCTGTAGACTGCTTCAGCAACAACAGAACACATCTTCCTCTCAGGCCCACGTGCAACACTCACCAAGACAGACCGTATTCTGGGCCATAAAACACACTGTAACAAATTTAAAAGAATAGAAATCATGCAAAGTATGCTCACAGGCCACAATGGAATTAAACTAGAAATCGATAACAGAAAGATGGCTGGAAAACCCCAAAATACTTGGAGATTACACTTCTAAATAACAGTCAGAGAAACCTCAAGAGAAATTTTAAAATATTTTGAACTAAATAAAAATGAACATACAACTTAAAATTTGTAGGCTGCAGCAAAAGCAATGCTTTGAGGGAAATTTATAGCAGTAAATGCATATAACAGTAAAGAAGAAAGATCTAAGGGCTGGCCCCATGGCCTAGTGGTTAAGTTCAATGTGCTCTGCTTCCACAGCCCAGGTTTGTAGGTTCAGATCCCAGGTGTGGACCTACACCACTCATCAGCCATGTTGTGGCGGTGTCTCACATGAAAAATAGAAGAAGATCGGCACGGATGTTAGCTCAGGATGAATCTTCCTCAGCAAAAAAAAAAAAAAAAAAAAACCAAAACCAGTCATCTAAGCTTCCACGTCAGGAAACCAAAATAAAGAAGAACAAATCAAATCCAAAGTAAGCGGAAAAAAAGAAATAATAAAAATCAGAGCCGGAGTCAATGACATTGAAATAGAAAATAGAAAATCAGTGAAACCAAAAACTAGTACTTTGAAAAGATCAATAAAATCAATAATTCTCCAACCAGGCTAACTAAGAAAGAGAAGACACAAATTACTAGTATTAGAAGTGAAAGAGGGGACATCATACAGATACAAGGGACATTAAAAGGCTAATAAAGGAATATTATGAACAACTCTTTGCTTACAAATTTGATAACCTAAATGAAATGGACCAGTTCCTGGAAAGACACAATCTGCTGAAACTCACACCAGAAGAAATGGACAATCTGAATGGCTCAGTTTCTATTAAAGAAATCGAGTCAACAATTAATAACTTTCCAAAACAAAATACCAAACCCAAATGGGTTCACTGGTGAATTCTATCAAACATTTGAAGAAATTATACCAATTGTCTACAACCTCTTTCAGAGGATAGAAGCAGAGGGAATACTTCCTAACTCATTCTCCAAGGCCAGCATTACCCTAATACCAAATCCAGACAAAGAAAATGCAAGAAAGGAAAACTACAGACCAATATCTCTCGTGAACATAGATGCAGAAATCCTCAACAAAATACTAGCAAATCAAATCCAGCAATATGTAAAAAGAATTATACACTATGACCAAGTGGGATTTATTCCATGTATGCAAAGCTGGTTCAGCATTAGAAGATCAATAGGGGGCCGGCCCCGTGGCCGAGTGGTTAAGTTCACACGCTCCGCTTCGGCCGCCCAGGGTTTCACCGGTTCGGATCCTGGGCATGGACATGGCGCCGCTCATCAGGCCATGCTGAGGCAGCATCCCACATGCCACAACTAGAAGGACCCACAACTAAAAATATACAACTATGTATCGGGGGGCTTTGGGGAGAAAAAGGAAAAAATCTTTAAAAAAAAATCAATAAATGTAATCCATCAGATCAGGCTAGAGAAGGAAAATCACATGATCATTATCAGTAGATGCAGAAAATCCAACACCCCCATTCATGATAAAAAAGTTAACTAGGAATAGAGAGGAACTTTCTCAAATTGGTGAAGAATATCTACAGAAAACCTACAGCTGACATCTACTTAATGATGAGAACCTCAGAGCTTTCCACTGAGATCAGGAGCAGGGCAAGACGTCCCCTCTCACCACTGCTTTCAGCGTCCTACGGGAAGTGCCAGGAAGGTGGCAAGACAGGGGAATCAAAGGCATGCAGATTGGGATGGAAGAAATAAAGCTTTGTTCACAGATCAGCTGTGTAGAAAATCTCAAAGAAATAAAAAAATGAGCTAATAAGCAGTTGTAGCAAGGTTGCAGGATGCAAAGTTACTATACAAAAGTCACTCACTTTATACTGCAATGAACAAGTGGAGTTTGAAATTAAAAACAATACTAACACATAAAAACCTGCACACAGATGTTTACAGCAGCTTTATTCATAATTGCCAAAACTTGGAAGCAACCAAGATGTCCTTCAGTAGGCAAATGGATAAATAAACTGTGGCACATCCAGGCAATGCAACATTATTCAGCACTAAAAAGAAATGAGCTATGAGGCCGTGAAAAGACCTGGAGGAAACTTAAATGCATATGACTAAGTGAAAGAAGCCAGTCTGAAAAGGCGACATGAGTATGATTCCAACTACACGACATTCTGGAAAAGGCAAAACTATGGAGACAGTGAAAGATCAGGGGTTACAGGGGAGGGATGAACAGGAGGGGCAGAGGGGCTTTTCAGGCAGTGAAAATACGGATACACGTCAGACATTTGTCCACACACTTGGAATGCACATCAAGAGAGAACCCTCATGTGAACTGTGGACTCCACGTGATGCTTATGTGGTGGTGCAGGCTTATCAGTTCTAACAGCTGTGCCAGTGAGGTGCAGGCTGTCGATACTGGGGGAGGCTGTGCGTGTATGGGGGCAGGGAGTGTATGGGAAACCCCTGAACCTTCCGATCACTTCTGCTGTGAACCTAAAACTGCTCTGAAAAATAAAGTCTTAGACAAAAATAGAGGCTTAGTGTAAAAAAAAGTTGAAGCCACACAAGCCTGTGTGCAGTGGTCCGAGATCCTTCCCCTGCCACAAATAATGCTGTTGTGTATATTATCGTGAGAGTGTTTTTGTAAAATAAATTCATAAAATCAGAATTGCAGATTCACAAGTGTGCATGTGTAACACTTCGAGTGGGTTGGTCCTCTTGGAGCCTACATAGCCTTCACTGTCCTTGGCATTAGTCTGGCCTCCAGCCACAGACCAGACACTCCGTGCTGTGCTGCCAGACCTGGGATGACGTTGGGGCTTATCAGTATCTAGTATCACCCAGATCAGATGTTTTTGCTGTGATGCTCACACTGCTTGTAAACTTGTTTTTAAAAAGCCTTTAGGCTGCTTTCTTTGAGTCCCTTCCATTTGCTGCCCGACCAGCGCAGTGACCTCTGTGTTTGATTTCAGACAGGCTGATGGTCGCAAAGTCCTGCGGTCGAGCATCCGAGAGTTCCTGTGCAGCGAGGCCATGTTCCACCTGGGGATCCCCACCACGAGGGCCGGGGCCTGCGTCACGTCCCAGTCCACGGTCGTGCGAGACGCATTCTATGATGGTAATCCAAAATATGAAAAGTGCACAGTTGTGTTGCGTATAGCTTCCACTTTTCTCAGGTAATGCCGGGGTCCTTCGGGCCTGTCTACACGCGTGCTTTATCCAGTGGTGGATTTGTGCTTAGGCAGCTGGAATGTCTGGTAGAGGCAAATGCACTGTGGTGACACACACGGCGGGACTTGGCTCCTGGCTGGTCCCCACAGAGCAGGAGGGACTGTCCGTGAAGTAGACGCTTTGCTCCCGCGGGGAGGGAGTTACATGGGAAAGGCACTGGGCATCTTCTGGGTCGGGACTCCCGTCCTGCATGTGGACAGCTGTGCTGAGCCTCCCACACTCGCTGTCCAGGCCCTTGTCACCACCGCAAGAGATGGGGGACGGAGCGGCAGCCACAGCCAGAGTGCTGCTGACCGGGCAGGGGTACCATGTGCACCAGGGAAGGGGAGCAGGACCTCGGGCAATGAGAGCTGGGTGCCCAGACGTGGGCTTCTGGGAAGGGGCACGTGCAGAGCTGCTTGTGGAGTTTATGATGGGGAGCTACATCAGACTCGCCGAGACAGGTTTCATGTTGCCACACGTAAGGGCTGTTGCCCGCCTGATGTGCTTCCTCGCTGCCCCGTCATGCCTGGAGGCCTCTCCAGCTCTGTCTCTGGTGTGAGCCTGTTGGTCCTTGATGTCACCGTGCTGTCTGGCATCAAACACCTTTTGGTGCTGATCACCTGGCAGGAGGCGGCTCTCGTGATCTTGTGGTTCTCCTGTCCGGTGGGCCCGGCTGACCCAGGCTGACCCTGTGCGTGTTGGGGGCACCCGGCACACTGTCACCAGGCCGGTCCCCAGGTGTCTGCCTGCTGCCCACACCTGAAGCTGACGGCCCCTGTCCTCTGGGGAATGGGAGGAGCCAGGGTAGCTGTCAGCTTCATCCCGGGAGGCCCAGGGTTTCGCTCCACAGCAGCACCACTGGCATTTTGACCAGGTCATTCTTGCTGTGGGGCTGGCCTGTGCCTTGTAGGATGTAGGATGGCATCCCTGGCCTCTACCCAATAGTTGCTAGTGGTAACCCCAGTTGTGACAACCAAAAATGTCCCTAGACGTTAACTCAGGTCCCCTAGGGGCATAAGGACCCCGGTGCAGAACCACTGCTGACCGCTCACAGGCACAGTGTCCATAGCAGAGCTGGCCTGCTCGTCTCCCCACTGCGGGACGCCTCTTGGAGTGGGAGGATGAACAGAGCCCTTCTTGTCATCATGGAGTCAGGGTGGGGACAGCTGTGTGGCTCCTGGCCCTCCGCAGATGCCCTGGGCTGCCTGGAAGTTGGCCAGAAGTGATGGTCTGTACTTGCATCATTGAAGGGAGAGATGTTTTTGTTCGTTTTGTTTTAATCAAGGTATTCTTCCCACTATGGGCTGCAAGATTGAGCAGCCAGACTCCTTTCTTTTTTCTTTTTTTTTGCAAGGAGGTGGGGTCTTGTTTAACCTGTTGAAAACACGGGTCTTCCCTCCAGGTTCGGCTCCTTTGAGATTTTTAAGTCCACAGATGAGCACACGGGCCGCGCGGGCCCCAGTGTGGGGAGAAACGACATCCGGGTGCAGATGCTTGACTACGTGATCGGCAGTTTTTACCCCGAAATCCAGGCTGCTCACGCCAGTGACAGTGTACAGAGGAATGCTGCTTTCTTCCGGGAGGTAGGTGGGGGCTGCACACCCCCGTCCCTGCGGGCAGATGCCAGATGTCCCCACCACCACCCGCCAGTGAAGACGTGGTCAGTTTTGGCTGATGGACAGTGGTTTTCACTTGCTGTTCCTGCCCTTCTGTCTGAGTCGCCCTCCTGTCCAAACCCTCCTCACCACCTGCTGGCTTTGACCAGGGCTGACTTCTCAAAAACACTGTGTGGAGGGTCATGGGTCCTGGAACAAACCAAGGGTCACTTTGGTTTTTTTTGTTGTGGTTTTTCTAAGGAAGACTGGCCCTAGGCCATGCCATCTTCCTCTATTTTATGCGTGGGACGCCTGCCACAGCATGGCTTGACAAGCAGTTTGTAGATCCGCACCTGGGATCCCAACCGGCCAGCCCCAGGCCACCAAAGCACAACATGCGAACTTAACCTCCGTGCCAGCAGGCTGGCCCCTGAAGGATCACTTTGTTTGAGTGGCGCTGATGGGGCCCACGTGCTGCGCCCGCCTGCCACGCCCAGCGGGGCCTCCGCCAGCAGGGGAACTTTGGAGGGAAGGATTCTCCCTGGGTGGGAGCCTGGGTGCTGGCGGGTGCTGGGCACCTTCTGCGTGGGGCCTGGGCTCACAGTGGCCCCAACCACATACACCTTAGCCAGCCCAGTCTCTCGATCCAGGGGAGTTGCTGACTACCCTGGCTTGGGTCTGGGTCCCCCAGAGTGATCAGGTGTGGCCCCCATCCCACAGGCAGTGCAGGTGTCCCACTGTGACGTTTAGAGTGCAGGGGGGTGCTGGGCCTCACCTGGTCAGGCTCCGGGCCTGCAGCATCAGTGGTGGAAGCAGAGGAGGGGGCGGGGCCTGAGGCCTGTCTGCCTGGGGCTGGAGGGCCCATGGGGCAACGCTCTTTGCTCCAGAAGTGGGTGCCGAGCAGGAGTTTGTAGGGCCCCATCCTGCACTGGTCACTCCCCTTCCCCTACCTGCGCCACACTCTTTCTTCCTGTCCTTCATGTGGGTGTGTGCCTGGGCCGAGGGACGCCAGGAGGAGTGTTGGGGCTCAGCTCACGCCTGTGGCGGGTGACTTGGGCAGGTCACTCTGCCTCTCTGAGCTTCGGTCTCTGTCTGACTGAGAGGACAGTGCTGCCCAATTCCTGGAGCGTCCTCAGCCTGCATGAGGGTGGCATGTGTGAGCCGGCGTCTCTGGACGCTGGGCAGTGGGACCCTGGGTGTGGCCCTGCGTCTTGCAGGGCTCTGGCTGCCCCTGCGGTCAGTGTGTTCTCAGGAGGCCTGGGGCCTGTGCAGTGGGCTGGGCGGGGGGTGAGCAGCAGGCCTGGCAGCCGGACCTGGCCTGGGCATGTCAGCCATTTGAGCCTCCTTCCCCAAGGGCCAGGCTGGCCCGCAGGCACAGGTTTTGCCTGATAATCAGGCAACCTCCTCATTTCCACATAGTCGTCCGACTGGCCTGAGTCGTGGGATCACCAGGGTTCCCTGATGTTTTGGTTTGAATAAAAGCCAAAATCAGTGAGTATATAAAAGAGATAGACGGTGTATGCAGGGATTAAAGCCCACACATATTGACTCATCCAAAATACTTTTTCCTCCTTGAATACTCTTAAGCCTTCTCCCCATGGCTGAGTGTTGGTTGGGATGACAGGGCACTGGGACAGACCCCACAGATGTCACCGGAGAGTGAGAACTGCTCAGAGGAGCACAGCTTCAGGGAGGGGGAGGGCGGGGAGTGACCAGTGCCCGTCCTGCCACAGGTGACGCGTCGCACGGCCCGGATGGTGGCTGAGTGGCAGTGTGTCGGCTTCTGCCATGGCGTGCTCAACACAGACAACATGAGCATCGTGGGGCTCACCATCGACTACGGGCCCTTCGGCTTCCTGGACAGGTGAGCAGCCCGGGGCTGGCATGTGGGCCTCGTGCAGTCCTGCTGCCCAGCAGGGATGCTGCCGGGAGGGGCTCTGACAGTGGGCACCGTGGAAGGCCCTGTGACACATGCGGTGCTTCTGTCAGCGCTTTGTTCAGTGTGCAGTTCTCAGCAGCGCCTGCTGGGCCATCCCCAGAGGCAGGAGTCCCCTGGAGAGTTTTGAGCAGAGATGCATTTTTAAAAGGGTCCCTCCACTCCTGAGTTGAAAATGGACAAGAGGGGCAGGGCGGGGGCAGGTGATGAGCAGGAAGGGGCCGTGCCCGGCCAGGAGCATCCGCCCGGGGGCAGCGCTGGGCAATGTGGCTTCCCTGCTCCTGAGGTAGAGCCGTCAGGGCTGGTGGCTGATTGTTTGGGCAGGAGAGAGTGAAGGGCAGCTGCAGGGTCCTTGACCTGAGCCTATAGGGCCAAGGCCCCTGCCGGCCAGGGTAGGAGAGCAGCAGCCACACAGGCAGTGCCTTTGGGTGCTCCCTGGGGGCCTGCATCGTCTTCAACAGGTCCCCTTGAGCAACACCAAGGTTCTCTCACCCTATGTGGCAGGTACGATCCCGACCACGTGTGCAATGCCTCTGACAACGCGGGGCGCTACACGTACAGCAAACAGCCTGAGGTGTGCAAATGGAACCTGCAGAAGCTGGCCGAGGCCCTGGAGCCCGAGCTGCCCCGAGAGCTGGGTGAGGCCATCCTGGCCGAAGAGTTTGACGCCGAGTTCCACAGGCACTATCTGCAGAAGATGCGCAGGAAGCTGGGCCTGGTGCAGGCCGAGCAGGAGGAGGATGCAGTGCTGGTGGCCAAGCTGCTGGAGACCATGCACCTGACCGGTGAGCATGGGCGGGGTGCACACGCCACAGTGGGGGCTCCGTATTTTCGTTGTACTAGAATATACATAACGTGAAGTTTACCCTTTTAACCATTTCTCAGTGTGTGATTCAGTGGCATCAGGTACATTCGAATTGTTGTGCAACCACTACCACCATCCATCTCCAGAACCTTCTCGTCTTCCCAAAATGAAAATATCCCCTTTAAACACCAGCTCCCCCCCCCCCCCGCCCCCCAGCCCCTGGAAACCTCTGTTCTACTTTTTGTCTCTGAATTGGATGACTCTAGGGACCTCATACCAGCGGATTCATATAGTTTTGGCTTATTTCTGGCTTATTTCATTGAACATAATGTCTTCAGGGTTCCTCAGTGTTGTAGTGTCAGGATTTTACTTCTTTTAAGGCTGAATATTCCACTGTCTGCGCCGACCACGTTTTGCTATCCATCATTTCCTCGTGCACACCTGGTTTTCACCCTTTGGCAATCGTGAGTAATGCTGCGGTGAAAGTAGATGTGCAGATATGTGTTTGGGTCCCTCTTTTCAGTTCCTTGAGGTATATACATTTAGGAGTGGAATTGCTGGATCATATCTTTAACTTACCTGAGTGCTCTGGCTAGAACTTGTACTGTGTTGAGTAGAAGTGGCTAAAGTGGGCCCATTTGTTGGTTCTGATCCAGGGGAGAGCGTCCAGTCTTCTGCGGTTGAGCAGGATGTTACCGGTGGGCTTTTATCAAGTTGAGGAAGTTTCCTTCTATTCCCAGTTTGAGTGTTTTTCCATTTTGCATCGGCTGCAGCGATCATGCTGCTTTACTCCTTCGTTTATACCCTGTCCTGGTCTGTCTAAGCTGCTATAATAAATGACCACAGTCGGGGGGCTTACACAACAGACATTTATTTCTCACAGTTCTGGAGGCTGGACGTCCAAGGTCAAGGTGTGGCCTGGTCGGGTCATTGGTGAGGGCCCTCTTCCTTGTTGACAGACACGGCCTGCGTGTCGGGTCCTCACAGGGAGGAGAGGAGGAGCCAGCGCTCGGGCCTCTTCTCGTAAGGGCACTGATTCCAGGATGAGGGCCCAGCTCATGACCTGCCCGCCTCCCAGAGACCCCAGTTCCAAATACCATCACACTGGGGATTTGGGTTTCAATGTACGAATTGCGGGGAGAAACAAACATTCAGTCTGTGGAATATCCTTGCATTCTGGGGATAAATCCCTCTTGGTCATGGTATATAATCTTTTTACTATACTGATGGTTTGGATTTGCTAATATTTTCTTGAGGATTTTTACATCCGTATTTACAAGGGATATTGCTCGGTAGTTTTCTTCTTATAGTATCTTTGTTTGGCTTTGGTATCAGGGCAATGGTGGTCTCATAAATGAGTTAGGAAGTGTTCCCTCCCACATTTTGGGAGAATTTGAGGACTTGGTGTTAATTCTTCTTTAAATGTTTGGTAGAAACCACCAGCAAAGCTCTCTGGACCTAACTTTCTTTGTTGGGAAGTTTTCGGTTTTTTTTTTTAATTTTCCTTCTTCTCCCCAAAGCCTCCCTGGTACCCAGTTGTGTATTTTAGTTGTGGGTCCTTATAGTTGTGGCACATGGGACACCGCCTCAGCGTGGCTTCATGAGTGGGGCTGGGTCCATGCCCAGGATTCGAACTGGTGAAACCCTGGGCCGCCAAAGCAGAGCACGTGAACTTAACCACTCGGCCATGGGGCCAGCCTCATGTTGGGAAGTTTTTGATCACTGATTCAATCTCCTTATTTGTTATATGACTATTTAGATTGTCTATTTCTTCTTGAGTCAGGTTTGGCAATTTGTGTGTTTCTAAGAGTTTGTCTATGGCATCTAAGTTGTCCAATCTATTGATACATAATTGTTCATAGTATTCTTAGTCTTTTGCTTCTGTGTAATCAGTAGTGATGTCCCTTCTGTCACTTCTGATTTTAGTTATTTGTGTCTTTTCTCGTTTTCTTTGTTACTGTAGCTAAAAGTTTGTCAATTTTGTTCATCTTTTCAGAGTCAACTCTTGGTTTCATTGATTTTCTCTTATTGTTTTTCTGTTCTCTATTTCATTTATCTCTGCTCTAATCTTTATTATTTCCTTCCCTTCTGCTAACTTTGGTCTTATTTTGTTCTTTTCAGATAAGGTTATTGATTTGAGATCTTCTCTTTTTTTCCCAAGTTGAAATATAATTGACATATAACATTATACAGGCATACCTTGGAGATGTTATGGGTTTGGTTCCAGACCACCACAATCAAGTAAATATCACAATAAAGCAAGTCACATGAGTCTTTTGGTTTCCCAGTGCATATGAAATCTGTGTTTACACTATAGTCTGTTAAGTGTGCAATAGCATTATGTCTAATTACAAAATATTTTATTGCTAAAAAATGCTAACAGTCATCTGAACCTTCAGCAAGTCACTTCGTGCTGGTGGAGGGTCTTGTAAAAAACACACGATCTACAAAGCACAGTAGAACAAGGCATGCCTGTATTGGTTTCAGGTGAACACCTTGAATCAATATATGTACGTACTGTGAAATGATCACCACATATAGTTACAAATTTATCTTCTTGTGATGAGAGATCTGCTCTTTTCATGTAGTCATTTACAGCTATAAATTTCCCTACGAGTGTGGCCTTTGCTGTACCCCGGGTTTTGGCATGCTGTTTTCACTTTCATACCTCCTTCTATTTTCTAATTTCCCTTGTGATTTCTTTTTAGACTCACTGGTTGACTGCATTGTTTAATTTTCACATTACTTGTGAACTTTCCAGTTTTCCTTCCGTTTGTGATCGCTAGCTCCTTTCCACTGTGGTGTGAGAAGATACTGGTCTTTTTAAATGCATCAAGACTTGTTTTATGGCCTAACCTGTGGTCTGCCCTGGAGAATGTCCCATGTGCACTGACGATCGTGCGTCCTGCTCTGGTTGGATAGAATGCTCTCTGTGCATCTGCTTGATCTGGCTGGTTTGCATGTTCAAGTCCTCTGTGCCCTTACTGATCCCCGTCTGGATGTTTCATCCATTGTTGAAGGCAGAATGTTGAAGTCTGCAACCTTTACTATAGAACTCTTCTTCTCTGTCGCCCTTCAATTCTGTGAATGTTTGTTTTATATATTTGGGGCTCATGTGGTGCCTATGTTTATAATTGTTACATCTTCTTGATAAACTGACTTTTATCAACATATAATGCTCTTCTTTGTCTTTCAGACAAAGCCTCTTTTGTCTGAAATGAGCATGGCTGCCCAGCTCTCTGGGTCACTGTCTGCATGGGGTATTTTCCCAACATCTCTTTCAACTTACTCAAGTCTAGAGTGAGTATCACATAGACAATGTGTGGTTGGATCATGTCTTTTTTAATCCATTCTGCCAATCTCTGCCTTTTGACTGGAGATTAGTCCTGTTACTTTTAAAGTGATTACTGATAGGAGAGACTTGTGTGTCTCACATCACTTCCGTCACTCATCTTCCCTGTGGCTGCTTTCACTGTTGCGTTGGTTTTTTCTAGTATACTGCTTTGATTCCCTTCTCATTTCCTTTGTGTGAATTTTTGGGATGTTTTCTTAGGGGTTATGGTGACATTGGGTTTTAACAAGTCAGCCTGAGGGTCCCACAGTGTGTGTTACATGTTGAGCCCGGTGCTGGGTATGTTTCTGTGGCTTCTCCTCAACACACAGCTCCTAGAGTAGGCAGTGGGGTTGCAACAAGGGCCAGGGGTGACTTCAGTGCCTTTGCTCTATTTACCCATTTTACAGATGAAGAAATCAGGGCTTGGAGGCCTTGAGAGAGTGACTCACCACGTTCAGAGTGGTGGCCGAGCTGGGTGGTAGAGGGTTGGGGCTGAGGAACAGGCTGGAGAGGAGTGGTCAGGAGTCCCTGGACCTGACCCTGAGGAGAGCTCTGCACACCTGCTGGATGGACGAGTGTGGGTCAGTCTGGTGTTCAGATGGGGTTGCAGAAGGGCATGTCAGGGCCCAGCCCCTGCCCCCAGCGCCCTGAGCAGCTGCATGTCACAGGTGCTGACTTCACCAACACCTTCTACTTGCTGAGCTCCTTCCCAGCTGGGCCAGAGTCTCTGGGCCTGACCGAGTTCCTGGCTGCGCTGACCACACAGTGTGCCTCCCTGGAGGAACTGAGACTCGCCTTCCGACCCCAGATGGATCCCCGGTGGGTACTCAGGTCTTGTTTTCTTGGAATTTGTTTCCAGAGAGGGAGGAACATTTAGAATGGAACGTGCACGGTAGGGAATGTTGGAGACAGTGAGCTGGGGGCCCAGGCAGCTGTTCCGCTCCCAGGAAGGGTGGGTGGTCAGGTTCCTGTCCCTGCGGTGCTGGGTCAGAGGGAAGGCCAGGCAGCACGGGCTAGCCTATGATGGTCTCTGTGCTGGGGTGGCTTCACAGAACAGCTCTTGGGTCTGCCCAGGAAGAGCCTGTGGGCCTTCAGGTTTCCAGCAGAGCATGCTTTGCCCACCGTCTCCCACTGGGAAGAACCCCGTGTCCCAAGGGTGTGGCCCATACTCAGGATCAGACACTGAAGTGCTGGTTGTGGGTTCTGACAAATAAACCAACAAATTGTGATGAGGAAGGAATTTAATATAGCAGTGTGGGCACTGGACTGATGGCTCCCAGGATGCAGTGGGGAGGACCAGCTGGTAGGACCTGCCGAATACAAGGCCAATACGACTGGGGAAGGGGTGTCGGGGCCTGTCCCCCCAGACTCTTCTGGAAGTGGGGAAGGACCCAGCCCTATGGGCACAGGAGGAGTGACAGCAGTGACTTCCTCCTGGAGGAAGTTGGTGCTGGTTTGGGATGTAGGCAGGTGCCAAGCAGCAGAGAGATGGTGTCCTACCCACCCCAGGGGCCCGCCCAGTCAGCCCGAGGCACCTGTCCCTCGGGGCACATCTGTGTCCTGCCGCACGGAGGGGCTGCTGCAGAACAAGGGTGGACACTTGGTGGGTGCCCCCTGTGCCTGCCTCATGCGTCAGGCCAGGGCTCACTCCCAGTGGGGCTCTAGGTAGGGGTGTGGCATCGAAGTCCCTGGTGGTCTCAGGACACAGTCCACAGCCGGTGGTGGGGATGCTGCAGCCTCCTGGATGCACCTCATGCTGCCCACTCCGCACAGGCAGCTCTCGATGATGTTGATGCTGGCACAGTCGAACCCGCAGCTCTTCGCGCTCATTGGTACCCGGGCAAACGTCACAAAGGAGCTGGAGCGCGTCGAGCAGCAGTCGCGGCTGGAGCAGCTGAGCCCGGCCGAGCTGCTGAGCAGGAACAGGGGCCACTGGGCCGACTGGCTCCAGGCATACAGGTGAGGCCAGCCCTGTGTCCGAGGTCAGCGAGGCTCTGGGTCATCAGAGCGCTGATGGCCAGTGTCACCATCTCCCCGTGAGGTAGCTGCACACAACCCATGCAGGGGACCAAATGTGGAGGGTGGGGTTGCATCTGCTGGAAAGCTGAGCTGGGGTGTGATTCCAGAGCCCGGCTGGAGCAGGACAAGGAGGGTGCCGGGGACCCGGAGGCCTGGCAGGCTGAGCGTGTGCGTGTCATGCATGCCAACAACCCCAAGTACGTCCTGCGGAACTACATCGCACAGACTGCCATCGAGGCTGCCGAGAGTGGGGACTTCTCAGAGGCAAGCGCACACCGGTCCCTCCTCTGCCCATGGGCCTGTAGCGAGGGCTGGGCCTGGGAGGGAGGGAGGCCCCAACACCTTCCCTTGCTCTTCTCCAGGTGCGGCGGGTGCTGAAGCTGCTGGAGGCCCCTTACCACAGGGCAGAGGAGGCTGCTGAGGTCTCAGAGGCGGCAGAGCCTGAGGGGGCTGGTGGGGCGTCTGGCAGGCGGCGCTCCTACAGCAGCAAGCCCCCGCTCTGGGCGGCAGAACTGTGTGTGACGTGATCCTCGTAAACCGCCTTGGAGGCCTCCACACCTGGAGGTCCCAAGGCCCTGAGTCCTGCTGAGTCCATGAGGCGGTGCCCAGCCAGTGCACAGCCCCCCACACCCGTCTCTCCATGACGGCAGAGACGTCCAGTCAGGCCCTGACCCGTCTCTGTCTGACGCCAACTCAGCAGCACAGCACGGCCCAGGTCCACACGCTCCCTGAAGAGCCGCTTCTGTGAGGACACGTGCCCAGCAAGCCCGGCCTGGGGACGTGGCAGCCCCCACCCACCTTTCCAGCCTGGGGGTGCGTGGGTGGTGCTGGCACTGCATAGCTCCTGCTTGTCAGGGAGACACAGCCCCTAAATAAACCAGTAGCTTCCTCCACCCATCTCTGTGTGGTCATTCTGTCCCTGCCTTGGCCTCAGGACCCACCCAGGAGAGACCAGTGCTGAGGGGCAGGGGGCCCGTCTGCCACACGCCCTGCCTCACCCGAGCAGCCCTCAGGCATCCTGGTAGTAGTTGTTGAAGTTGATGCGCAGCAGGAAGTCCTCCAGGTGGGGCTGGTAGCCGCGGTTCACCAGCTTGGTCACCACTGGGGTGGGGGCAGGGGTGTCAGGGAGCAGCTCAGCTGGGGCCCACCCTGTGACCCCTGCCAAGCCCATGGGGGATGGGTCACCTTTGAAGAGAAAGTGGGAATAGTACTTGAAGGTACTGTAGGACTGCTGCATGAGGGCGAAGTTGGGGTGCTCGGCACCCCGGGGGCCACTGGCCGGGCCCCAGGGCTGGGAGATGAGCTGGCTGCGGAACTTGAGGATGAGGCTGAAGATGCTGTGGATGATGTTCATGACAGGCGCCGCCTTCTCCGTCAACAGGCCCCTGGGGGAGCAAGGTGGGTGCTGCTGGTGGGGCACGCCCGACCTCGGGGGACACAGCCCCAGGCACCCATGCCTCACCTGAAGACAGCCTTGTGCAGGTACTCGGCGTGGGCCCGCTGGATCTCCTCGAGGTCACCCACCACAGCCAGCCTGGCACGGAACTCGCACCAGCTGACGTGCAGGATCTGGTTGGCGATGTAACCCTGGATGACCTTCACGAAGTGCTGCATCTCGTGCTTGAAAAGCTGCAGCTGGCGGAACTGCACGGAGCTGGCCACGTGGCTCACCAGCGCTGCAGAGGGTGAGGGGTGAGCTGCAGCCACAGCCAAGGGCACGCCCAGGCTCCAGCCAGGCCTCACCTGTGCGCTTGAGGTGGAAGCAGACGTCCTTGAGCGTCCACATCATGAGCTTCAGCTGTAGCAGGAAGGAGAAGATGCCACTGTACCTGCTCAGGCAGCTCTCGGTGATGACGATGTTGAGGGGCCAGTCCACCTGCCAGGGCAGCCAGCTCAGCACACCCCTGAGGGATGGCCCCCGTCCCGTCCACACCACAGAGCCCTGCTGACCTTGTACCTGAGCTCCAGGCAGCTTAGCACATCCGGGGCATTGGGGGCAAACGCCTCGGGCAGGGACTTGAGGGCGAAGGAGAGGTTGGCCGCATGTGGGGTGTCGCCGTGCAGGCTGTACTGCAGGGCCTTGCTCAGCACTGAGTTGAGCACCAGCGGGTTGAGGAGCTCCCCAGGCGTCTGCCCCGCCCCGAGCTGAGGCGGGAGAGGGCACATGTGTCCTGAGGGGTCCCGGGCACGGGCAGTGCCCCCGCCTGCAGTGCCCCCACCACACTCGCTCCATGCCAGGGCTACCTTCTCAAAGAGCAGGTCGCTGAGGGACTGGGCAAATTCACCATCCTCCATCAGCAGGAAGTGGCGCAGTGCCTCGAAATGTGCCTCGAGGTGGAGCTCCACGAAGAAGTAGTCGACTGCGGCCTTGTTCACCAGGGAGACGCTGGCAGGAGGGGCTGCAGTCAGGTGCCGGCCAGGCAGCCCGGCCAGGTGGGGACAGGCGGGGGGCACTCACTGGGCAGCCAGCGGGGCGGTGAGGGAGCGCTTCAGGAGCACGGGCAGTGGCAGCAGCTCACTCAGCTGCACCGTGGTCTCGTCCGCATCTGACGGGCCCCGGGGGTCCTCAGAGAGGGCAAAGGCCCGGGGAAGCCCGTGGTGGAGGAGGCGGGCAACAGGAGGCTCTGCTGCAGGGATGACACAGGCCGCTGGAGGGGCACAGGGCCACGGCCACCAGGCTCCCTCCTGCTTGCCCGCCCGCCGCAGCCAGCACACTCACACAGGGCCTCGTAGCTGTCTGGGTACTGCTCCAGGCGGTACTGCGCTGCCAGGCTTGCCAGGTAAGCCTGCTCCTTGTCCCAGCGAGCAGGCACCACCGCCTCTTCACCAAGGCCTGGGCTGCTCCGGGCATCCGCACCTTCCTAAGACAATCCAGCCTCAAGGAACGCCCCTTCCCCTTGTTTGGGAGAGGAGGGAAAGGGGGTTGGGACCCTCACAGGCTGCCCAATCCTGGAGGACAGAGCCCTCACTGCCCATGCAAGGCCAGGTGTGGGGCGGCCAGCAGAGCGTGCTCTCCCAGGCCCTGACCTCCAACCCCTGACCACATGTGCCCTGACCTTGGAGCCTGGAGGGTGGCTTGGAGAGACGTCCTCAGTGTCCCCACTCCTCCTTGGGCCTGAGCAACATAAATGAGGCAGGAGGGGACATCAGGGCCAAGCACCTGCTGCTGGGCAGCACCTCCCACATCCCTAGCACAGCAGTCTTCTTACCCTCCCCCCAACCCTACCAGTGACAGGGCAGCTCTGGGGGCCCACTGACCTGGCTCCTCAGGAGTGCCATCTCCTAGAGCACCAGGCACAACCCCAGCAGGCAATGAGGCCTTGAGGCCACTCTCCTCCTCACAACCAGAAGCAGCCGCCAGAGCGCAGGAGCTCCCTGAGGCTGTCTCTGTGGGTAGCTGTGGTTCCTGGTCCTGGGTAGGGCTCTGTTCTTCCAGGCTGAGGCCTGACTGGGACACGTGGTCAGGGGAGTTCTGGTGGGACCTGGGCACATCGATCTGGGCTTCCTCTGGGAGTGCACCCAGCATCATGTGCGACTGAGACACATGTCCATGGACGTTCCACCGTGGCCGAGAGGGGGCCACATCCCACACGTTCTCCCCCACCCTGACACTGGCATCAGACACATGTCCATGGACGTTCCACCGTGGCCGGGACGGGACCACGTCCCACACGTTCTCCCCCACCCTGATGCTGGCATCAGACACGTGTCCATGGACATTCCACCGTGGCCGGGAAGGGGTCATGTCCCACACGTTCTCCCCCACCCTAATGCTGGCATCAGACACGTGTCCGTGGATGTTCCACTGTGGTCGGGAGGGGGCTATTCTGGAAGCATAACCCCCTGTGGGAACACTGCTCTCTGACACATGCCCCAGGACCTGGCCTGTGGCCTGGCTGCTCCGCTCCTGGAGGGAATTGTGCTGGGGGGAGTGTGGGTCAAGCAGAGCCATCTGCCCATCCAGGACACAGGTGTCCAGTTGCATGTGAGTGTCCCCCCACAGCTGCTGCCCCTCACTGCCCAAGTCACCTCCTACAGTGTCAAGGGGTCCTGGGGAAGCCAAGGTGGCTGCAGCCGGCCTCAGGATGCTTCTGAAGTCATACTCCTGTGGCCCAGCCAGCCCTGTGCCCACCACTGCAGACAGACCTAGGGGAGGCAGGTCTGAGCCGATGGTCTGCAGTGCCTCCTCCAGGACAGGGGCCATGCCGGTGTGCACAGGCTTCTTGGCCCCCTGGCCCAGGGGCAGGAAGTCTTGGATGCTGAGGCTTGCAGAGAAGGGCCCTGGCCCCTCTGCCTGCCCTGGCTGCTGGCCTGCTCCTGGCCCCGAGCTGCAGGCCCCTGCTGCTGGAGACTCTAGGGGCTGCAGGGGTGCACTTGGCCTGCTCAGGCCATCCCAGGCGACCACGTGCTGCTCTGCACTCCCAGAATCACAGCTGCTACCTCCATCTGGGTGCTCGGGGCCCGGAGACGAGGCCTGAAATACAAGTACACATTGGTCCTTCCAGTTACCTGGCTCTGTCCCCCAAGTTCAGTTCTGCAACCAGCACCAAAACCTATCAAGTGGAGGGGCTGTGGGGACACAGGCCAGGCCTGGCGCCTGCTGTGCTCCCTGGGCAGCACAGGCCTGGGCGTCCAGCTCAGAGCCCCACATTACGCACCCTGGACCCTGACGGGCCCTCACCTGGGGGCGTGCACTTGGGAGGACAGCCAGTGGCTCCAGGGGCTTCTCCTCGGACAGGTCTTCCAGCATTCCCTGAAAGTCAACCAGCACGACTGAGGCAGCAGCTGTGCAGGGTGAGGAACAGAGCTGGCACTCAGAGCCCCCACGCCCTCACCCACCACAGGGAAGCTACAGCCCCACTGCTCATGGCGCCACAGCACTGAGCGGAGGCAAAGCCTGTGTCGCACCCTGCTCAAGGCCCGGGCCTACCGACAGCACCTCTCTTCCCAACCGCTTCACCTCTGATCAACTGATGAGAATCATCAACCTCTCCTAAAAGGGCACGCAGGTCTGCGTGCACTCTCCCAGGAGTTGGAGGCCCAAGATGCAGGGGAAGAGCTCCTGCCTGAAACTACAGTGATACCTGGATGCGTTTCTGATCTTCTAAGAGGAAACGCAGCCGAGCACCCGCCAACCTGTGCCTCTGGATCCTCCACAACGCCTTCTGCTCCCGACGAGCTGCCTCTGCAGACAGCTTGCTGTAATGGTCAACCAGCGCCTGCCTGAAGCCACACCAAAGAGGACCCTCACCATGGGCACCCCACACTGTCCGGCCGGCGCCCCATGGGCTGGGATGGCTCTCTATGACAGAGGCCTCTGGCGGGCAGTCTGTGCAGCGTGGCACCTTCCCCAGGCGGCACTGGTGCCTCTGGGCCCCCGTACACCTGCAGTGGCTTCACTGGGCAGGTCTTTCTGCCCACCAGACTGGGAGGCCTAGTGGCCAGCACCCAGCCAGAGCTGAGCACAGTGCTGAATGAATTCCAGAACGGGCACCTAGACAGCCTGAGCAAAGGGACCAGCAGCAGCCAGGCCACCCAGGCCCTCTGCGGGTGAGATCCCGCTTCCTGAGCTGCACAAAAGGCACCTGGCTGTTCTGCTGTGTGAACCCAGAGAACTGAAGATTAACGCAAACAGAGTACAACACCAATGTAGGAACTGTTTAACTCAAAGGTGGCCCGGCACGTCATTCCCAGGATTCTGATCCTCTTGCCAGCAAGGGACTGGGTTCAAACCTGGACTGGCCATTTCCAATTTGGCTGCCACAGGCCAGGGACACAGCCTCTACACTTGGTTTTCTCCATGTGTAAATGGGAAAATAACATCTACTCACACACGCAGACACCACACATGCATGCAAATGCAGACATATGCACACACGTGTGCAACACAAATGTACAGACACGTGTGCTGCACAGACATACAGAGATGTGTACACACACAAGACACCACAGACACATACACACAAAGACATGCATGTACATCATTTGCTGGCTCCAGGTCATAGCTCCATCAATGGTATCTAAGGTTGGGACAACTCAGATGCCGAGACGATGGGCAGAAAGTGACAGCCCCTGCCACAAAGGGCACCCTTGGAGACACCAGCTCTGCTCCCAGCTTTGGGGAAATACGAGGGAGGGCAGGACAAGCTAATGGCATTGTAACGAGATAGACTTGGATACTGTGCTGGACAAATGCCCCATGTCTCTGTCAAGCTGTTAGGTTTAAAAATAAACAAATGAACAGAGAATGTTTAACTTAAACTGTGAAAATGAAGAGAAGCAACCCTCATTCAAAATGGAGTCAGGAAGCCCTGAAGAGGGAGCGCTCACACACACCACCTGTCGCAGCCAACTGCTCGATCCCGGGCAGGAAGAGGCTCTCTCTACTACCCCAGCAGGAGGAAGATTTTCTCCTTGGCCAGCAACAGCCCAGCCAATGAGAAACCAATGTGCTCAGCAAATGAGAAGCTGTCACCACCCTGAACTCTTGCTCTCCTCCAATGGACTTCTGTTCAAAGCAGCCCCTCCCGAATTCCTCCTTTTTCTCTACAAAGTAACTTTCCTCTCCTGTGCTCTCCAGACCTACTGGCTGCCCTACCTCGCCTTCCTCTCCAGCTGCTCCTCCAGAGCCTTCAGCCTCTTCTCCCTGTCGCGGAGTTCACGGGCGTAGCTGAAGTCATCATCCAGCTCCTCCTGCCTGGCCGCCCGGCGTCGCTGCACAACACCCCACACGCCGCCTCGCTGGTTAAACCCCCTCCACGGGCCGCCAGACTCCACACACCCACCACTCCCGGAGGGTGCACCCCACCCACCTCCTGGTCCTTCACAAACTGCTCTTTCAACCTCTGAAACTGCTCTCGCTTCCGGGCATCCAGAGCCATCCGCTCTGACATCTGCCGATCTGTATTGAGACAGTGAGAGGGGCACCGTTGGAGAAGCCCCCAGCAGGCGGCCCGCAGAACCAGAGGGAGGACCCAGCCACACACCACTGAGCGCACTCAAGACCCTGGACGCTGCCTCTCGGGCGTGGACAATTAATTCTTGTTTCGCAATTTCCATTCGTAATTCCTGAAAAAGATCATCAGTAAACAACACATCCTGATCCTCTGACCCCTCCCTGGGATGGCCAGAGAGGAGGCTGCTCAGACCCCAGGTGGGCTCCTCCAGGGACGGTGCCCAGGCTGTGAGGGCAAGGTGCCCCATCCCATGCAGTGACAAGGCTGGCTCCCAGGGCAGTGGACACACTCCTGCAGAGCGACCTGGGGCGGAGACCACAGGCCTGTGTGTGCCCAGCCTGGAGGGAACCAGGGGGCTTAGGGAGGGACTTCCCTGTAGGAATGGAGGACGAGGCCCAGGCCCCCAAACAAGCCAGTGCCCCCTGTGCCCCCAGCTCTCGCCCCACTCATGTCTCCCTGTGGCCCGCCAGGTACTAGGCCAAGAAGGGCTTTCCATCAGACCCCTCCCAGGTGCATAGGATACTCAAAGCTCAGGTCCTGGCACACCTGCCCCTTCTGAGCAGGAAAGGAGCTCACAGAGGCCACCGAGCACAGGAACCTCGGGTCCTGCTGCCCTGGAGCCACCACTTGGCCAGGATTGGGCCTGTCCACCACCCAGGCCAGCCCAGGAGAAGAGAGAACAGAGCCCCTGTCCAGGTGTCCCCACCCAGATGCACCACCAGGACAGAGAACACCAGGGGCAGCCTCGCCATCTGGCACGCCCCACACCCAGCACCCCTCCCTCCAGCCTGGGACCCATGGGGGGTGAGGGGGGCGCAAGGGAGGCCCCAGGGCAGGTGCCCGTGTACCTTCTCCTCCTTGCTGATGGAGCTGTGGCGCGCCACCCTCTCCATCCGCCCCACGTAGATAGCACAGTCCTTCTCGATCTCCTTCAGCTCTTCAAGGGAGAAAATGACCGAGATCCGAGGGACAGGGACATCGGACCAGCAGAGGTAATGCTGCCAAGGAGGGAGAGCCTGCAGTGAGGCTGCTGAGGCGTGGAACCCCACCCAGCTCTGCCTCCGTCTTTCTCGTGACTCTTATGGACAGCTTGCTTTCTCAGAAACATCCTCCTCAACCAAGGGGCATGACATCCTCCGCGGTTCTAAGGACATAGCACACAGGCTGCGTGCGCTCTATGCCCAGGCCAAGGCTGCCCCATGGCCTGACTCCCACAAAGGACTTTTCAGAAGAAGCTGTGAAAACCTGGTGCTCTCCTCAGCCGCCCTCACTGGGGAGCCTTGGCTGTGAACACACAGAACACACAGGCACTCAGTCAGAGGTCACCCCATAGACCTGCCCTGCCTCTCTGAGCCCTGCCCACCCTACCCCTAGGAGCCCCCACCCCACAGGCCCTACCACTCCTCTGGGAGCCCCGCACCCCACAGCCAATCTCTTGACAGCTCCAGAGGGCTCTGCCCTCTGACCTCACTAGCATGGACTCCCTCCCCACGTCCGCAGCTTCCACCCAGCCCCCGCCTGTCCTGGCCACTCCAGTTTGTTCTCAGCCCAGCACTAGCCATGGGCTGAGTCTGGCCCCTCCTCTGCCTGGACCCTCCCCAGCCCGGCATTCCTGGGCCCCCCGGTCCTGCTCTGGTCTCCACTCGGTTGTTCCCCACTACCTGGAACCCCAGGTCCACACACCTAGCCTGTCTGCCTCTGCCCAGACATCAGACAGCACCTCCTCACAAAGGCTGCCCATCCATACCCCTACATCCAACCTGGCCATCCTCCACAGGGCCTTGACCACATGGACACTGTCACAGGCCTCTGCCCAGACCTCTGCTCCAGAGCACAGCCAGCCCCCAGGCCAGGGGGCCAAGACTCACTAAACCAGCCTGGGTCCATCTTCCTGTGGATGCAGCCCATCCCTGTTTCTCTGGGGCGGTTTCTAACGCGGAGGAGGGAGGGAGCCCACTGCCCCTTGGCCTTGGAAATGCCTTCGGCTTTTCCTCCTGTCTTTGAACAAATGCCTGCAAACTCCAAAGACCTGCTCATGAAACTCTCAGGGGAAACTGAGGGAAAGGTCACCACAATCCCTGATCTAACACAGCTGACCCAGAGCCAAGGACAGATGGCCGGGTCTCAGGGGGGCGAGAAGGGGGGTGTGACAGGTTGGGGCCTCGGCTCCCGAGGGCCAGCATGACCAGAAGGGACAAGAGGGGCAGGGCGAGGGGCAGCATGCTGCGGTGTGCAGGGGCGGGACCCTCCTCACCCGAGGACAGCAGAGCTTCAGCAGGTTGATGGTCTTCCCACACACATAGACGTCGTGGGCAATGTGCTTCAAGAACATGGGGACGCAGTCCTCCACCTCTTTGGAAATGAGAACGTAGCCGTGGGTCCAGTAAAACTTATCTGCATGTGGAACAAGACACATGGCTGGCCTGTGTCCAGTAATAGCCCTGACCCACCTGACGGCGTGGGGCCCGGCCCAGCAGACAGCCACCACCTACCTCTGAAGCCCAGGTACTCCTGGTTCACCTGGATCATGAACTCGCCGTAAACGTCTCTGAAGACCCCACTATACACCCAGTCGTGGATGAACCTGCAGTGGGGTGAGGGGGAGGAAGGGGGCCGGGCCAGCAGTGAGGTGGGAAGCCCACCTATCCTGCCCTCCCCCCTCATCTATGATGCCTATGCTCAGCAAGTGTCTGACAAGAGGATGCTCTCAGATATCTGCTGGGACTGAGTGTGGCCCCCCACCACCCAGCAGTCCAGGTCCCTGCCCCTCCCCCAGCCTCCCCACCGGGTGTAGGGCTCGCAGCTGGTCTTGAGCAGAGACAGCAGCACAGGGTAGTGCTCATTGCTGCAGTTATCCAGGGCCTCCTGGTAGAGGTATGAGAGCAGCTTCACCCCCTGGAGACAGCAAGGGGAGGGGGCTCAGCCCATGCACCATGTGCAGCACATGGGGAGCCCCACCCCGGGGGGCCACGCTCAGCCACTCTGCTTTCCCAGAGCCGGCCAGGCCACCACTGGGCAAGAATGCAGAACTTACAGTGGGGAATGCCGCCCCGGGCTCTCCTCCACTGGAGGCGGGGAGCGCAGTGCCAACCCCACAAAGCTCAGCCAGGTACCTAGACAGAGGAAAGGGAGACCAGGTGAGCAGACACTCAGAGCCCCGGGGTAGGGGAGACCAGGTGAGCAGGACATATCCCAGGCCCTTCTCTGCCTGTCTTCATGCTCGGGCTTTAAAACCACCTGCACCTCAAGGATCTCAGAGTTGAGCTTCCTTCCAGACCCCTCCCTGGGCACTCCATGCATTTCCACCTCCTTCTCAGGCTCGGCCAAGACTCTGATTCACCTGGAGTCCGTGACATTTCCCCTGTGCCTGTGGCTCTACCTTGAGACCCCCTCCTGCATTCCCACCACCTTGCCCAGGTTGCCATCTCCTAAGGCCTGGATTACTGACAAGCCCCCTCTGGGGCCCTCACCCCCTCCGCCCAGCTGCAGTCTTCTCCACACGGCAGCACAGCCCCCACTCCAGCACCCTCCCACTTGCCTCATCGTGCCCCATCTCCAGCCCTCAGGCCTCCACACCCCTACCCCCTGCCTACAAGGACTCCTCTCCCACTGAACCACCTCCCCAGGAACCCCAACCCTCACTGTCCCTTCTCCATATGGCACCTGCCAACAGACACTCTGCCTGGCGTTTACTAACCAGCTTGTGAGTACCAGGAGCCGGATTCCTGGGGACCCTATGTGCCCTGGAGGCAGGAGCCCTCAACCCTACACAGGGCCCGACACGGCAGGCCACCAACAGACACAGGTGCACAGCACCCAGCACCTGGGAGCCACACCTACCAGGAGGGCTGTTCTCATGGACCCTCCAGCGCCCAGCAAGCCCCACGTGTGGCCACCATGCCGAGGCTCACCTGAGCTGCCGGCCCAGTTTCTTGAAGAGAAAGCCAATGGTGAGGAGGCTCAGGGTGGGTGGAGTGGAGAGCACACAAGCTCGGTAGTACTGCAGGTACCTCCTCAGGCCGCTGGTGAAGGCCTGTGGGGGCAAGGGGCTGGAAGGGAGCCGGCCAGGTTGGGGCAAGGGGCTGGAAGGGAGCTGGCTAGGTGAGGGCAAGGGGCTGGAAGGAGGCCGGCCACGCACAGGACACGCCCACCAGGTAGAGCTTGAAGGAGACGCGGGTGTGGGGAGAAGGGCCTGGCGCCCGTCCACAGTCCTGGGGCTCCACTGTTCCAAGGGACGGACATCTGTGGGTCATACCCAGACATCCCTGCCCATCTGGAAGCAAGGAGCCTTCAGGGAAGCCGAGGGCCCCCCGCAAATCCTGTCCATGCAGCTGAGGGCAGCCGCACCAAGACACCGGGACCTGCGGGTCCTGACTCTGCGCACAGGCACTAACTCCAAGAGGGTCTGTGGCTGCTCAGACCCCAAGACATGAGCGTCCTGGGCAGCACCACAGCAGTGTGGCCCCAGCTCAGCTCATATCTTTACAGGAGGTCTGCACAGAATGCCCCGGAACAAAGGTCAGTCCACTCACCAGCAAGGAGACAGCCGTCCTGCCCATGTCCCAGATGACCGGCACAGCAGCCCCCTCTTAGCTGGTCTCCTGCCCTCCCCAGGCCCAGCCTACACTGTCTAGACCCAACCGCATCACACCACCTCCACAACCTGCTGCAGCGCAAGAACCGAAGGGACCTGCAGCTCAGCCCCAGGCCAGCCCTGCTCCCTGCCCAGCACACAGTACCCTGCCCTCAGGGAGCCCCAGCACCCTGCTCGTCTAGATGCCTGCCTCCGACACAGGCCCACAAGCTGTGCTGGAGGCTGCACGCCGCATACAGGCCGACAAGAAGGCTTTCAAAGAAGAGCTGGTCCAGCCCTCACTCCCAGAACTTCACTCACTAAGTAAGGGAGATGCACGGCATCGGTCACTGTGCAGTGCATGGGGCCCAGTGGGGACAGGCAGCGTGTGCCCATCCCATACCACCTCATCCTTCCCCCAGCTCCCCAAAGTGTTGGCCGCGCCTGCCTCCCACCATCCCATGGCCCAAACACGTCCACCCCAGGTTTCCAGTGAGATGACGGATAAAGTAAAACATGGTCACCCCATTCCTGAAGAAGAGTAACTGTCGGGTTTTAGACGTTATCGAAGAAACAAAAGGTTTGGACTCAGTGGTCCTGGGGTAGGACTGGAGGCTCTCTTTTCCACAAAGTGTGCAGCTCTCAGGAAGATATGTGACAGCTGGGAGGCCAAGGCCTTACCTGGAACACGAGGCCTTTGCTGCAGGAGGAGTCCAGCACCGGCTGCACGGAGAAGTGGCTTAGGCGCGCATAGTGGGTCCCACACTCCGCCACCTCTGAGAGGAGGCTGCTGATGCTCTCGGGGGACGCTCCTGATACGTGGACGCCCCGCTTCACCATGAAGGCATGAGCCGGCTGGACAGGACAGAGGAGAGGCCACTGAGGCCAGGCACTCAGAGCCCAGTGTGGTGCTGTATGTAAGTGCTCAACATTAAGCTTTTTAGGCGGAGGCAGCCACTTCAAAGACGTCCATCTCAAACAAACACGTTGCCAGCTACACGACCAGACAAGGAGCCAGGCCACCCCACCACAAAGCTCCCCTTTCAGAAAGCCTGGGTGACCCAGATAACCAACCCCTCAAGTGACACCACTTTCCCCTTCCTGAGCCCTAATTCCCACTCTTACAGTTTAAACTCAGCAATAAAGAGTGGACCTGGGAAACCTTAAGCCACACCCTCAGACCCTAACAAAGGCAGATCCCCAGGTCCACACTCTCTGCCCGGCCCCGCCATGACCTCACGGTGTGGCCCTGGGGAGGCCGTGTACCCTCCAAGACCTATGAGGGATAAACCTTGTTCTTCAAAGTTCCCTGATGATTTCTTGCTGAGGTGTGTCCTGTGATTATAATAAGAACCACAAGGACCCCGAACAGCCAAAGCAATCCTGAGAAAAAAGAACAAAGCTGGAGGCATCACAATCCCTGACTTCAAAATATACTACAAAGAAATCAAAACAGCATGGTACTAGCACAAAAAACAGACACATAGATCAATGGAACAGAATCGAGAGCCCAGAAATAAAACCACATACCACACATCTATGGACAGCTAATCTCTCTTTTTTGTGTGTGTGTGAGGGAGATTAGCCCTGAGCTAACATCTCTGCCAATCTTCCTCTATTTTATGTGGGACACCGCCACGGTATGGCTTGACGAGTGGTGCTAGGTCCGCATCCAGGATCCAAACCTGCAAACCCCAGGCCGCCGAAGCAGAGCACGCAAACTTAACCACTACGCCACCAGGCCAGCCCCTATAAACAGCTAATCTTTGACAAAGGAGCCAAGAACATACAATGGAGAAAGGAAAGTCTCTTCAACAAATGGTGCTGGGAAAACTGGAAAGCCACATGTAAAGAATGAAAATAGACCATCATCTTATGCCACACACAAATACTAACTCAAAATGGATTAACGACTTGAATGTAAGACCTGAAAGCATAAAAATCTTAGAAGAAAATATAGGCAGTATGCTCTCTAACATCAGTCTTAGAATACCATATCCACTCAGACAAGGGAAACTAAATAGAAAATAAACAAATGGGACTTCATCAGACTAAAGAGCTTCTGCAAGGCAAGGAAATCATGAACAAAATGAAAAGACAGCCTAACAACTGGAGAAAATATTTGCAAATCACATATCCGAAAAGTGGTTAATTTCCAAACTATATAGAGAACTCATATAACTCAACAACAGAAAAATGGGGGCCAGCCCCACGGTCGAGTGGTTAAGTTCGCGCGCTCTGCTTCGGCAGCCCAGGGTTTCGCTGGTTTGGATCCTGGGCGCAGACACGGCACCGCTCATCAGGCCACGCTGAGGCAGCGTCCCACATGCCACAACTAGAAAGACCCACAACTAAAATATACAACTATGTACTGGGGGGATTCGGGAAGAAAAAGCAGGTGAAAAAAAAAAGGAAGATTGGCAACAGTTGTTATCTTAGGTGCCAATCTTTAAAAAAATAAACAAATAAGTACTTTTTTAAAAATTAAAAGAAAAAAATGAACAACCTATTAAAAAATGGGCAGAGGATCTGAACAGACATTTTCCAAAGAAGATATACAAATGGCCAACAGGCACGTGAAAAGATGTCCAACATCACTAATTATTAGGGAAATGCAAATCAGAACTACAATGAGATATCACCTCCCGCTCATCAGAATGGGTATAATTAACAAGACAAGAAATAACAAGTATAGGAGAGGATGTGCAGAAAAGGGAACCCTCACACAATGCAAACTGGTGCAGCCACTATGGAAAACAGTATGGAGATTTCTGAAAAAATTAGAAATAGAAATACCATACGATCCAGCCATCCCACTACTGGGTATTTATCCAAAGATCATGAAATCAACAATCAAAAGAGATCTATGCACCCCTATGTTCACTGCAGCATTATTCACAATAGCCAAGACGTAGAAGCAACCCAAGTGCCCGTCAGCAGATGAATAGATAAAGAAGATGGGGTGTACATATATACACAGTGGAATACTATTCAGCCAAAAAAGACAAAATCATGCCATTTGTGGCAATATGGATGGACCTAGAGGGTATCATGCTAAGTAAAATAAGTCAGAAAGAGAAAGACCAGTATCATATGATTTCATTCATATGTGGAAGATAAACAAACATAGATAAGGAGAACAGACTAGTGGTAACCAGAGGAGGAGGGAGTGGGGGGAAGGCAAAAAGGGTAAAGGGGCACATATATATGGTCACGGATAAAAACTAGAGTATTGGTGGTGAACACAAGCAGTCTATATGGAAACTGAAATATAATAATGTACACCTGAAATCTACACAGTGTTATAAGCCAATATGACTTCAATAAAATTAAAAAAAAAAAAAAAAAAAGAACCACAAGGGCCAGCCCAGCCACTACATCGGCCCAGTGATGGAGGGGGCTCCCCAGTAAATATAGGCTGAGTAAGTGCCTCAGGCATTCCTATCCTACAGCATCACTATCCACAGGCTGGGACTGACACAACACCTTTCAACAGGTTAAGATGGTAAATGTTATGTTATATGTATTTTACTGCAATTTTAAGAAAACAAAAACAACAAAAATGCTCACAACAAAGAAAAGCCCAGGACCAGATAGCTTCACTGGTGAATCTACCAAACAAGTAAAGAAAACCAATTGTTCTCAAACTCTTCCAAAAATTGAAGAGGAGGGAACACTTCCTAATTCTAAGAGGCCAGTATTGCCCCAATTCCAAAGTTAAGATAAAGACATTACAGGAAGAAAACTATAGGCGAATATCCCTTTTGAACACATACGCAAAAATCCTCGATAAAATACTAACAAACCAAATCCAGCAGCATATTGAAAGGATTATATACCACAAACAAGTGGGTTTTATTGGTGGAATGCAAGCGTAGTTCAACATACAAAAATCAACATATTAAAACCACGTTAATAGAAAGGAAAAAAAACATACAATTATCTCAATTGATGCAAAAAAAGTGTGTGACAAAACTCAACACCCTTTCATGACAGCAGTGCTCAATAAACTAGGACTAGAAGGGAACCTCCTCACCATGACAAAGGCCATGTATGAAAGACCCACAGCTGACATCACAGTGTGAAAGACAAAGCTTCTCCCCTAAGACCATTAACAAGGCAAGGATGCCCGCTTTCACTACTTCTGTTCAAAATAGTACTGGAAATCCTAGCCAGAGCAATTAGGTAAGAAAAGGAAATAAAAGGCATCCAAACTGGAAAGGAAAAAGTACAATTATCTATTTGCAGATTACACAATATTATATACAGAAAACCCTAAGGAATCCACAAAAAAGAAAAATCTGTCAGAACTAATAAACAAATCCAGCAGGCTACAAAATTAACACACAAACATCAGTTGTATTTCTATATACTAGCAATGAAAAATCTAAAAGGAAATTAAAAAAACAATTCCATTACAACAGCAATATAAGAATATAACACTTAGGGATAAATTCAACCAAGGAGGCAAAAGATTTGCTACAATGAAAACTATAAAACATTGCTGAAAGAAAATAAAAACCTAAATAAATGGAAAGACATACCATGTTAATGGACTGGAATACAGTCATGAATCACCCAACAGTGTTCTGAGAAATGAGTCCTTAGGCAACTTCGTCCTTGTGCAAACATCAGTGACCTGCACAAACCTAGATGGTGTGGCCTCCACACACCCAGGCCATATGGTACAGCCTACTGCTCCCAGGTGCAAACCTGTGCAGCCTGTTACTGTACTGAATACTGCTGGCAGGTGCAACACAATGCTAAGTATTTGTGTATCTAAACATAGACAAGGTACAGTAAAAATACAGTATAAAAGATAGAAAATAATGCACTTGTGCAGGGCACTGACCATGAATGGAACCTGCAGGACTGGAAGTTGCTCTGAGTCAGTGAGTGAGTGGTGAGTGAATGTGGAGGCCCAGGACATTACTGGACACTACTGCAGACTTCATAAACATTTTAACTTAGGCTATGCTAGATTTATTTAAAAAACAGTTTTCTTTCTTCAGTAATAAATTAGCCTTAGCTTACTTTAACTTCTTCATTTTATAACCTTTAAAAGTTTTTTAACTACATTACTAACACTTAGCTTAAAACACAAACACACTGTACAGCTGTACAAAAATATTTTATTTATGTGCTTATTTTATATGCTTTTTTCTATTTTAAAATTTTATTTTATTTTTTCACTTTTTAAACTTTTTTGTTAAAAACTAAGACACAAGGGCCAGTCTGGTGGCACAGCGGTTAAGTGCGCACGTTCCACTTTGGCAGCCTGGAGTTCACCAGTTCGGATCCCAGGTGCAGACATGGCACCGTTTGACAAGCCATGCTGTGGTAGGCGTCCCACATTTAAAGTAGAGGAAGATGGGCACGGATGTTAGCTCAGGGCCAGTCTTCCTCAGCAAAAAGAGGAGGATTGGCAGCAGATTTTAGCTCAGGGCTGATCTTCCTCAAAAAAAAAAAAAACTAAGACACAAACACACACATTAGCCTAGGCCTACACAGGGTCAGGATCATCAATGTCACGGTCTTCCATGTCTACATCTTGTCCCACTGGAAGGTCTTCAGGGCAATAACATGCATGGAGCTGTCATCTCCTATGATAGCAATGCCTTCTTCTGGAACACCTCCTGAAGGACCTGCCTGAGGCTCTTCTTGAGGAGGTGTCACTCTTTTCAGAAATACATCCATGGTGGTTTGTTTCTTTTTTCATCATAGATTTGCTTATAAGCAGATAATGCACCATGAACATTCCTCTCTATTCATGAAAACCTTTTGGTGTTGAGGTCCGTGTTCTCAAACCTAAGGAGCTTGTTGAGGTCAGCCAAAGCTTCTGCTAAACCCTTCACTGTGAATTTTCTTGGGAGTTCTTCTGCAGTTTCCATTTCTCTTGCCTGTTCTTCAACTACGCATTCCTGTTCCAGTTCCAACAACTTCTCATTAGTCAATTCCTCAGGAACCACCTCTAGGAGCCCCTCAATGTCATCCTCATCCACACCTAAGTTAAAGCTGTTTGCTATCTCAACTACAGCCTTGATTTTTGCAACCTCCTCATCCTTGGCAAAACTTCTGAAGTCATGGACAAACCCCTTGAGTGTCTTCTTCCAAATGCCATTCATGCACTCCCCGATGACATCACCCCAAACCCAAGCAAGGTTCTTGATGCAGTCATAGAGATTATAATCTTTCCCGAATTGCATCGTCTTCCTCAGCTACAACAATAGTCTGGGCAAAGGTCTTCCTCAGGTAGTAGGCTTTAAAAGCTGCTATAACTCCTTGATCATTGGTTGAATCAAAGATGTAGTGTTTGGAGGGAGAAAGACTGCTTAGATATTGGGATGAAGATCACCAATAAAGGAGGATGTCTGGGAGCTTTATCAACAATAAGCAGGGGCTGGCCCCGTGGCCGAGTGGTTCAGTTCATGTGCTCCGCTTCAGTGGCCCAGGGTTTCACCAGTTTGGATCCTGGACACGGACATGGCACCACTCATCAAGCCATGCTGAGGCGACATCCCACATGCCACAACTAGAAGGACCCACAACTAAAAATATACAACGAGGTATCAGGGGACTGGAAAAAGGAAAAATAAAACCTTTAAAAAAAATAAATAAGCAAAATTTTGAAAGGTATGTTATTCTCCAAATAGTACTTCTCTATCCCACTGGCACAGCAATTCAGGAGGGCACCTTGGAAGAGGAGCAGAGTCCACCATGACTTCTTGCTCCTGTAGTGCACTGACAGTGTGTGCTTATGACATGCTTGAAGGCCCTGCGGTTGTCACTGTACCAGATCACAAAGGGCTTCAATTTGTAGCCTGCAACACTGCCCCCAGGCAAGACTGTTATCTGGTCTTTAAAAGCCTTGAAACCTGGCATTGTCTTGACCTCCTTATGGATGAAAGTCCTTTCAGGCATCTGTTTTCAAAACAGAGAGGTTTCATCTGTACTGAATATTTGCTCTGGCAAGTGATTTTCCTCCATAACCAGCTTATCTGGAGTTTACAACAGTCCTGCAGCTGCCTTCACATCAGCACTCACAGACTCACCGCTCACTTTCACGTGACGCAGTGAGTAACGATTCCTGAGTCATTTAAACCACCCAGAGCTGGCAGTAAATTCGACATCGTAGTCGGATCCAGCCTCTCCTTTCAACATCACAAATAAACTCTCTGCTTTGGCCTCATCATCACGGAGCTGAGAGGGATGTGCTTCTGTGCCTGGTCTTCCATCCAGGTCATCAGAAGTTTCTCCATGTCTGATACAGGCCATGCTTGAATTTTTGTCAGTCTCGTTACCTTCAATGAAGCAGATCCTTTAACAGCTTCCGTCACCTTGTTCTTGTTCTTCAAGATCGCAGCTATGGTGGAATGGGACACGCCTAACTGGGGAGCAATAATCATCATTGATTTTCCACCTTCGTGGTCCTTAATCATTTTAATTTCGTTTCCAGGTCAACTACTCGACGTGGCCTCTTACTGGCAACATTAGCAGTGGATTTTGTACACTTAGGGGCCGTGATGAACAAAACAACATGAGATTAAATCAAGCAAAGAGAAAATGACGCGATGTGCACGAGGCTGCTGCCAGTGTAACACAGCATAGTGTTTTACAATAAGCTTTTTTACTAAGTAGAAAGAGTTCACTGTAAAATAATGATAAAAAGTATAGGATAGTATATAAGCCAGTAACGTAGCCGTGTATTGTCGTTATCAAGTATTGCGTACTGTACGTAATTGTATGTGCTACACTTTTATATGACTGGCAGTGTAGTTTTTACACCAGCATCACCACAAGCACGAGTAATGCGTTGTGCTATGACATTATGATGGCTGTGATGTCACTAGGTGACAGGAATTTTTCAGCTCCATTATAATCTCATGGGACCACTGTCAAAAATGTGGTCTGTTGTTGACCGAAACATCATCATGAGGCACAGGACTGTATTTAATATTGTTAGGATAATAATACTACTCAAAGCAATCTGTGAACTCAATGCAATCTCTATCAATATCCCAATGGTGGTTTTTGCAGAAATAGAAAAGCCGATTCTAAAATTCATGTGGAATTGCAATGGGCCCTGAATAACCAAAACAATCTTGAAAAAGAAGAAAAAAGTTGGAAGACTCACACTTCCTGAGTTCAAAACTTACTATAAAGCTACAGTGATCAAGATAGTGTGGCACAAGCATAAGAACAGACATACAGACCAATGGAAAAGAACAGAGCCCAGAAATAAATCCTCACATATAGGGTCAATTTTTTTTTTTGAGGAAGATTAGCCCTGAGCTAACATCTGCTGCCAATCCTCCTCTTTTTTTGCTGAGGAAGACTGGCCCTGAGCTAACATCCATGCCCATCTCCCTCTACCTTGTATGTGGGATGCCTACCACAGCATGGCTTGTCAAGCGGTACCATGTCCGCACCCAGGATCCGAACCGGCAAACCCCAGGCCGCCGAAGCAGAACGTGTGCACTTAACCACTGCACCACCAGGCCAGCCCCTCGGTTTCTTAAATATGATACCAAAAGCACAGGCAACAAAAGAAAAAAATAAACTACTTCATCACAATGAAAAACTTTTGTGCTTCAAAGGAAACTATCAAGAGAGTGAAAAGACAACCTACAGAAGGGAGGAAATATTTGTAAATCATATATTGACAAGGGATTAATACCCAGAATACATACAGAACTCCTACAAGTCAACAACCCAACTCAAAAATGGGCCAAGGACTCAAATAGACATTTCTCCAAAGAAGATACACAAATGGCCAATAAGCACTTGGAAAAATGCTCAATATCTTAGTCATTATGGAAATGCAAATCAAAATTACAGTGAGTACTACTACTTCACATCCATTGGGACAGCTATTATTTACAAAAATCGAAAAACAAAACTCTAAATATAACAAGTGTTAGCAGAGGAATTGGAACCCTGGTACGTCACTGGAGGGAATATAAAATGGTACAGCCACTGCGGAAAACAGCTTGTTGGTTCCTCAAAAACTTACACAGAGTTACCATAGGACCCAGCAATTACACTCCTAGGTATACACTTAAGCAAAATCAGGGACTCAAACAGATTCTTGTACACTCATGTTCATAGCAGCATTATTCAAAATAGTCAAAAAGTGAAATCAATCCATGTGTCCATCAACAGACGAATGGATAAATAAAATGTGGTAAATACATACGTGGAATATTATTCAGCCTTAAAAAGGAAGGAAATTCTGACACATGCTACAATGGGATGAACCTTGCAGACACTACGCTCAGTGAAATAAGCCAGTCACAAAAGGACAAATACTGATGATTCCACTCATATGAGGCCCCTAGAGTCATCAAATGCACAGAGACAGAAAGTAGAATGGTGGGTGCCAGGCGCTGGGGGAGGAGGAATGGGAGTTAGTGTTTAATGGGACAGTTTCAGTTTGAGCTGACGAAAAATTTTGGAAATAGACAGTGGTGGTGGTTATACAACACTGTGAATATAATTAATGCCACTGAAGAGCACACTCAAAAGTGGTGAAGGTGGTAAATTTTAAGTTCTGTATATTTTACCACAATTTGAAAAAAGGAGGGGGTTGATTCCATAGAGTAAGGCCATGCACACGACAGTACACTACGGGCCCGTGAAAACGGTGTTCTAGAACAGTCTCTCAGAGAGCAGCCCTCAACACCAGCAGTGCCTGAGGGGTCTGCTAGAGAGCATGTCTCTGGGCCAACCCAGGATGTGCTTCTAGTCCACACTCAAGTCCCAGAACAGCCACTATGAGAGAATACTTAAGATACAGAGAGAGACTGGGCACTGACGTGAAAGAAGAAAGCCGCAGAGTATATACAAAAGACTCCATTTTTGTAAATATATTCACTTATTTTATAAGCGCCCAGAAAGATGCAAAACGTTGGATAAACTGCAGCGACTGCCCAGAATGAGCAAGGCCCCCATCCATGGCCAGGAGAGAGGTCCAGAGAAGTGAGAAGAGCCAGTGACAGGCACATGATGTGGTCCTCTGCTGCAGGGCAGGTGCTCCTGCAGGCCGCATCTGCACTCTGTGCGAGCACTGGGCAGGCTCAGAGGGCCCTGGGCACTTCCTCGGATGGATGAAGAAATGGTGTGTACATTTCTATTGTTTCACTGATAGCAATATACACCTTACTTGTGTTCAGTTTCTAAAAGAATGTTAATAAGTTAATATTTTTTAGAACTGAAATGAGAAAACCATCACCATAATCACTAGGCAGGCTGCAGAGCCAGCTTCCCAGCCACACCCTGCTCTGACACGCAGGCTCGCGTCCGAGGCCCCCTCTGACTGCACTGGGCCGCATTCTACCTGTAAAGTGCTCAGACAGTGCTGGGCTGTCAACACGGCATGGGTGCAGTGACCACGTGAGTGCTACGTCCTTACCTGGCAGAGGGAAAATGTGGCAGACACGACCCCAATCAGGACGTTCAGCGCATCCTTCACCAGCTCACACTCTTTCACCAGGACGGGCTGTGGGGCCTGCAGGAGGCCCCCTCCCAGCACCTGCAGCTCCCCTTGGTGGAGCCTGCAGAACCTGTCGAAGGCGTCCCTTCCCGCCTCGGTGAGGTAGGGCTCCTCTCTGTGGCCAGGGGGGCTGTGTGAGAGACAGAGGAAGGGCAGTGAGCAGACAGAGCAACATGCACTTTAGCTATGTGAACAAAATGCAGGAGAAAGAGGGATTCAGAACAGTAAAATGTCTAAAAAATAGACCACGTAAGGGTCCCAACCAACCACCCAGCCTCTTTGTCAGCATCTGGCAGGCTCAGTGCTGACCGTAATCGATCTTGTGAAGACAACTCAGTGCAGAAACATGTCTAGAAGCAGCAGCAAATGTCCCCACCCACCCAGCACCCACAGGGCACGCAGTGGTCCTCAGGCTGACAACTCACTCACATCATTACGTTAAAAATAAGTAGAAGGTTTGCACACTCAGATTCATAGCAGCATTATTCACAACAGCCCAAAGGCAGAAGCAGCCCAGGAGTTCATCGACAGACAAATGGATAAAGAAAACGTGGTCTTGGGGGCCAGCCCTGTGGCCAAGTGGTTAAGTTCGCACACTCTGCTTTGCCAGCCCAGGGTTTCGCCAATTCAAATCCTTGGCATGGACATGGCACGGCACCACTCATGCTGAAGCATGCATCCCACATGCCACAACTAGAAGGACCCACAACTAAAAATACACAACTATAAACCAGGGGGCTTTGGGAGAAAAAGGAAAAATAAAAAAATCTTTAAAAAAAAAAGAAAATGTGGTCTAGCCACACAATGGAATATTATTCAGCCTTAAAAAGGGAGAAAATTCTGACACATGCTACAGCATGGATGAAGCTTGAAAACATGCTAAGTGAAATAAGCCAGACACAAAATGACAAATACTGTATGATTCCACTCATATGAGGCCCCTAGAGTCGTCAAACTTATAGAGACAGAAAGTAGAATGGCGAGTGGCAGGGGCTGGGGGAGGCGGACGGAGTGAGTGTTTAATGGGACAGAGGTGCAGTTTGGGATGATGGAAAGAGCTATGGAGATGGATGGTGGGGATGATCACACAACAGTGTGAATTACTTAATGCCACTGAACTGCACACCTGAAAACAGTTAAGATAATAACTTTTATGTTATGTGTATTTCACTCCCCTAAAAGACAAAGCACAAAGGATGGACAAAGTCTCACAAACTTTTAAGACAAAACGAGCCTGCTGGGTCTTGCTGAGGGCACACAGCAGCCTCCAGGGGCTTTGCCTCCACATGGCCCTGTGCTGGGAGCTCAGGAACCACCCAGCACAGCTATATCATTCACACGGCCAAAAACACAGTATCACTTTTAAAATATTCCTTTGAAAACCATCAACCCCTACTGAAAAGTATGGAAGAACTGTTTTTTTTAAATCCACTGGAAAAAGTAATTTCTTAATAAATGAAGCCCAGGGAATACAGCTCTTTTCTGAAACTTTTCTTCTCATTTTGAACACCTGACCAGCTCTTTCTCCTCCCCCCCAAAAGACTCTTATTTTTAGATTTAGCAAATCAAAAAGACTATCATTTATTTTTCAAAAACAAAAGTCGTTTTCTGCGGGGTAACAGCTGCACACTGTAGGGCATTCTAACATCAAGATGGTGTCTGACCACCCACACACCTTCACCTCCACGTCAGGCGTGATGCACAAGAACAACATATCTCAGAACTTGTTAAAATCAAAAGGACTCTTCAATCAACAATGCACCGTAATGTGCTCCTTCCCTCATTCAGCAAGTTATCTGAGAGTAGGGGGAACAGCCAGGCAGACAAACCCACTCTCACGGGGTGGGGGCTGCAGACAGGGAACGAAGGCATTGACTTAGAGCCCAGGACCAGGGCTCCAATGACCGGAGACACTCGTTGGTAAGGCCCCAGAGCAGGGCTGAGCTGTGGAGCAGCAGCCCTGGCACAGGAAAAGAATGTGCAAAACCCAGAGACAGGAAGAGGAGGAGCTGGTATGAGTGGGGCTCCACAGTGGTGAGGGCGGGGGCAGATAGGCTGAGGCCCGGAAGGGCTGGCCCTCATTCCAGACCAGGGGTGGCCATGAAGCAGGGCAGGCAGAGCGGGAAGTGATCTGATTTCTGCTCCTGGAAGGTGGCGCTGGCCACGTGGAGGATGGGCTGGAGGTGGTGCTGGCCGTGTGGAGGATGGGCTGGAGGGGCAGCAGGAAGCAAGGAGGCCAGTCCTGAGGAGACCAGAGTCAGCAGCTGGGGTGCACCCAGACCTCAGACACCTGCCCACACTCCCTCAGCGCAAGAAGAGCGTGATGAAAGGAGAAGCCTCTGAAGCTCCAGAGTCCTTCAAATGCCCCTGGGGACTCCTTGGGGACAGGTGTGCACGCTGAGGGTGCCATCTTGCTTCACACGCGAGTGTACACGCACATGAGCACATGCACTCTTCCAGTGTCCACCCCTGCACCACCTGGGCCACATGCGCCCCCCCTTTGGTGACTCAGAGCTGAGGGAGAAAAGTCCATGGAGGAAAAACACCAAATTCACACTGTCCCACAGAGAGCTCGGCCCCTAACATAACAAAACTGCTTCCCCCAATGAGAAACAGCGGCTCACAGCAGGGAAGGCAGCCTTCAGACCAAGGGGAGGGGTCCTCAGGGGTCTCGAGGCAAGGGCAGAGTTTATAATCCTGGGGCTGTGGGTGTACAGGGCCTCTGCTTCTGGCAGGGCAGCAGCTTCCTAACTGGCCCCACTGGTCAGAGCTCATGGCAAGAAACTAGCTAGGTGGTTGGGATTTAAACTGAAACAAGTTCAAAAGATTTACCAAATGAACTTGAACAAAAGGCCTCAGGGGTCAGGGGTCAGTGGAATCAGGTTGCCACCAGAACAGGCAGGGGAGGAGCCTTGGTCATTAGCTGCAGCACTCCTCCATGTAGGAAAGCCCACAGTGGTGCTCCCCACTGCTGGAGCTCTGTGTTCAGTTCTGCCTTCAGGGGACACCAAGGAGACTACGTGCATGGAGAACAGGGGGCGAGGACAGAGACCTGGTGAGCCATCCTGTCACCTAAACAGTACCCTGAAAAACTAGGCCTAAAAAAGTTGGAACTAGGAACTAATAAATGAAACACCAGTAGCAAATATTTATAAAAGACAGTGGTAACCTGGTGGGCCAGTTTTAAGCACGTGAGTGGTTAGCAGAGAGCAGGATAATTAGATTTGTTCTGTACACACAAGACAGCACTAAGAACGGGGAGTCACAGGGCAGAGAAGCCCCATCAACACCAAGGGTGTTCAGCGAAGCAGGGAGCTGGTGTCCCTGGAGGAATCCACATGGGGTAGACAACCAAGCAGGACAGCTACCCCAGCAGGAGCAGTGCCCGCACACAACAGGCGCTGCATAAGTGTCTATCCTTGAGCATGTGCTCACCCGAAGGAGACTCTGCAGGAGCCGAGAGGCTGCATCAGAAGGCACTCAGCTCCCCACTAACCCCGCTGTTTCATTCAATACTCCCCAAACTGGTGTTCCACAGAACTGCTGGCCAGTGAGATGCGACAAGAGGGTTCCATGACCACACATCTGGGAAGTGTGTGTCACGGGTCCTCTATCCTCATTCTGGAGGTTTCAAGAGACACCAGCACATCACAGACCCTGAGAAGTCCTGATGCAGAGGCCTGTGGACCGGACGAGCCCAGGGAGCGAGGTGCTGGCACCAGTGAGGGAAACACTGCTGCGACTGGAGCTTCTCGTGAGCCAGAGAGCGCCACTCTCAGTCCTTCCAGATGCGCACAACAGTGGACCTGAGGGAAGGTCCTTTGTCAGCACCCTGTGCCTGGCGCTGACCACCCAGCCTGCCAGGCCGCCCTCAGACACCTCTGCCTGGGAGCCCTCACGGTAAGGACGTAACAGTCACCACGTGACTGCTCTGACCAGAAAGTGTGACTTGTAGAAGTTACCAGCACAGTGGGAGCCTCCAAAAAGCCTGGAAGTCCTTCCCCTTCTGCGTTTCTCCCAGCTCCCAGGACGCTGACCATTTTGTACACTAGCCTGACTGAAACTTCCAAGTTCCTAATCCCTTCACAGATGTTCTTGAAACAACCATAAAGACAGCGTTCCACGTGGGGCCAGGGGTAGTGCATTTGAAAGCAAAGGCTCACGTACCATCCAACCTGCTCCCAGCACCTCCGCTTGCTGGCTTCGTAGGTGAGCACAGCATCCCACAGGTCGATGTCTGGAGTCACACCCGGTTCAGACTGGGAATCAGGAGTCAAATTGGACGCTGACTGGAACCCTTCATCTTCTGACTGATCCACACTCTGAGGAACCTGGAGACCACAGGAAAGGAGGAAACAGCAGGTACGCCTGTGTCTAAATTTCCCCCAAGTGAGATCAGAATTCCAGGACTTTACCACACAGCTCTGTTTACTCATTACAGGAAAGACCTAGCAGAACGTTTCTTCTATTTTTCCCAAGCAGGTATGTACCACACAATGTTTCTGCCCCCAGTGAATCATTTAAGAAATTAAACAAACAAATTTTTAAGCTTATCAATTTCCAATTTCACACAACACTTAAACCTCAATATAACTTACAATGAAATTTTTCATGAAATGCCTCCAAACTAGAAATCCCATTTTGAGGAACACAGCATAAAAAGAAGCATTTATTTATGTTTGGAAACAACTAAATATCTCATAGTAAGGGAACAACTGAGTAGTGACAGCGCATCCTTTCAGCAACATTTACAAAGCCACAAAATACAAAAGCCCATCATGATTTACTTAGTAATCAGGCAAGATGCCAAGTTATAGGTGAAAAAAAAGTAAATAAAACTGCACGTAGAGTATGAACAAGTATTTTCTGCCACTTGGGGGTACTGAGCACTTGAAATGGGACTTACGTGACTGAGGAACTAAACTTTATTTCATTTTAATTCACTTATATTTAAACGTGAACTCTAGAGGCAGAATAAGTGACTTAACATTCCCTGCTGGATGAAAGATGAAAAGCAGCAGGTTACCTTGACTTGAGGGGGGCAGCAGCGTCCTGCCCAGGAAGGCCACTGCCTCCCCACAGCTCAGCCACAGGTGACCCAGCCTGGAGAGCTACCCTATCTTTACCACGACCAAAGGAAGGCCAAAGGAGGCATTTCCAAACGCCCAGGGAGCCGGAGGCGGGAAAGCAAGCACCCTACCTTAATAGCCAGTCCAGAGAGGTCTGCGCTGTCCGGCACCGGAGGCAGGTCCAGTCGGACGTCCATATCGTATGTGCGGCTGTGCACAAGGGCACCGAACAGCGAGACCCGGGTGTCTCTCTCAAACCTGTCACCACAAGGGTCTCCATACGAGAAGAGCCCAACAGTGGGCAGGCCAGTGCCCGGCGCCGCCTCCATCACCTGAAGCGCTTTGTGGATCATGTCCTGACACAGATACTCCTCTCTGGAGATCAGGGACTGAACGTCCATCTCAAACACACTCAGGTCATAGCAGTCGTAGCCGCCGTAGCGAACGTTTCTCCCCACATGCTTGTTGTTAAACAAGTAGTCCCGCTTTCGCGGCAGCACTCGCGGCGGGCCGCTCCCCGCCAGCTGAACCAGGAGGTCCAGAACAGAGCCCACCTCCACAAGCGGACAGCAAGGGGCTGCTTCCAGTTCCTCCACCAGCTCCTCCAAACGGTCAGCCTCGGGGCCCAGGCCACCCACCCTCAAGTCGAAGGACAGCATGAGGATCTTGTTTTTCACCGGGAGTTTAGAGGGGTCAGGCTGCAGCCTCTGAGTCTCATCTACAAACAGACTGCTGAAGAGAGCGTCGTAGGCCACCCTCCGGAGGCCCTGCTTTGCCCTCCTTCGGCTCACGCCGCGCTGGCCCAAGCGAGCCTTCGGCACCGGCAGGAGGGCCTCGCACAGGTCGTCGAACAGCTGGGTGATGCTCGCCATGCCCACGCTCTCGGCTCCGAGCCCTCGGCGCCGCCCGGCGCGCCCCGCCCGCCCGCGCCCTGCGGCCCCCCGGCCCGGCCTCCAGCTGCAGGGTTCCAGCGCGGGAGCAGCCCGAGGACACGCCAGCGGGGGCGCACGTGCCGGCCCCGCGCGCCTTCCCGGGTCCCCGGGAGGGACGGCGGGCCGGGCGCCGCCCGAGGGCAAGCGCGAGGCAGCCCGCGGGTCCGCGGGGTGAGGCGCACGTCCGCCGCTCGCAGGCCTCCCGGCAGGAGAGCGCTCCCGCCGCCGCCGCGTCACCGCCGTGCGACAGGCCTCATCGCCTGAGCAGGCGCGCCGGAATTGCGTCACCGGGGGAGGGGCGGTGGAGGGGGCGGGGCTGGAGCTGCCGTCCAGGGGGCACTTCCGGCTTGGAGCCTCGGTCCCGCGGCTGGGATGTCGAGGCCGGCCCGGGCTGAATCAAGAAGGCAGAGTCAGACTTTCGCTTAACTGTTTACTGCCGGGGCGTGGGGAGCAGGGCCGGCCGTCCGCGCAGGCCGGCGGGGACTCCGGGCGCCGAGTGGACGCAGGGCCGGCCTCAGGACACTGCCGCGGGCGACCTGTGCGGGGACGGTTAACGCCGGCTCTGGGGTCGGGATCGCGGTGTCCGTCCTGGGATGTCCACCCCAGCCGACGCCAGGCGACCGGGTCACAGCCCTTGAGGAGCTGGGAAGAGGTGCAGGGTCAGCTGGCTCCGCCGTGAGCGGTTGCAACAGCACCCCACTCCCCATGGGGCCCCGAGCCCCTCTCGCCGCAGAGCTCAAAGCAAGGTGTCCCCAAGACTCCAAGCATCCAGCCTGAGCCTTGCCCCCTAGCCTCACCGGCCACCTGCAGCATTTTCCACTGTGTCCGCAGCTGCCCTCGCAGATGCTCCAGGGCCTGCATCTCCTCTGGGGAGGCCCTGGAGAAGGGGCCCAGGCTGGGGGGGCCCTCTCCACGCAGTGCCTGGACCAGGACCCCTGCAAGCTGGGGTGTGGATTCCTGGGCCAGGGGCAGAGGTGGAAGCAGAGAGTCACTGGCCTCTCCCCACTTGTCACCCCACAGCACCTCCACTCTGCCCAACTCACCTCCTCAACCAGTACCAAGACTTGGCCCCCTGCTGGCACCCGCAGCAGTGCAGCCAGGAGTGCAGCTTGAGGGGCCTGCAGGCCATGGGCTGGCCCCAGTGCCACCAGCACCAGGTTAGGCTGGAAGCCATAGGCCAGGGGCAGCACCAGGGCCAGGATGTAGCTCAGGAAACCACCAGTTGTCTGTGGGAGTGACAGCAGCATGGCCCCAGCCCCTCATTCAGGAGATCCCCCCTCCTGCCAGCTCAGGCCACCCGACCTCCCAATCTAGGGTGGGCAGCCATACCAGCAGTTGCATCAGGAAGCCAGGAAGGACAATGAAGGCCAGGGGCCTGGCCCTCATGACAATGCCAGTGAGCAGCAGCTGCCCTGCCCTGTGACATTACCACTCACCCCTGGTAGTGGTGTGGAAACATGGAACATGGACAGGGCAGCTGCCTCCTTGCCCCTGATATTCAGCCACAGCGTCCTCCTTGTAAAAGAGAGTGAGCACATGGACATGTGTACATGTGTGTGAGAGGCTGCTCACTCTCTAGAACCCAAACGTCAGAAGGGGAGGTAGACAGCTCAGGGGTACAGGTGCTGGGGCTGCTGACCCTCTGTACTGGAGACCCTCCTGGTATTGCTCCCAAGGGCCCCTCTGCCAAATTCTAGCTGTAGAAGACTCCACCCACCCATCACCCCTGGGGACCCAGGGTCATGTGCCTCCCCCCCTACATGCAGGACTGGACATACACGTGACCCAAGAGTCATACCCATCATCGGCAAGGTCCAGGGGCCGATCCAGCTGTCCCACAGCCACACAGAGCAGCCTAGAGGAAGAGTCGGCCACAGAACAGGCTGCACTCATCCCTCCTGGAGTCCATTCCCAGAGCCCTCCCCATGTGGCTAACCAGGGCAGGGGATGCCCATGGGCCATGCCCTCAGAGGCTCAGGTTGGCCAGGTGAGGCTCACCTCTGGGCTCTGTGGGACAGGCCACGCTGAATGGCCACGTCCAGGGTGGCAGCTGCAGCAGGGGCCGGGGTGGCTGCGATGCCGCTGCTCACCTGTGGGGTGAATAACATAATAGCAGTGGAGGGCAATTCCCAAACCAGGTAAACAGACCCGAACATCTCTTCTTTGGCCCCTGTCCGTGGGGCTGTCACCTGTACACTCTGAGGTCAAATGGCTCCACTTTTGAAAATAAGACGCTTAAAACTACAGCTTAAGTCACTCCCTTCACCTCTCTGCCAAAGAGTATTTAGTTGAGGGAACTGAGGGGGAGCGCTGGTAAACCCTGTCCCTGGGGTCTGTTCTGGGAGGGGTCCTGGACACAAGGCCACATTCATGTCCATGTGGTTCTGCACCACCCAGCCCTCCTCTGGACAGGCCACCCATCATGGGCAGGTCCTGGGTCCTGCCCCTGGCTACGCAGCCACCCAAGCCCCTCCCAGATGCCCCCACCTGCCCATCCAGGATGCTGTCCAAGAGGTACAGGACCTTCCCGAGTGCGTTGAAGGACTTGTCCTGGGCCAAGGCCTCATGTGGCCTGTGGTGGGCAAACCAGAGGGACACATGGACCCAGAGTGACACATAGACCACAGGTGAGTCATACACAGACATATGGGTGGACACAGCCACACCCCTCTCCTGTTCTGCTTACCTGGCCCATGCCTGCATCTCCTTCTGCGGGGCTGACCTCTCCCAATGGAGGACATCAGGGGGCAGGACAAGGGCTGCATCCAGCTCAGTCAGGGCAACAGCCGTGCGGAGAGGGGGTGTGGGGTAGAGGCACAACTGGTCCAGTAGGGAGCTCAAGGCAGCCATGGCCTGAGCCTCAGTCTGAGCCACAGGTGCCTTGAATTCGGGCCCCCCGGGTAGCAGAGGCGAGATGCTCCCCTCTGGGGAGCGGGTGCTGGGACTCAATACGGGGGCTGCGTCTAGGAGGTAGTTCAGAGTCACCGCTACTCACTGGGAGCCTGAGGTGTGATCCCACCTCCCGGCCTGGGCCACACTGACCTTGCTGCTGGAGGCTCATCCAGTGAGGGGCCTGGGCTGCCCGGACACTCTGAATGGACTCCAGGGCACTGCGGGGACACACAAGAGTGGTGAAGCCTGGTCTTCTGCCACCAGCCCTTCCCACCCTCCTGCCCCTCGCACCTGCGATGTGGCTCCATGGGCCCTGACAGGGGCAGAGGGGGGTCGCCCAGCAGTGCCTGCACCATCATGCACACTGACTGAGAGAGCGACTCCAGGTGGTAGCCGCCCTGGCAGGAAGGAGGAGGGCAGAGATGTGACTGGGGCAGGGGGTCATTGGGGCACCATCCCAGGCAGGATGCCCTACCCGTGCAGCAGACTCCCTCTGACTGCACCTCAGCTTCTGGCCCATGTGCCCTCCCTGCTTGCTGTAGTCACCTCCAGCACAGCGCAGACCCGGCCACAGGCCAGCACTTGCAGTAGCTGCGTGAGGTGGGCGAAGCACTCTGGAGTGGCCTGCATCTGCCCCTGGAACCAGAGTCAGATGTGAAGGGGGCCTGGTCCCGGGACCCCAGGAGCCCTCCTCAGCCAGGCCAGGCCCTCACCTCAGGATCCCCAACCGCTGAGTCAAATCCTGCCGCGACTAGCACTAGCTCAGGGTCAAACTGTGGGCAGGGCGGGTGGAGGGAAACAGGAAAGAGGCTGGAGCAGGGGTAGAAGAGGCCCCTCCAGAGAGACCCTCCCCATGCCCAGGGCTCCATTCCACTCTGATAGAGTTGAGGGGACCCTGGACACTGAATCCCCCTCCAACCCTCCTGCCATTGAGACCACCCCCGGCCCCAGGCAGTCACCTCAAAGGCCAGGGGGAGCAGCACATGCAGAAAGGCAGCCACATAGTCAGCATTTCCCATCCCGACCTGCGGCCACAGGGTGTCAGTGTTGGACCCTGCCAGGGGGGCAGTGGCATCTTCACCCCGGGGCTTGGCCTCTGGGGGTAACCCTGGCAGGATGTCCTGGGCTACACTCAGAAGGCCTGGAGCTGTGGGGCAGGGGAGGCGGGCTGGGTGAGGGGCTCTGGGTGGGAGTCTGAGGTGAGGAGCAGGCACCTGGTTCCAGGGCAAGTTGACAGTGAAGCCGCGGCCCTGCCCCTGCCCGACAGCATCTGTATCTGACTCTTGAAGATAGGGCCAGAAGCGCCCATGCTCGTAGCGGTGCCAGGAGAAATAAAGGACGCTGTGACAGCCAGCCAGGGTCAGAGGTCAGGACCCTTAGCTCCACAGCTCCTCAAAGAACCCTGAGCCCTGAGCACACGGCCATGTCTTCCCCCTCAGATTTTCCAAGACCAGGCCGAGCACTCCAAAAAGTGGAGGCGCAGGGAAGGGTCTTGACCCCACCCCCAGCTCACCTGGGGTCATCCTCGAAGATATACTGGATGCCCTGGCCGTGGTGGATATCCCAGTCAACGATGAGGATCCTGGGGACAGACAGGACTGGGGGCCCTGAGGGGTGGGGCCTCCCACCTCCAGGCCAGGAGCCTAGCCCAGGATGGGAAGGAGCTAAATGGGGTCTCCCAGCAGCCGCTCCACCCCCTTCCTGTCTGGCCTGGTCCCCACCCTGCAGCCAGCCCACACACACCTGTGCAGCCCGTGTTTCTGCTTGGCATGTTTGGCTGCTATTGCCACATTGTTGAACACGCAAAACCCATTGGCGGCAGCCCTCTGGCTGTGGTGCCCAGGAGGCCTAGGGGTGAGTGGGGTGCAGGGCATGTCAGGGTCATTCTGTGCCCTCACAGGTTACCCACAGGTCGGGAAGGGAGACAGTTCTCACCTCACCAGAGCGAGCCCATTTTGCACAGCTCCAGTCAGCACAGCATCCACTAACTGCAGTGCAGCCCCTGCAGCCAGCCGGGCACAGTGGAAGGTACTCTGTGGGGGCCAGGGGTGCAGGTGAGCGCCCTGCCTGCTACCCCCACAGGCACTGCCCAGGCCTCTGCCAGGCTGCAGGACACTGAGCGCTGAGCAGAATAGGCCACACCATCCTAGGTGCCAGAAGCATCAGCCGGCAGGTGTGCAGGGCATCGGTACATTCATGAACACAGGGACACTGGCAGGGTTGGCAGCCAAGGCTGCGAACAGGCATAGGCATGCAGATGTGTCTGGGTGGGGGGTGTCCCCAGGGCACGCACCGGATGGAAGTAGATGGCGTCATACTGTCCAGACAGTGCCTGGAGCTCCCCAGTGCCCAAGGCCTGGGTCCCGCGCAAGAGGGCCACATACTCGGGGCTGCAGAGGGCAGACAGGCCAGGCAGAGTCACCAGCAGGAGTAGAGGGGGAAGGAGGGGCTGGACCCTGGTGGGACTGCCCACCTCATTCCTCCCTCACCAGCCCACCAACCACCCGAACAGGCACGGGGTGGGAGGGGAGAGGCTCTGTTTTCCTGGCGTGGGCAGGCTAGGGCAGGGGCAGGTGCTAGGCTGACTCCTCCAGGGCATGTGGCAGGCCCGCCCTGGGTCTTACCTGTGCACCAGGCCCAGCTCCTCCTCCGAGGCCTCTCTGGCAGCCAAGCGTAGACACCTCTGCTCCAGGCCGCGCTGCCGCAGGCGCTCCAGGGCTATAGTCAGGCGCTCAGGACATTCTATCTCACACTCGGGGCTAAGTGGACAGAGAGCTTGAAGTCCAGAGCCCCCTCCCCATGCCCCGCCTCTGCCAGGTCCACTTACTCGTCCCAGAGCAGCCGGGCGGCCGTCATGTCCTCGTGGTACACGAGTGCGGTCCCCATGGCTCGGCCACCCGGGGCGAGCGGGATTCAAACGCCCACACTCGCAGGCGAGCGCACTGCCTGTCCCCACTCTGCAGCCCCAGCGAGGAGCCCAACGAACGCCCGAGTGCTGCAGGCGGGAGCCCGGGCGGGAACACACGGCCAGAGCCAGAGCGAAGCAGGCGGGCGTGACGAGGTGACAGGGTGGCTCCCGAGGCCTGACTTCCGGCTTCCTCCTACTCGTACTCGGGACCGTCCCGCCGGCGCCGCCCAAACCCCGCCCCAAAGCGCCGGCGACGCGAGCAGGGCAGGGCGGGCCGGACGGCTGGGCCCCTCTCGGTTCCCCCCTGCCGCGGCCCGGCCCTCCCCCAACATTCGGCCCTCCCCTCACCCTGAGCCCCCTCCCCCGGCTGCTCCAGCTGCGGCTCCACCTCCTGCTCCGGCCAGGAGCCGGGAGCAGGGGGCTGGCCTCGGTTCCCCTCCAGAGATGGGAGGGAATGGGTGTGAAGGCCGACGGCCAGTGTGCCCAGGACCCCTGCGGACTGTCAGGGAATCCCACGTGCGTGCAGTGGGCCGAGCCCCGCCGTCCACGCCCCTTCCGCCCCAAACCTTCCCCAGGCCCACCCTGACCGCGCAGGCCACGGGGTCATCGCGTCCACCACTGCCCCAGGCGCACCCCACCAAGCTGCAGGAAGGCCTGCGAGGGATGGAGTGCAGAGGCCAAGGGTCCACGGGGGCTAGGCCGCGACTTAGGAGAGAGCCCCGCCCAGGGCGGGGGGGTTGTGCCTCAGCCCGGCCTGGGCCACACCGGCCGCAGCGCTGCCCCCCAGGCTGAAGGCGGGAGTGACAGTGTCTGATTTAAGCTCCAGGAAGACCTGTGGCCGAGAGAGGACGAGTCGGAAGGTCAGGGTGGTGGCAGAGGAGCTGAACAGGAGCCGCTACAGCGTGGGGCGAGGCAGACAGGAGGGAAAAGCTACCAGTGAGGGAGGGTCTGGACTAGGGATAAATGAATCAGCGAATAAAGGCATGAAGGGGTGAGGCCAGCAAGGGAGGAGGCGCGGGCACGGCCAAAGAAGCAAGATGGCCAAAAAGAGGAGGAAACCCGGAGCCGCGGCCTCAAACCCGGGGCCTCCGGGGCCGGGCGTGGGCGTGGGTCCTGGGCTTTAGGGGCAGGTTTCTGGGGGCGGGGCCCTGGGTCTTGGAGACGGGCCTTTTGGAGGCGGGGCTCAGCCTGTGGGCGGGGCCCTGGGTCGGGGTGGGGGCAGGCTTCTGGGGGCGGGACGTGGGCGGGGGCCTGGGGTCTGGAGGCTGGGCGGGGTTCTGGGGCAGGAGTCGCCCCAGTCCAGTTCCTCGTTCGCCCTGGCAGTGCAGGGAAGACCCCAGGGTGGTAGGGATACAGACGGCGGTCCCCCATGGTTCCCCACCGTCCTGGCTAAGCGCGGGCAGCAGGCTTCCCGCCGGGCTCGGGGGAAAGTCCGGTTGGGTCATTTTGGGTCAGGTGCCACCCTGAGCCAATCACGGTGGTTTGGGAATGGCGTGCCCCGATTGGCCATCCTGGGGCACGTGCCCACGAGGGGCGGGGCCTGTGATGGGCCTCCCCGCCTGGATACGGAGTGTGGAGGGTCCAGCAGGGATCGGTCCTAGAGGACCAGAGGGTCCCTGGGCAGAAAAGGCCGGTGTCTTCTGTGGCAACTCGTCTGACCGTATTTGGCTGGGACAACTGTGTGCATTTCCAGCCGAACTCCAGGCCAGGACAAGGGGACGGCCTGGCCGCACCTCGCGCGCACCTGCCCGGGACACAGGTGGGAGCACTAGGACGGCCGCAGGACTCCGGAACGCCCCTGACCCCGCTGCCCGCCTTCGGAGCCGTCAGATGACCGGCCTGGGTTGCGCGGACACGCCGACGGCACAGGAGCGTGGCCTGGGAGGGGCAGGCGGCTTGGAAAATGAACAGAACCCACACTTCTGTTGTGCCACCAGCGTAGATACGCGTTTCGTGATCTCTCCTCCGGACCCTGGCCTTGGAGAGTGCAGGGAACCCAGACAGATGGGACTGAACCCCAGGTTGGACTCTATCCCCACTTCATCAGGCCCTGCCCTGGCTCCAGGGTCTAAGCCATTAGAGGAAAGTCACCCCATAAGAGGGGCAGAGACAAGCCCTAATGCGAGGCTCCAGGCTCAGAGCTCACTAGCACAGGACAGGGGAGGTGGGCAGCAGCTTTGTAACTTGGGGGGAGGGGGGTGCCCAGGCCCAGCGGCTCAGGAGGGGCTGAGGCTCCCAGGCCTGCCTCCTTTCTCTATGCAAGGCTGCAGATCAGAGGCCTAAAGGTCCAGCCCAAGAATCAGGAAGCAAAGCCAGGGTGGGAGCTCTACAAAAGGGTTTATTTCCTTCTAGCCTTGTGGGCATACCACATGGCCAGTTTACATTCAGGGCTGGGGATGCAGGAGAATCCACACCCCTGCCCCCCAGGAGAGATGTGCTTGAGTCAGCGCCCTGCGCCCGCCCTGACTGTTCTTCCTTCTCAGCGACATGAGCTGGGCCTTGGCATGGTCCAGAGCAGGCCGGGTCAGAAGCTAGGCCTTGACCCCAAGCCCTGCCCCACCCCACAAGCTCAGGGTTCTTCTTGTACCCTGGGGGAGGGGACCACTGCTCAGGGGGTCAGACGCCAGCCCCAGGTCAGGTGGGCCACCTGGCCAGAAAGTCCAGATGCTCCTCCAAGGTTCGGCTGAGTAGGGTCCTGAGAGTAGCGGAACACGCTTCAGGGAGGGGGTCCAGGAGCGAGGAGTCTCCTGGCATGCAAGCCCCAACAACAGTCACAGAAGTAACCAGGATCCCCTTCCAGGTGGAAGCCCCAGCCAGAGGCCCCAAGGTGTCCCCACCGCCACCCTAAGGGCCCAGGGGTCTTCACAGGGCTGTCTCCTTGGAGACCTTGGCTCCCAGCTGCCGGGGAGGCTTGAAGCTGAGCACCTCTTTATACGTGACACCTGGGGGGGGGTGAGAGCGACAGAGATGGAGAGTCATGGAGAAGGATCAGCTCCACAGCCCACCAAGGGCAGACGCTAGCAGCCTGAGACGAGCTGGGCCCAGCTCACTGGTGCTTGCCCTGACCAGTGATAAGTCTTGAGAGACCCCACTCAGGGCTGTTAGCCAACGACCCGCCCCCCAAAACACCAGGGTCAAAGGTCATTGCTGGGGTGCAGGTGCCACGCAGGCTCCTTTTGTCCCACACATCAACTTCCTCCCAGGCCAGAGCCACTCTCAGTCAGTCTGTGTCTGTCGAGAGGGACTATCTACCCTGACAGGGCTCCGGTAGCCCAAGCCCTCTGCCCCTAGAGTGGCCGGGCAGGGCTTGGCCCCACAGGCTACCTCAGAAGACAGGGACATCCTAGGAATGTAAACCAATGTGTTCACTCCAGCAGACTGCTCAGGGTCCCACCAGGACACACCCCAGTTTCTAGATCCAGAATATCCATGAAGACTTAAACGAAAGGGATTCCCACCAAGTACCCACAGTGTCCACCTTCCTCGCCTGGTAGACATGTTCCCTGAATGAGTGCCTAGAGCCAACCATCCTAAAGGAAGGGAGGGCCACTCCGCCTCCCTGACCAGTCTCAAAGAACAGGCTCCACTCGGCCCCAGCATGCCCACACTCACCCAGCAGCAGAGCACCTGTCGGGGGACACGGGCACTCCACAAGCCAGCTCAGGAAACACTGTGTTTAGAGCAAGTGGTGTGTGTGGTGTGCCCAGCATGTGGTGTGTGTATTCCTGCCCCGTGGGTTGCCTTCTGGGCCCTTCATCTACTCCCAGCACAGGCGCTGTTCCACACAGGGAAGGTCTGTGCGAAGAGGCCACTGCTGCAAGGCTGGCTCCCCAGGGAAACAGGAAGTGATGAGCTCGCATTCCTGACCAGGGCTCAGCCATCAACAGGCCACATGTCCACCATGGTCTGCAGTAAAAACAAAAGCTCTCCCCACGGTTGTGTGGGTGGGGACCGCAGAGAGGATCCTGTGGCCCGTGGTTTTTATGTTATCTTTTTTAGCAGCAGAAAACTTTCATCAAACCAAACCAAACTTAGAAGCACAAAACACAGCACAGACAAGGGTGGAGCCCCTGCTGGAGGCACCAAGGAACCCAGGGGCCCTAAGGAACATGTTTTGAGAATCACAATCCAGCCCCAACCCCACTGCCAGCCTCAAGCACAAGACCAAAGCCCTGGGCCTGAGGTAGAGCCAGGATGGGGCCTAGGACACAGTGGCAGCCATAAGCCACGGCCCCAATGGTGCTAACTGCTGCCCTCAGACATCCCTGCACTCCCAGGCTGGTCCTGCAGCCAATGAGAGGACACTAAGCCTTCCATCTGTTCTGGAGTAGAGATGGACAAGGCTAATTCCAGAGGGAGGCCTCAGGACCAGGCAGGCCCTGAGCCCAGCCTAAGGCCAAGCAAGTGTTGGTCAGCCCTCAAAGATGAGGGCAGGTGCCTTTCATGTAAGGGGACAGCCAGTCAGACTGCTCAGGGGGGCTGGAGGGGACAGGCGAGAGGTGGGAGGTGGGGAGAGGCACTGTGGCTGCCTGGGGTGGACCTTATCAGGCCAGCAGGACATAATGGTGTGCAGTTGTTCAGGTGGACGGGTCCTGAAAGGGGCAAGGGGAGGTGAGGACAAGTTCCAGAGGTGTGAGTAGAGGCCTAGGGGTGAGGGCTACGGAGGGGCTCCAGGCTGGCCAGGGCTCTGGCCTGGATGTAGGGAGGCTGGGCAGCACTGGGGCAGAGCCAGCAGGTCTGGGGCTGGGAGCTGCCTCCCCACAATTCCCAGAACTTGTCTCCTGCTCCTGTTTGTGACAAGCCTTTCAGGAATGCCCTCCCTTTCATCCTTCAGCTCCAGCCAGAGGCCACCTCAGCCAGGAAGCCCTGCTTCCCTCTGACCTCCTGTCATGTTCTTCACCTGACCTGCATCCCAGAGTGGGGTACCCAGGACTCTGAGCCCTGGCCACTTGCACGAGGTCATGAGGTCCAGCACAGCCCCTGCCCGGAGCCCCACTCACGCTTCCACTCATCCAGCGTGCGGTCCACGTCATCAAAGGACTCGTCGTACTTCTGGGCCCTGGGTTCATCCTCCGCGTCCTGCAGTGACTCGAAGTAGGGGTGGGCCAGTGCCTCGGCCGCTGTCACCCGCCGCTCTGCATCGAGCACCAGCATTCTCTCCAGCAGGCTCACGGCTGGGGGGACAGTGGGTCAGGCTGGGCGAAGAAGAGGGTCCCACGTCCCGACACTGGTCACTGACCCCACGCTCCCTATTCCAGTCCTACCCAGAGGGCTTGCATTGGTCAAGATTGAGGCAAAATCCTTCTTCTCCAGCTCGGGGAGGCCCTTCATGTAGTTCTTCGCCTGTGAGGGAAGAAAGGGTTGGGGACTTGCCTCCAGACCTGGACTAGCCCCTCCAGCCCACACTCAGCTCCCAACTGACTTCTACGCTCTGCAGCCTCTGCACAAAGTCTGCGGGAGGCGTCCCTGTCACCTTCATGATCTCCTTCAGCTGGTCCAGGTCTGCAGTGAGGTCAGGAGCATAGCAGGGCCAGAGAGCAGAGTTTATCCACCCCCAGCCCGCTCCCCAGGGGGTAGGATAATGCTACCCCGAGCGTGGTCCCCAAGAGGTAGGATAACCCCACCTCCAGCCTGCTTCCCAAGGGGTAGGATAATGCCACCCCCAGCATGCTCCCCAAGGGGTAGGATAACCCCACCCCCAGCCTGCTTCCCAAGGGATAGGATAACGCCACCCCCAGCCTGCTCCTCAAGGGGTAGGATAACCCCACCCCCAGTCTGCTCCCCACAGGTATAGGATACGGTCGTTGCCCTTGAATAACGTCTTCCCCGTGATCATCTCTGCCATGATGCAGCCCACTGACCAGATGTCCACTGAGACAGAAGCCCCCACATCAGGGCTCCGTGGGCCAGGGAGGGTGGAGGGTAGGGATACACACACACAGCGGGAGAGGGGACATGGACACAGGGCATCTAGCCCACCCCGCCCTCGCCTGGCTCCCATCCCAGCTCTGCAGCCTCCCAGCAGAACAGCCACCACAGGGCTTCCTGTGAAGAAATAGGGAGGCTGGTGCAACAGTGGCCCTGAGTCTCTGGGCTTCTCACCCGTCTGTGTGTAGTGCATCCAATTCAATATGACCTCAGGCGCCCGGTACCACCGGGTCACCACGTATCCGGTCATCTCACTATCTGCCTGCCTGGCCAGGCCGAAGTCCAGGATCTGCAGCCAGAATCAGGAAGGTGGGGCAAAGAGGTTGCCAGGGAGTGGGTGGGCCAGCCTGTGGTCCAGGAGACCCCAAGAGGACTGGCCAGACCAGGGCCTCCTGCCAACACCCCAGGGCCTGAGGTCATGGCCATGGACCCCCAAACCTCCCCCTGGGATCCTCCCCATGGCCAGTGAACCCAGCCCACTGACCTTTTTCTTCCCCCCACCCTTAGGAGCAAGTACTCCAGGGGGTCTCCTCTCCCTGCTCCTCCACTCTCTGCTGACCCACAGGACCTAGCCAGCACCTTTCAGGAGGCCACCTCGGCCCTGCCCTAGTCAGGCATGGGGGACTGGGGACACCTCCTGCCCTTCCCCTCAAGCAAATATGGGAGTGTGCCCAATGCCCCGCATCGAGTGCCTCCCCAGGGCCCATCTGCCTATCAGCTGCTCGGCCACTGCCTGGATGGCTGGAGTCTGGTCCCTCTGCCTGGGCCTGGGCCAGCCCTCCTGCAGGCCTGAGGGCCAAGGGTGTAGCAGGCAAGTGGGCAGGTGGGGAGGGAGCCCCTGAGTCCCCACACCTGACATGTACCTTCAGCTCACAGTCCTCGTTCACCGCCAGGTTGCCAGGCTTCAGGTCCTGGGGGCAGAGGGAAGGTGGCCATGTACCCCTGCCCATTAGGGCGTACAAGGGCCAGAGCCCATGCAGCGGCTGGATGTGGGAGCAGCCAGACTCGGTTAGCCCACCCCTGCACCTCTTCTGGGAAGGGTGGAGGTGCCTGGGCACCCTAAGGGTGTGTGCAGGTGTGTTGTGCACTCCCCACTAGACCCCATCGCACTCCCTTACAGGTGAGAGATGGAGGCTCCTGGGGGTTGAGCCCTTCGCACACCCTCACAGCCAGGGGAGCTCCCACCACCGCCAGGACTCACCCTGTGGATGACACCAGCAGCATGGATATACTGTGGGGACAGAGAGAGGATCAGCAGAGGTCAGCTTGCTGGGACCTCAGAGCCCCAGCCCAGGCTGGGGGCCTCTGCCGGTTCCTGCAGCCTGCCCCTCCCCCCACATACACACTTGTCCCCACCTTCAGTCCCTTCAACATCTGGTAGACAAGAAACTGGATCCGGTCCTCACTCAGCTTCTCATGCTTCATGAGCTTGCCCAGGTCAGTGCCCATGAACGGCATCACCAGATAGCTGCAGGGTTCGGGGTGGGTGCAGACAGTGGGTGTCACACCCCCTGGGCCCAGGTTCAGACCTGGGAGACCCCGTCACCCGCAGCACCTGGCCTCTGCCCCTGACATTGCCACACCAGGCTCCACCCACTAGTCCTCCAGGGAATGTCAGTCGGGTGGAGGGAAGCGAATGCAGGCAGGGGTGGGGCCAGCAGGACATTTGGGTCAGAGGAGCAGGCTGGGCAGGTGGAGGGAGAGAGAGAGAGGGGAGAGATATTTAGCACCCTGCCAGGACACTGAGGCCTGTGTGGTTCCTTGACCTCTGCAAGGTCGGATGGCAAGGAGCCTGGCCTCCCCAGCCCTTTCCAGCCTGGCCATGGCTCTGGGCCAGCAACACTGTGAGTCCAAGGGTAGTCGCCCAGGCAGCCACAGGGCAGGCTCAGCAGGGGCAAAGGGCCCTCCCTGCCACCTGTCCCCTGCCTGCCAGCAAAGGTCAACAGCTCCAGTGACAGGTCACATACTTGGTGCCAGGGTCCCAGAGCACGGGACCTGCCGGCTAGCAAACACTCAGGCCCAAGGTTCACACCTCCAGCACTGGGGAGGGCCTCGAGCCAAGCGTGGCAGGAGGAGGCCCAGGCTCCACCTGGCTGTGCCACTGCCATGGGCCCAGGGGCATGTGGTGGGGGGGTGGACTGTGCTGTAGTGAGGGGGTGGGCAGGGTGCATGCCAACCCCCATCTGGACTACAGGGAGAGGCCTGCCTCAAGAGGGCCCCCAAGCCAACCCAGAACGCCCAGGAGCCACCCAACACCCCTCTGGCCTGCCCGCCAGCCCTGGCTGGCACTCACAAATCTGTGAAGTCATCCAGGGTCTCGTCAGGAGTGAACACATCCAGCAGCCCAATCACCTGGAGAGAAGACCGGAGCACCAGGTGGGATGGGGACAGCAGAGGGTGTGGGGGCTTGGGCACACCCCTGAGGCTGGTACTGTGCTCAGGCAGGAAAGTCCCCTGCAGCTGTCCCCATCTCCCCCCACTGCCTGGCTCTGCCCACTGGCAGCGCAACCCAGCCCTGGCACACATGCCCACAGACACAGGCTAATTTTGGATGGTGACAGCTGGGATCCTCTGGGGGAGGAGCAGCCCCAAGTCTGGGTCAGCTCCTAGCCATCCAAGGAGCTCCAGCCCCTTGACCCTTCCTCCCTCACTTCCTGTCCCCATTGAAGACCCAGGATAAGGGTGGGGACAGCCCCCCAGGGGAGAGCCAACATCTCATAGGTCCTTCCAGGGGCCATGCCTTTGCTGGAGAGGCCCAAGCGGGCAGCACTATGACCAAACCCCTGGCCCCACAGACCCCTGGTCAGGGGTGATGGACAGCAGACAGGTAATGTGACAACTGGCCCCAGGGCTCAGAGTGACAGGGCTTCCAGGGACCCAAGGAGGCCTGCACATCCAAGCGGCTGGCAGGGGGGACACCTGGCAGAAGCCATGTACATGATGGCCGAGGCAGGAGGGAGAACACTTCAAGCGTTTGAGGAACACGGGGAGTGAGGCCAGGTGGCTGAGGCCCAGGCCAAGGAGTAGCCAAGGAAAGGCCAGAGGGAGCCCGAGCAGGATCTCACACCAGGTGAAGGCTTGGCTTTGATCCTAAGAGCCACCGAGGAAGGGCTTAAACACGCATGACTCTGAATGTGTCCCCCTGGCTGCTGTGTGAGGACAGACTGGAGTGAGGCAAGAGTGGACGTGAGGTGGAGGGACAGCTGGATGACCACTGCAGCCACCAGGGCCAGAGCCATGGGTGGCAGGGGAGGAGGGAACAGAGCAGGACATCCAGACAGGGGCCTGGGACACTGGGAGAGTGTTTTAACAAGAGGGCAGAGGACTGAACTCGAGATTAAGGGGGTTGTCAGGTTGACGGAGACTTCTGTGCCACTGTGGTGCAGATGCTGCCGGAACAGCGAGGAAGGACGGGGAGAGGCCTGAGGTGGATGGTGGAAGGGACAGCACTGGAGCCGTGGCACCTGCTCCACTCAGCCTCTCAGAGTCTCAGTCTCCTCCCAAGGAAATGGGTTCACAGTAGGCCAGCCTCCCAGCTTGTGTGTGGGGTGCCTGGAGGCAGCAGCGCTGGTTGCTGGCAGGTCCGGGGCTGGATGGGGATGGTAGGACCCACCGCACAGTGGGGTGGTGCCAGCACAGGCTGGGCCAGATCAGGGGTGGGAGGTGACTGAGCAGAAGGCCCAGAGACCCTGCTGGACAGGAGGGATGGGTGGGTGAGAGTGAGGGGCGGTGGGGCAGAAACTGGATGAAGCCTGTCTGCCCTCATAGGGACAAGACCTGGATGTGACCAGGTGGTAGTGAGGCCCAGGATGGGTTGGGGTCCACTATGAATGCATTTCTCCGAGGAAGGGACAAGGGCAGAGATGGGAATCCTGACGGAACGAAGAACCAGCCGAGGGCTAGGAGGGTGGGCATCAGCCAGGAACCGCGGAGAAGAGTTTGCTGGTGGACACAAGGACCCATTCTCTCCGGGGAGTGCTGGTGCTTCTGATGACCCAGGAGAAGCAGGACCATCTGTGGGTGCCCAGGATACCAGCCCTCATAGTGAGCCCAGAAAGGGGGCGAGGCAGGAGCGGCTCGTGTGGGAGGGAGCAGAGTTCATGACTACAGGAGGAACTGCCTCGACAACCGACAAACGACCCGGCGCCCCTGGCAGAGAGGAGGACTCTTAGCAGCCAGCAGTTGCCACCAGAGAGGCCACAGCAGCCATGCGAGGTGTCCCAGGGGCAGGTCTGGAAACAAGGGAGGCCTTTCCCTGGTGGGTGCCCAGATCCGCCCCTCCCGCACTGTCCGTGAACCCCCCATGGATATGAAGGAAGTGTGTCTGTGCCCAGTGCCCTGCACCACCCCAGACCCCAAGGATCTGAGGTGACAGACCCAGGATGCTGACTCCAACACGGTGCCTGCTCTGCGTCCCCAGGGGCCCAGCTCCTAGGGCTGAGGCTCAGGAGGTGGACCGGAGCAGAGCAGCTTCAGAAGGGGTTGGAATGTTTGCAGAAGGGGGTCTGCGGTGAGGCCGCGGGGGATGCTCAGGAAGAGGGAAGAGGCTAAGTGCCCCTTCCAGGAAAACTGCTCCTCCCACCTGGGTGTCCCCTCACCTCTGGGCTCCTGGTTGGAGGCAGAGTTTGGGTGAGCCAGATGTGGCCCCAGGAAGAAGCCAGGGAACTAAGTCCTGCCCAGGGACTGGCCTGGGAGCAGAGGACTCGACTCTGGGGCAGCAGTCTCCCTCAGAGAAGAGGGGCTCCGCCCTCACCGAGTAGAGGCCCTCACCCTTCTCGGGGACACTGCCCTGACACCCGCCCTCCGCCCCACTGCACAGGGGGTCGCCTAGGGGCTCGGGAGGAGGGAGACGAGCGGCGGCGATGGACACGACGTCCTGAGCCGGGCGCCCAGCGCGACTCACGTTCTCGTGGCGCATGTGCTTAAGGAGGCGCAGCTCGCGGTAGGCGCGCTTGGCGAACAACTCGGACTGGAAGGGCCGGTACAGCTTCTTGATGGCCACCTTGGCGCCTGTGCGGCTGTCCACGGCCGAGCTGCGGGACGCACCGCTTAGCGGTGGGAGGCAGGGAGAGCCGGGCCACCCCGCCCAGCCACCCGCGCGGCCTGCGCTCACCACACGGCGCCGTAGGCGCCCGAGCCCACGGGCTGCAGGTCCTGGTACACGGCGCGCACCTCCCAGGCCGTCTTGGTTACTTCTTGGCGGTAAAAGCCCCTGCGGGCGGGCGGCGGAGAGCTCATGGCGGCCCGGGCACCGCCGCGCCCCGAGGACCAGGGACCGGGATCAGCGGGCTCCCTGGGCGCGCGCCCTGGGCCCCGCGCGGCAGAGCCGGCTCCGCGCTGTCCGCCCGCCGCCGCCGGGCACTCCCGCTCCCGGCTCTTCTCTCCGGGTCACCGTCCTCGGGGCTCTCCCGACCCGCCGACCCCGGCCCGACCCAGCCCCGGCCCGCTAGAGCGCGGCCCCTCCCCTGCCTGCGGACCAACCGGTCCACCGGCCGCGCGCACGTGACGCCCCCGCCCGCCCTCGGCCCCTCCGGAAACCCGAGGCGGCCGCGGCCCGGGAGGGCCTGAGGCTGGGGGGAGGGGACCGAGCGGGAGGGGGCACCGCCCCGAAGCTCAGTCCCAGCCTGGAACTGGACCGGGCGGTGCACCAGAGATCCCGGCCCGCCTCCGCACTCAGGCTGAACCCCCGGGGCCCGGGTCGGGGGTGTCTTATTAGCAGCCCCTGAGGCTCCCGTCTTCTCCTCACCAACCACGCCCCCAGGGCGCTGGGCCCGTCTTGGGCAGCCTGAGCCGGTCAGACTTCTATCCCCAGCCCCACGCTACTGTACAGCAGCCCCAACTTCCCGCACGCCACCCCTGAGGCCCCTTCCCCCGGGCTGATCCATCCATTCCCCAGTGTGGGGTCCCCATCAGCTGCCTTGCCTGCATCCTTTCCATATGGGAGAGCTGGTTCCGTCTCCCAAACTTAGGGTGCACCCCCAACAATCCTCCCCGTGACCACTGACCCCAGGCCTCCCTACCCCAGGGAGCTGGAAAGGGTGATCCTCCTTGGGCCCTGTGCACCACAGCTCCCCTCTTCCCCCACCCGGCATGTGGGGAGCCTGCTCCAACCATTTGCAAGTCTCTCTGCCTGTCCCAGCCCCTGCCCAGCTTACTCCACCTGTTTGTCCTTCAAAGCTCAGCCTGAGCCTCTGCACTCTCTCCAGGAAGGTGTGCCTGGCCGGGACGGGGAGAGGGGGGGACCTACTGGGGCTCTCAGTGCCTCTTTACCCCTCAGTCCGGGCCCCATCCTGGACCAGATGTTGCTAGAGATCAGAGCCCGCAGCCCCTCCCACATCCCCAGCCTAGCAACCCCGGTCTGAGAGGGAGTCTGGTAACAGGATCCCCAAGGCCCCCTGACCCTCCCTCTGTGCCCTGCCCAGCTGGCCGCCATGAATCAGCAGCTCAAGCCTAGCCAGAGCAGCTTTACACCTGGGCTGCCGGCTGGTGATCCAGAGTGCTCAGGAGTCAGGGACTAGTCAGAGGAGGCAGCCCAGGGTCACTGGAGCCACAACCACCTGCACCTGTGCCCTTCATGCCCTGGACTGCCTGTGGCACTCTACCTGTCTTCTCCAGGAAGTCCCCCAGCTGGCCCCCTTATTCCCTGTCCTGGGGCCCAGAGGTCCAGCAGGGTTCCATAACAGACCAAACCTGGAGGTGGGGCATGTCCCAATTCTGCTCCCATCCCCCACCCCCACCCCCACACAGGACTTGGCCCAGCCTGGTCTCCAAGGGTTCCCCAGGACCTAAGACTCAGGAGCCACGCTGACCAGGCCCGACCAACTCCCACATAGTCTCCGTTGCCTAAGACCCAGGGTTGGGGCACAGAATGTCCCTTTCCTAATCCCTGTCGGGACCGGGCCCTCCCTAACCTGAGCTGCAGGGAGCAGGAGGGGCTGGCAGCTCAGTGCTTTCCCCTTAACCAGGAAAAAAAGGAAAGGTATTTCTCCCACCTGCCCAGCCCTGGGAAAGGGCAGGCCTTTGCTTCCAGAGACCCCCAACTGTCCCCCTGCAGCCACCCTGATGACTGAGTCAAAGGGCAGTTCTGCATCTGGACCAGATGCCCAGCCTGCCCAATGAATCCCGAGCAAGGCAGCCAGTGTCGATTTGAGGGTGGCCATCATACCCTGTCCCCCTCAGAGCCCATGGAGGGGGACTCACCCCTACTCCCTACCCCTCAGGTCTGCCTGGGTTCTTCAGGGAGCAGGAAGGGTGCTGAAGATGACTGCTTGTCTGACTGGGGACCCGAGATCTGGCCAGTGCAGGAGTCTGGTGGGGCCAGGCCAGCTGGGGGGTTGACGCTCAGAGATCCAGCCAACCCCTCCAGGTGATGGGGACAGCAGGGCAGGAGGGCCTGGAGCCTGGGACATGAGCTGAGCCAGAGGGAACCCCCTTTATTGCAAAACCCTGGTGCAGGCACTTGACATTCAGACCTCCTTGGGTCCTGCGAGGTGGGAGGTCACCACCTGACACACCTGACAGAGAATCACATCAAGAATGTCTGGAGCAGGGTCCTGTCCCAGAGGTTACTAGGTCAGTTCCATCCTGGAAGGAGGGAAGATGAGGACCAACCCACAGACCAGAGCACCCCAGCTCTTGGCTGCAGGGCCAAAGGGTGGGCAGAGGTAGAGCAGGCAGAAGCTTCTTCATCAGCGTGGGGCCAAGGTCCAGGGTCCAAGTCCAAGTCCACATCAGTGTGTGCCCTCCTCCTGGTGTCCTCAAGGTGGGAGGCCCTGTGCCCATCAGCTCCCCAGCTGGCACTGTGCCTCGTCCTCAGAAACCTGCTGCAGCTCCCACACCCAAGGAGGGAGTCCCGGCTCTTGTTCGCATGGTTGCCCCTTGCCCACCTGAGCCCCTTGCATGATGCACAGTGGGATCCCAGCCCCACTCCCAACCCGCATCAGGAACTGCAGGGAGGGGAGGCAAGAGTACAGCCACCCCAATCCAGGCCTCCTGCTGGTCAGGCTGCTGGCTGTTGGACCCCAGAGTCACACACGCCTGCACGTGCCTTGAAGTGCGTATGCGCTACACGCAGCACAGGTGAACACACAGCTCCAGGCGAATTTTCTGATTTAACACGTGGTGGCTGTCCCCACCCTGCCACCCCCAGGGAAGGCCCTGCTCAGCTCTCAGACCATCAAGTCTCAGCACTTCCCAGAGTATTCCCCGGCTTCCAGGCTGAGCAGCTCAGACCACTGTGACCCCTCCCTTTGAGTCTCCAGGGGACCCTGACCCCAACCCACCACCCCCGGAGACAGCCCTCTGGGACTAAGGAGATCTGGAGACAGAAACATTCCCCAGGAGGAGCCCCTATGGCATCCAGGTCCCCCAGTGAGGTCCCAAGGGAGACCCAGGATGCTGGGACGGGGGAGAAGGACCGAGGAAGTCCAGGACACTCTGCCCAGACTCCTGCATCCATGGCTCACACACGTGCACACTTGCGTGCATTCACACGTGTGTGCAGACTCCCCACAAGGAGCAGTGTGCAGACCGGGGGGCCCCAGCCAGGGATCAGGACCGCTGGGGCATCGGGGTGTTGGGAAACACCCCTTGTGGGAACCGGAAGTCTGAGGAATAGGGGCAGGCAGGCTCAGGCCCCTCCTTGAGTTCGTGTGGCTGGTGGGCAGCACTCCCCTCACTGCCCAGTCTCCAGACTGCTGGGTGGCTGCGGTGGCTCTGGGGGCTCGAAGCTCAGGACTTCCTGGTAGGTGAGCTCTGAGGGGTGAGGGGAAGGGGTGAGCTCATGCTGCCACCAGCCCAGCACCCCCACATGGCTTATCTGGTGCCAGCCACCCCTCCCAGGCCCACCATCCTCTGAGGGCAGCCTCAGTTCCTGAGCCTCCTTCCAGAGCCTGCCCTGTGCTGCCCCTATCCTCTGTGGGACACACCCAACTGCATCTCTAGCTGCCCCACCCTGGAGTGGTTTGAGTGTTGTCCCCCTCCCAGATCTCTCTGGGGAGGAACTGGAACACTTCCTTCCTGCAGGAAGCAGGCAGCATGGGGCCTCTGGAGGAATGCAGCCCTCAGGCCCAGGCTCCACCTCCCTCCGGCCCTCCGCAGGCCCACCCTTCCACTCCTCCACTGTGCGCTCCTTGGCCTCAACGCTTTCGTCATAGGGCTCGGCCTCAGGCTCGTCGTCCGGGTCGTGGTACTGGCTGAAATAGGCATGGGCCAGGGCCTCGGCTGCACTGACCCTCTGGTCACTGTCCAGCACCAGCATCCTTCCCAGGAGGTCCACAGCTGCAGAGTCGCCAGCGGGGGAGGGAGGGGGTCATATCTGCATCCAGGGCCAGACATGGAACCCAGCCCAGACGCACAGCCCATCCTTACCCAGAGGGTTGGCTCCGTGGAAGATGCTCCTGAGGTCCTTCTGGGGCATGGGGGGCAGGGACTGGATGTATGTCCGGGCCTAGGGGCACATGGGAAGGGCCTGAGGGGGGCTGTCCACCCCCTACCTCTCCTGGCCCTAAGCCAGGTGGGGGCTTGCCTAGAGAAGCCCCCAGACTCATTCACTCCAACAGGCCTGGGCAGGGGCATGCACAGATCAGAGATCTCCCCTGTTCTCGATCTGGGGGCTCCAGTTCCTTGCTTGGCCTTCGATGCCTGCAGGACCTGGGCCCAGTACCACCCATGTCCTTGGCCAAGGCATTGTTTGTCGGTGCTGCGATTCTGCCCTCGCTGTCCCTCGTGCCAGGAATGTCTTCCCCGTTCACCTGTGTCCCCCTGAAGGGGTCAGGCATCTTCCTTGGGCTCTGTTCCACTGTGACCTCTGCCCCCACATGGTGCCCAGTCTATTCCCACACTGCTCCTTCCTCCAGAGTGCCCAGGGGCTTGGTTAGCAGGGAGCTGGTATCTGTTGACTCACATGTTCTGAGGATATCTTTGCCAGAACCTCAGGGCTGGGTGTGCCCACCACCTCCATGATGCGCTTCAGCTGGTCGATGTCTGCCCGGCTCAGGAAATGACTGCTGGCCAGGCACGGACCCTTCCTGGGCCCCCAGAAGCCAGATCTTGGGGCACTGCCCAGATCCTGCTCTCCTACAGCTGGGGGCATTCAGCCCAAGGTGGCAGGCCATGGGGCAGAGGCGGCAAGACTGGCCAAAAAGGGCCAGAGCCCACCTCCCTCGACCCCTATCCCACAGGAGGGGACCATAGCTCCACGCTCCTCCCCAAATGGGGCCAAGGATACAGTCATTTCCTGGGAAGAGGGCCTTTCCCTGGAGCAGCTCGGCCATGATGCAGCCCACAGACCAGATGTCCACTGTTGGGGGAGGGTCTCCATCAGTCTGCCCACCCCAACTTCCTCCTCAGAGAGCTGGGGGGCTGCCTGGACTGCACCAGCCCGATGGCCCTTCAGTCACACCCAGGCCCAAAGACCGCAGGCTCTTCCTTCTCCACACAGCCCTGGGCAGGGGGAGGGGTGACCCAACATGCTCGGCCCCTCTGAAGGTCTGTTTCTGAATGCTGGTCCCAGACCTTGCCTGTCCCCCAAGACTAGACACCCCCCCAAGGTCCTTGGCTTTTGGCCCCACTCCCACTCACCCTCCACAGGCCCTGGTGAGCTCTGCCTGCCCACCCTGGTCCCATAGGGCTACCCCCGTGGGTGGACATCACCTGTCTGGTTGTAGTGCATCCAGTTGAGCATGATCTCAGGTGCGCGGTACCAGCGAGTGGCCACGTAGCCGGTCATCTCCTCGTCAGCCTGGCGTGCTAGCCCAAAGTCCAGGATCTAGAGCCACCACCAGGGTTGTCAGCACCTCCCCGCAGGCCCCTCCCCGCTGCCCTGTGCCCCATGCGCTCACCCTAAGCTCGCAGTCCTCATTCACCGCCACATTGCTGGGCTTCAGGTCCTGCAGGGCAGGCGGGCATGAGCGCAGGAGTCATCCTGGCACCAGGCCTGCAGAGAACAGGCCCCGCACCCCGTGCCGCACCTACCCGGTGGATGATCCCAGCGGAGTGGATGTACTGCGAGGGGGAAGGCGGGCGTCAGGTTCCCATGCCCCAGCACCCCCAGGACCCTTGTGCCCCCACGCGCCCCCCGCTACCCCGGCACCCACCTTCAGCCCTCGAAGCAGCTGGTAGATGAGGAACTGGACGTGCTCGTCGCTCAGCGCCTGGCACTTAACGATGTTGTTCAGGTCGGCGCCCATCAGGGTGGTGACCAGGTACCTGGGTAGGGTCAGGAGTCAGGACGGGCCCGCTGCCCCCTCCCCAAGCATTCTCCAGGGCCGCCTGCCCACCGGCTGCTCACACTTCGCTGAAGTCATCGATGGAAGTGGCTGGCGTGAAGACGTCCAGCAGCCCGATGACCTGGGCGGGGAGGGAAGTCAGGACTCCCCGGCCTCGCCCACAGCGACCCTCAGGGCATGCGTCCCCCGCAGGGAGCCCCCCAGCTCACGTTCTCGTGCTTCAGGTGTTTGAGCAGCCGCAGCTCGCGGTAAGTCCTCCGCGCGTGGACCAGAGACTGGAAGGGCCGCGACAGCTTCTTCACTGCCACCTTCTGGCGCAGCCGCGCGTCGTAGGCCGAGCTGCAAGGCGGGCGAGTGAGGTGCTGGCGGAGAAGCCCAGCCGGTATGACCACCAGGACAAGGCCCGAAAGGCCAAGGGGCCAAGGGCGGGGTCTGCTCACGGACGCCCCTGGCCGCCTTTCCGCCACTCCTGCGCGCGCGCGCGCGCCACAGCTCTCCTCCCGCTCTAAGGGACCCCTCGGGTGGGGGCTGGACGGCCATCAGCAGGTGCACCTCTGAGGGGCCCTGAACATGGCCAACGTGAGCGGCACGTGGGAGGCGCTCTGACAGCAACACTCCCACGAATCCTCTCCTCCGCGCCCCCTCGGGTGCTGCTCCTTCTCAAGAGGCAGCTCAGCCTCCACCCACCGGTTCACCCCAGCCTGCCCAGCCACAGGGGCTCAGCCTGCTCCCCCCCGCCCCCACCAGCCCCGAGGCAGGACCTGGATCTTCTCTTATCTGCTCATCACAATGACTCTTACCCCTAACTCAGAGCAAAGTGGGGGGGTGGGGGAGGTGGGGGGTTGTCTCTACCAGCTGGGGTGGAAAACAGCCCTTGGGCTGTTCCCAACAACCAGCCCTCCTGCTCCCCCATGGGCCAGTGGGTCCAGCAGGATCTCTGAGGGGTTCCAGAGCCGCCTAAGCCCCTGAACCCCCAATGCCTCTGAATATTCAAAATATGGATGAAAAACTGGCCAAAGGTGTTTACTGTATCACTTTTTTTTTTTTTTTTTTTTGGTGAGGAAGATTGTCACTGAGCTAACATCTGTGCTAGTCTTCCTCTATTTTGTATGTAGGATGGCACCACAGCATGGCTGATGAGCGATGCTTAGGTCCTGGCCCAGGATCTGAACCCACCAACCCTGGGACACCCTGGGACACCAAAGAGCGTGTGATCTTAACCATTACACCACCAGCTGGCCGGCCCCTTTATCATTATTTTTCTTTTTCTTTTTCTCCCCAAAGCCCCCCGGTACATAGTTGTATATTCTTAGTTGTGGGTCCGTCTAGTTGTGGCATGTGGGACGCCACCTCAGTGTGGCTTGATGAGCAGTGCCATGTCCGTGCCCAGGATTCGAACCGACGAAACACTGGGCCGCCTGCAGCGGAGCGTGCAAACTTAACCACTCGGCCGCGGGGCCGGCCCCCCTTCATCATTATTTTTAACAGTGAGAAACTGGCCAGTAGGAAATGCCCAGCAGAGAGTGGTGTCTGGACCCATAGAACATCTCCCCTTGCTCAACCCCACTTCCCAGAGGTCCAGACCTTCCAACTCCACAGCAGCCTCCAACCTATCTTCTCTTCACAGGAGTCCAACCGTCACTGGCATTATCTTGAAACACACATGGTCCAGCCACTCCCCACTCTTCCACCCTCCCACTGCCCTCAGGATGGGGGCCCTCCTGAAAGCAATGCCTTTGCACAGGCTGTTCCCCCTCACTGAAGCTCATCCCTTGCCCCAAGAGTGAGTGGAGCCTCAGGCCGCCCCCCATGCCCACCCCACCCCCCAGGAGCAGCTCCTGCAGGATGTGGATGCTATCTGGGCCCAGGTGGTGGTGGAGGAAAGCTAGCTCAGTGCTAGGGCATCTGTGCCCCTCCCCCTAGCCTATCACCTGCAGGGGAAGGTCCAAGTCACTCCTGGGCTGGGAAGTAGGGGAGTGACTCCTCACGTGTGGCACCAGATCCTCTTGCCGGATTGCGTCCGCCCAGTCCAGTGACAGAATTGGCACTGGGTCACCAGTCCCATCAGAGGAAAGAGGGAGCACAGGATGAGGCTGTCACCTGCATCGGGCCCATGCTGAGGTGCGGGCACTGGAAAGATTTGGGCCTCCCTTGGGGAGCATGACACTCCCTGGGAACTCCCAGAAGGTGATTCTGGGGGCTGGAGGTGATTCCAGTAGGGGCTCTTTCAGATCCCCCCAGGGGGCCACTGACACATTGTCCCTGACCCTCTTCCTGCCTTTGAGGTCTTAGAGATGAAGACAGAGGCCTGTGGCTGGAACGGCCTGCCTGAGGTCTCTGACAGCTGGCAAGTGACAGCGTGAGATGGGAGGCCCCTGGGACCCCAAGCCCCGGCTCCAGGCTCAGGCGCTAGGCCATGGAAGAGTCTCCAAGAAGTCCCACTCAACTTTCTGCCAGAGCCTGGACCACACTGCACCCCCAGGGCTCCCTGCCTCCCCAGCTGCATGACCTGGCAGTGGACAACAGACACCTGGCACTGACCGCAGTCAGGCCCCCAGTGGGCTCTGGGGGGAGCACTTCTCAACATCCATACCCACATGAGCCTCTCTGTCAACACTGGAGCTGCAACCAGGCCTCCCTGTCACTACCTGACCCTAAGTCCCCAAACCTGAGGGGACAGAGGCTTCCAGCAAACCTGGGCCCACCCCCCCTTCCAGATTCAGCCCTCTATCTGGGCCCCAGGGCCTAACTGCCCAGCTGTGGTCTGAGCTCTCTTGTTTGGGGCAAAAATGGGGCAGGGTGCAGACCCCCCTAAGGATTGTAGGGGGAATGGGAGGTGTCTCTGCTCAGGCCTAAGCCCCAACCGGAGTCTGAGATCCCTTGGAAAATCGGGAAGGGAGAAGGACTCACAGGGGAGCCTGACGCCATCCTAAGCGGATTAAAGTACCCACCTAGGGCGGGGGCATCTGCCTGACCCATGACCGGGGGCACCCCGCTACGTGCTCGGACGTTGAGGGCCCCAGGAGACCCGCCCTTTCGCGGGCTGTGACGCCGCAGGATTCGGGCCCGAGGCGGGACGCTTCGGGTCGGACGGGGAGGGAAAGACGACCCCTCTCCCTGCCCGGGAGCGGCGTCCGGTAGGAAAGTTTCCTTCACGCCCACCTCCCCCCATTCATTCCTCCGGTCCGCATAGGGCCGGGGGGCGGAGGCAGGGCCAGGCCCCTCCCCGCGCCAGGAACCCAGCGCCGGGCGGGGAGGGGGCGCGCACTCAGTCCCGCCCCGGTCCCCGCCCCACCCCGCCCGCCCCTACCAGACGGAGCCGTAGGCGCCGGAGCCCACCGGGCGAAGCCCCTGCAGCCGCTGCGGCACCTCCCACACCGTCTTGTTCAGCTCCTGCCGGTAGAAGCCGGCGCGCGGGCCCGACATGTCCGGAGTGGCCGCCGCTCAGCCCGCGCCCCGCCCCGCGCCCCCGCCCCGCGCCGGAGCCCGAGCCGAGCGCTCGGAGGGCGGTGGGAGGCGGCGGGCGGGGCGCGGGGCGGGGCCGGGGAGGGGGTTCCCAGAGCCAAACGCGCGGCTTCCTGCTCCTGCGAGGCGGCGGCCAAGCGGAAACCAGCCTTCCCTCCCTCCCCCGGGCGGTCCCGGCGAGGATGCGCCCCCACTGGGGGAGGGGGCGACCAGAGTCCGACTTACCGCCCCTGCCGCTTCCACCTCCTGGGGTCCACGCACCTCCCCCTAGGTCCGCCCGCTATCTGTCCTCCGCCCGGGCTCCTCTGCGTCTCGCTGGCCTGCGCTCCCCGCGCCCTCCCCTGCCGGCCGGCGCCGGCACCTCCCCTCCCCGCTTTCCGTCTCTGCACCCCCTCCCTCCGCCTCCTCAGGGCCCTGCACTTACGCCCCCCTCAGCCTGCTCAGAATCTTGCATCCCTCCTTCCCGCCACTTGCTCTGGGCCCTGTACCCGCCCTCCCCCCACAAGTCTGCGCCCTCGGAAATGAAGTAGAACCCTCCAAATCAAAGAAGCCAGGGGCGAACCATGGGATCTATTTTTCACCAACATAGAAAATACCACCTGATAAAAACTAGGCCCTTGGTTGGATAGGCCCCTCTGCGGTGGGCAGGTGGCTGCGCCTTGGATCCTGGGCCAGCCTGTCCTCCCTTTCCCGCGGAGGCCCTTCCGGCCTTGGCGGTGTGGTTCGCCCCCTGGGAAACCCGCGGTCTGGCATCAGCCTCTGCAGCGGCCTGGCCCTTGCCTGCGCTCGACCCTCGCCGCCTCTTGGGAGAAGCATGACCGCCGGCCAGGCCTGGGGACCAGCCCTGTCAGGACCAGGGACAGCGGCGGCGCCAGCGGGCCTTTGGGGTGTTGTGCCCATAAGAAGCTATCCATAAATGGGTCCTCTTGGGTGCCTGATACCTTCCCTTCTTCGGGGACAACTCCCTCAGCTGCCACCTCTTCAGGAAGCCCCCCTGACTTGGAGTACTGGGGAGCCCTCTAGTCCGCAGTCTCAGTTCCAGGGGCTGCAGTGCCTCCCCTGCTGCACTGAGTGGTCTGGAAGTTTCCATTCTCACCGGCTGTTCTCACTGAAGTGGCCGGGATGTTCCCTAGTTCAGCGAGACAGGCTATCCTCGTGTCCACACTCTAGGCCCGCCGGCATCTACTTTTATTTCCCACTTTAAAGTGACAAGGGTTCGGAGAGAGCACTGCCCCTGGAACAAACGCCTCCCCCGACCCTCACCCTCTGGGAGCAATGGTGCCCCTCCCAGGAAAGCAGAACATCAGGCTCTGAGCTGCTCGACCTACTTTTTTCAAAACTAACTAAAACCTGAGTTTTTATGGGAGAATCCCCCGATTTTTAAATATTGGCAACAAAATTAAAATAAAACATGTCAACAAAGTACTGGGCAAACGGACACATCTGCCAGAGAACCCAGACCCTGGGGCGACGGAGAGGTGAGGTAGGAAGCAGGCCACCCTCACCTGACCTTGGCCAGGTGCCGAGCCACCCTGGCCTCAGTTTCCCCTCTGGGAGCCAGTGCCCTCTCCTGCAGCCACTGGCTCCGTGCCTCCTGGAGGGCCCTGCCCGGGGCGCCTTTCTCTGGCAGGCCAAGGTTTTGTGTGGAGTTAATGGAGCGGTAGCTAAAGGGTGGGGAGGGGGCGGGAGCACAGCCTCTGGCAGTGGGAACCCAGCCTCGGGGGGCTAAGGGGGCAGAGCGCCTTTGTCAGCGCTGGAGGGAGCTGCGTTCCCATGGTGACCAGCCCCGCCCCTTCCTGGGCTCTCTCCCGGCTGCAGCGGGGGTGTCTGCTGACCCCAGGGGAACCCCGCCCAGCCTCCCGCACCACTGCCCCAAAATCCCAGTGGACAGTGGTCAGAGGTGCCCATAGGGAGCAGCCTCTCCGCCCAGCTCAGCGGTCCAGCAGAGCGGAGACCTTCCCTCATCACTCAGCAAACCTGCCCTGGGCACTCAACACCCCCAGCCCGAGGCACACAGGTCCCTCTGGCGAGGAGGCTGTGATCCTGCAGGATGTGACCAGGGAGAGTTTCTCGTGGAGATGAGGGTGGGAGGGGGCACAGAGCCGGGCCGTCGGGAAGTCCCCTGGAGAGATGACACGCTGCAGCTGGACCGAGCCTGCAGACAGTCCTGCCTTTCAAGGACTTAGCTGGACTTGACGAACAGAAAGGAAGAGGTGGTGGAGGGCTGTGGCAGGCTGGTCGGCTGAGGCCGGGATGTCAGATTTTTGTTCTCGGGGTGATGGGGAGCTCTGCTGGATGGATGCTTTCACAGCATCGTCCTGGCCACAAAGTGAAGGTAACCAAGGCTGGGTGAGAGGACTGAGCCTGCAGAAGCGGCTGGGGTAGAGCAGGGAGAGCAGCCGGCAATGGCAGGCCCTGCAGGTGTGAGGAGGGGGCACGTATCGGGGGCTGCACAGAAGAGCTTCCTATTGGGGCCCAAGCCTCCCACCCCTGGTCTCCCTCCACCCTCTACTGTGATTCACTGTCAGCCCTAAGTATCAGGACCCCACCCCTTCTCTCCATGTCCACTGTCCCCATTCCACGGTCCGAGCCATCCCTTTCCAGCCCCTCACTGGTCTCCTGGCTGCAGTTCTCTTGAGGGCAGAATGAACTTCCTAAAATGCTAACCTGGCCGCATCGTGGGAGGCAGGCAGCCAGGTAACTTGGTCAAGGTTCCTGCTCTTAATAACCAGGTGGGGAGGGAATGGCCTTGGGCTGCTTTCTTGGAAGAAAAGGCAGCCCCCCCCCCCCCATTCCTGCCTCTCCACCCTCCCACTACATTGGAAGGAAAATGGGAAGCAACAGGAAGGCCTGGTCTGTCAGATCCTGACCACTCCAGGCTGGCCTGCCCACCCCATGCACCCCAATATCCATGCCAAATTTCTGCCCTTGACTGGCCCCACGGGAGGACAGATCCCTTCATGCTCCTGTCCTCCACATGGACCCGCAGCCTTCTTCTGTCTCCCAGCTTCAGAGTGGAAGGGGGCCTCACTGACTCTCCCCATCTTCTTGCCTGGCTGCCCAGTGGGAAGGGGGCAGGACTAGCCTATGGGGGGGTCCAGCCTGGAAGGCAGGGTACCAGGTTCTGCCCCCTCAGGGACCCCCAGCTCAGCACTCCCAGACTGTGCTCCCTGCTCTGGCTCAGCAGTACCTTGTTCAGATTTCCTGATGAGCTGGGTCTCTGGGAAGTGGGAAACCTAGCGTGGGAGATGGCAGAGTGTCACTCCAGAGGTCCCTGGGGTGGGGGATGTCAGTTGTGTGCTTAGTACCCTTTCCTTGTGGGAGATACCCATCCTTGTTCCATGTGGCTTGAATGCAGCTGGCCCATACAGAGGCAGCTCATGACTGAGGCCCAGCCCATTGAGATTCCTCAGACACAATGATGTGCCCCATGTGGAGCAGACACAGGCCGGGGCTGCCTGCCACAGGGCCCCTACTGGCCAAGGATAAACCAGAATGTGTTGGGCAGCAGTTCAGACAGATGGAACCCAAAGACATGTGACACCTGGAGTCAGCTGTATCTGAAGCTGAACCACCTCCACTTTCTTATTATGGAGCCACCAAATCCCTCTTCTGCTTGAGTTGGTATGCTTGGAGAACAATTCCCCCATGGCAGACCCTGTCTGTCCCATTTACTGCTGGGTCCCTAGTGCCCAGGACAGTGCGTGTTGAATGAATGAGGGGCTCAACACACTGATGCTGCACGTGTGGCTGATGGCTGCAGAGTGGCACATCTCACAGCTCCTGCCCTGCATGCAACGTGGGACTGGGAGCAGCCCCTTTCCCCATTGCCAGATTCCTGGACAACCCCTGCCCCCCCAGCAGCAAAGGGGCCACCTGCTCTCAGGCACACAGCCCTTGAGTCCTGAGTCATCCTAGGGCGACTCACGGGGCTGAGGAGGAGCAGACTCTAACGGCCCCACAGCCTTGAGCAGGGGGATGCAGGGCCCTCTCTCCTGGACCCATCCCAGTGTCCAGTGGGGCTTGCACACAGTAGGGGCTTATTCGACGCTGCTGGGTGCACCATGCCCGTGAGAACCCCCCACCTCAGGAAAGAGAAAATGGCACAGAGCTCAAGGCCCAGACAGCAGGCTCCTGCCACGCCCGCCCCCTGCCCCCATGGCTCCTAGACCCAGCCTGAGGAAGGGAGGCAGGGGACGTGGCGACCGCCAGATGGCGCCTGAGTCAGCCCAATCCCCCTGCCGGGAGGGACTGCCTCCTCGCACCTCCTGGAAACACAGTCTGTTCCAGGCTCACTCTCAGGCCTGAGCAGCACACAGCCCATTTCTGAGCCTCAGACCTCACCCCCCAGCCCTGACCACCCTGTTCTCCTGGGGCAGCAGGGCTGTGGGTGGGCTGCAGCCTCAGCACACACACCCCCAGGCCTGGCCCAGAGGAACTGTGAGGTGGGGGTGTGAGGCCACACAGCCCACCTGATGCTGAGATCTTAGGGCCAGACAGTGTCTGAGGGGGAGGCCACGGGCAGGACAGGCCTGGGAACGGGGGTGGCTGCGCAGGGACAGCAGGTCGGAGCCCCAGGAGGAACCCAGCCGAGCAGCAGAGTGAAAAAGACAGTTGTATTTGATTTACAATTAACAAGATTCACAAGGGGGTAGGGGTGCTCCTGGCAGAGCTGCTCCAGGACCCCCCAGACCTGGGCAGGGCCTCCAGGGCAGCCTGTCTGACAGGCTGAGACCAGGACCCTGGTCTGCTGGGTCCCCTCTGGCCACCTGGGCCTCGACGTCTGACGTCCAGCTTGACCTTTGAGGTGGGGCCCACGGCACGGAGTCCACCCAGAGGGCCAGCGCCCCACAGGGCGGGGCAGGTGAGGTCACAAAGGCATGGTACCGCTTTTCTCCTCCTGTCCCGGCGGGGCAGACGCAGCCTGGGCATGAGGCCCCGGGGGCTGCAGGCACTCAGACCCCACCCAAAGAGGCCAAACCCAGGACCCGAGGCGGCTGCTGGTGCTGGGAAGGGAGCTGAGGTGCCGGGGGCATAAGGCACATGTGCGAGTCACTCAAGGACTCCACGCAGAGGCGCTGACTGATGCTGGTTCCACAGGAGGGAGCTGGTGCTGCTGGGCCCCGGCACTATTGCTCAGGAGAAAGACGCTACGTGGCTAAAAACGTGGAGGTCGGGGCTCCCTCGCTGCACCCACACTTGGACGCCCAGGGGCTCTTCCTCTGCTGGTGAGAGATGAGGGCTGAGCCCGCCAGTGCAGCCACACAGCCCAGGGGCCGCCCAACGCCCAGCACCAGGTGTCACCCACCTGCGCCCCGAGACCACGGGGGCGGAGATCGGAGGTCAGAGGTCTGTGACTTTGTTCTCAAGTGCAGCCGCGATCTGCTGGAGGCGGAAGGCCAGCTGCATCTTC